GGCTCTTTTGTGCCACGCCAATGCAGCACGAGCAAAAGACGCCGTGATTTAGTGGCCATTAACCACATATAAAGCAGCGACGCTGGCAGGCTTTTCTTCACTCACAAAAACCACTTCGCAAAAGCAAGTTTGAAAGGAGGTCGAAGTTGTGCGAGCGCTACCTACCTAACCTATGAAGCTCCCAAGTGTGCTGTCGCAGACGGGGTATCACATATGACACCACTCGAGATTACCACCACGACGCCTCGGCTCCGTGCCGCGTTTTCAAACGTCCGCTGTTCGCCAATCCTTCTAGCAAGCGGCATGTTTGTGCCCTCTCGCTGGCGCTCTTGGCATCGAGGCGTCAAAGTGTCTGCGGTCTTGTACGAGGAGCGCTGCTCGAGATCGGGAGGGACGGCTTCCTACTCACCTGTACGAGGACAGCACTTCGATGCCAAGCGATCCGATGCGCCAAAGGCTAAGCCTCTCTTACCGGCCTGGGATATTGATTGCTTTGCACGAAGTTCCGTCGTCCAATTCATGGTGCAACGGCATTCCAGCCACCAATATGCCGACCCTACACACTGCGTATGCGTCTCCAAAAACCCGAGAACTTCTCTATGGTAAAGAGACGATCAGTGATACAGAACCCCAGCGTCAGGTCCCGCCTGCTGCCAACATGATAAGATGACACTGCTACTAGGTACGTAGTGGTTTCTCTTGATATACCTAGTAGGTATCAGCTAATAAGCAGGTGACTTTGGCCTTGGCTAACAGCCTGGGGAGATCTCGCCGCATCGGAATGTGCCGTGTCTCAAGCTCAACCTGATGTGACAGACGGCAACCTTAGACAGGCACGTGGAAGTACTTGAGCATTCCAACAACGGCGACCGGCTTCAACAGGCCCTGGACAGGGTACCTACCTAGTAGGGATGAAAACAATTGCTTTATGTATGTATTGCTGAAAACCTCGAGGCATGTCACTCCATACTCATCATCCTCCAATCTCGGCGGTACTAGATGCTGGCTGGCCAAGTGGCCTAATTGCGGAGAAGCTGGATTATCCTCCACCTGCTTGCTTCCAACCACAAGTCGCAACGCACGACCTAGAAGATGATCAACCAGCTCCTTACGAAATCTGTGTACAACACTGATATGAGCACCACTGATATCGCCCTTGAATTACTTCCCCCCTGCGATCCAAACTTCCCATATTACCGATGCCTCGGGTTGAAGATAAAGAGGAGAGAAGGCTTGCGCTTTGAGAGAGCGTTTGCATACTTCATAGTATCAAAAAGACCACCCCAAATCATATACGGCGAGATGGCCGAGTTGGTTATGGCGTCAGGTTAAGGCTACCTTAACAAGCAATTCCTGGTGGAGCAATCCGCGTGGGTTCGAGTCCCACTCTCGTCAGATATCTCTTTTTGCCTCTTTATCTGAGTTTAGAGGTCAAACAAAGCCAATCCTTTTTTTTTTTTTTTTTTTTTTTTTTTCTTTTTTTCTTCTTCTTTCACTCCTATGCCACGTCCAGACAGTTCAGACGACACATACTATTGCACAGTATTGCCACCGATCAGCTTTGTATCGTGGAAGAAATGATGGATGCCATAGAACTGTCGGCCAGACGTACAGTATTCGAGTCAGATGACTTGTATGTATGGGCATCGCCGAGGCTCGTGGTGAAAGGCAGCGGCTGGAAAGCTGCCTGGCGTCTATGACCTACCTTATCCGCACTGACATTGGGGGTGATCTAGTTTCAAGGGACGAGAGCACCATGATGTGAGTTTGTGTCCTGCTCGTAATACTGCAGCGTGCGAAAGTCGTCGTTGTTCAATATAGGTAGCAGTACTTGGCTCCTCGTCAGTTCATTTTGAAGATGTAAATCTGCCGGCGGGGACGCCCGCTAAAGCCACAGGGGAGCAGTTCCCCCCAGGGTGCGCTAAGCCGCACACAACCTTGAAGTCACCAACTGATCACAAACTGCCGGTCGTGTCCTCGATCCAACTTCTGCAACAGTCATGCAGCTGCTGTCTCCCATGACGCCGCCGCTCTCGACAACAGCACGAGACTCGATTCCTCTTTTGGCCCAAATCAAGTGCCAACAAGGCCTGGAGTTAAAAGCCCTTGCAGCTGGCCCATGTGCCTGTCACGGCTCCGAGTTACACTGAAAAAGAGATCCGCGGTCATCTTGCAATCCTGCCACATTATCTACTTGAGCAACTCGCTGAGCCTCATGCTTCTCTGTCTCTCCATCCACGACTCTCAATCCCATCACCGCCGAGTCCTCGCATTTCTCGCATCACATTCTCCCCCGTGATTGTTGCCTGGTGGCGTCCTCTTCGTTGTCCTGCTATGACTCTCCTCCCAGTCAAGAGCCAAGAATCCGCAGCAATGCCGAGACGGCAAGTCTGTGTCTGCTGGTCTGCTGACGCTCCTCCACACCACGGGCACCGCAGCTGATCGCCGTCAGCCTTGCCAGGAATAACGCCCTGTGGACTGTGCCTCTTTTCTTCCATTTCGTCCTTTCTTGTTCTGCAATGCTTCTTTCTGTTTCGCCTCTTTGATTCCCGCCTGCGTCACCCCGGCCGGTGCGTCAGAGATGCGGTCTGACCTTGTTGTCTTTGTCGCATAAACCTTTGACAGGTCCACTGCTCTGCTCCCACCAGACATGTGATGGGTCACTCTGATGGAATATCGACTCCCCCAGATGCCTGCAGCTGCAGCTGCTAAAGTGTTTAGCTTTTGCGAGGTGTCAGGGGGTCGGTAGGAGATGGGGTTGAGAAAAGTATATGTTGATGCTGCTAGCTCACCACCATCGTCTAGATTGAAGCTGCAGCAGCCCTTGCATCTGCGATTCCCAGCCTGTTTCAGCCCTGTTAGTTGCCGACAGAGAGGGGGTTGATGCCTTGTACCGAAGCACATTCATTGGACGCTGCCATCACCAAACGTACAGTACCCAGTAGCGCTTGTTGCTATTTGTCTCTGGCTGCAGGCCTGGGTATATCTCGCGCCTCCGCCATGAAACCTCCAAGGCAGCCCAACGATGCATCACCCAAATCCTTCATCATGAGCTCCGTCACCGAGTTCTACCGCTCCCAGATCGGCAACGAGGCCGTCATCAACTACGCATACACCGACTTCCCCTGGCGGCTTCTTGCCAAGGATGTCTACTATTTTTTCGCCTACTGCTGGGCCCTGCCGTGGGTTCTGTTTCCCCTCAACAAGTTCGGCTCGGGCGAGCTCGACGAGCTGTATCCGTCGTTTATGAACATCTTCTGCCTCACAGTCCACTTCTTCTTGCTCATCTTCCAGCTCGCTTTCCTCATCACCTTGCCGTTTGTCCTCGTTTTCCCGGCATGGATGGGAGTTGGCGGTATTGTGGCCTTTAACCTGATAAACAGGCTGGTTTGCATGCTGTTGAACGGCAAAGACATCATCTTTCACTCGGATGAGAAGTACGCTCAGGAGCGACCAGAACATGAACACGAGCAATGGGTCTTCTTGAATGGCGTCTCTGTCGGGTAAGTCATCCACCACGTTGCCTGTACAAGAACTACATGTATGTTATGGACGTGCTACTAACGGTCCCTTCACGAAACCAGCCGCCACTGGATGAAGATGAACCTGAACCGCTTGGCCCTGACATTTGGCCGCCCCGTTCTCGGCATCCATAACCGCACATCAGGGGTCATCTTCGACGTCATCGAGTGCCTCATCCAGCGCAACTTTTCCTATGCGACCACCGATGTGCGTGTCTGCTATAGGCACCTCAAGGACATTCTCTACGACCCGAAAAAGTCAAAGGTCGTCTTCATCATGCACTCGCAGGGCGCCATCGAGGGCGGCATGGTCCTGGACTGGCTACTCCAGGAGATGCCCCAAGACCTCCTTGCAAAGCTCGAAGTGTACACTTTCGGCGCCGCCGCCAACCACTTCAACAACCCGCACCGCCACGTCATCTCGCAAGATCTGACACGGTCGAGGCCCCATGAGGCCCTGCAGGCGCTCGTCTCAGAGGCTTGCTACGAGACTCCAGTCACCACGCCGCTCGAGGTCAAGAAGGATCCGATGATGACCGCCTCCGTCGTACGAAGATCGTCTTCTTTGACATCTTACCACACGGCCTCTGCTGCCAAGGACAGAGCCATTGGCCATATCGAGCACTATACTCACAACACCGACTTTGTTGCCATATGGGGCATTCTCCATTTCGCCACGAACAAAATGGCTTCTTTGCAGCTGCCTCGGTTTCTGGGCCGTCTCTTCAACCGGTCCAACGGCCACGGCGGACACCTCCTCGTTCAGCATTACCTGGACGGCATGTTCCCCTTGAAACGCGACCCGAAGACCGGAGAGTTCATCGGAGCCGACGAGAAGAATGACTTCATGGAGGAGGTCATCAAGTTTGGCGTCGAGGGCACCGCCATGGACAACGCGCGAGAAGCATTCGAAATTAGCTACGGGGGCACGGGGGGTTTTGGAACGGGCGAGATCTCGACGCCGATCGAGGTTTACGACCAGTTCCTCCACAGAAAGCACAAGAAGGATGTCAAAGTCAAGGAGCTCAGCAGGTTGTGGATGTACAGGAACGGAATGAGCCCGCCTGAGACGTCACACGTCTTGGCGGCCGATATGATTGGGATTCCCAGAAACTCGACGCTGTGAGAACGATTGAAGGGTTGCAAGCACGTCGACTCCGGCTGCAGTTGACATGATTTTATGAACATGGTCAAGAATGATTCCCAGCATGTAGGTACTTGGCAAGGAAAGGTAGTTTTTCTTTCTTTCTTTCTTTTTTATCCCCCCTTGTCACATAGAACGAGATACCTGACGGAATTATATTATGATGTTGTATATATACTCGGAATAGTGTGTAGTAGATTTACAAATTACACCAATGTCAAAAATGAACAATCGCTTTTCCCTACCGTCGCCGACAGCATTCGTTTATAATCCACATATATGTTCCCACCGCCATCCCCCTCAACATGATACATAATCCACCTTGGCTAGATCGGTTACACCAGAGAGTGCCCTGCTGGTTGCGGTTGATGACTATGGTCATAGTCCGTTGCATCTCGTTGGGGGTTCACCTCTTCGTAATGCGACCACTTGACAAACTTGTAGAAACCAGCAGCCACCACAGCTCCCATGAACGGACCGAGCCAATAGATCCATTCATATCCAGGGAAGTGAGGCGTTGCGACGGCACACCCGAAACTGCGAGCCGGGTTGAGTGAAGCGCCGGTGTAGGAAGTCCCTAAACAAGAAGACATGTCAGCGATATAATCCGGTAGGTGTTGATGTTGTTTTCTGTCTCGGTAAGTTAAGGTGGTTGTCTTACCCGCCAGCATGACAACGAACAGCGCCAACCCGATACCAACGGGGGCAATGAAAGTGTACCTAGAACGCTCGACTGCGAGCATCAAGACGACAAACACAAGAAAGGCCGTGAAGAACATCTCGATGAAGAGGCCCTGCGCAATCGATGTGTCGCTTGAGAGAAGACTATTCGCCGCGGAAATGTTCCCGGGAAACATGGCACTCGCGAGACCGCCGGCACACATGCTGGCGATGAGTTGAGCTGGGACGAGAAAGGCGGCTCGCGCCCAATCGAGTGTCCCTGCCAGACACATGCCAAACGTGAGCTATCAAATTGGCAAGTCAGTCATTTTCAGTCATTTTCAGTCCCATTTTTCTCTGTATAAACAAGCCTAGACTGCAAACCGGCTTTTTTTCTGTGAGAGGGCTTGGGAATGTTTTTTTTGGGGTTTTCTCGAGAGAGAAAGAGAGAAAAAAAACGTACTGCAGGGTTAAACAGCCCGCCGCTTATGCGGTAAAAGGCCCATACATTGACGAGCAACGAGAAGCTGTAGACAAACGCAAGGAAGAAGACGGTCGTATCGTCCATGCCCCCGGGGGACGATGGAGACAGAGTAGCCAGCTTTGTGTATTGCATGCTGCCAGCGTAGCCGAACCACAGGAAGAAGAAGGTCCCGACAAACTCCCCGACTGCTGCAATCAAGTGTTTCTGCATCGGGGTCGGATGGAAGTGCTCGCGGTCACGGCTTTCGCCGCCGTTGGGCGCTGAGTGCTGCCGTTTCGATAGTCCCGGAAAGGCCATTTTCACCCGTTGTATGTGAGTTGTTGTATGATGAGTCTACCGAGAGCGTCACCTGCCTACTTATCCAGTAATATAAAAGCAAGAATTTTTCCTTATATACGTTGGTCGTCACTTCGAGCCAGTTCAGCTACACACATACATACGTCAAGCCAAGTTGGAACGCAAAGGGGGGTCGCGGATAGTATGCTCCGACAACTACCAAGCTGTTTGTGGTGTACGATTCCCAGCAGGGAGGCGAATCAATGGGGGACACAACATTATGACGGAACGTCTTGAAAGGCGCATACGTCTATGATGCCAGGACCCGATATAAAAATGAAAAAGACAACCATTACTTGTTTTTTTCTGACTGCGTAATGGTAGGGGCCACAGGCTCGTAGGCTAATGTAAGGGCAATCATACTAGCATCGCAGGCCCTCTTTTCAGCTGCGGGCCGTCGAAGAGATTTTCAGCCTCGACGTAGTTTGTAGGCACGTGTACAGTACAGTACAAGGTAGGTAGGTAGGTTTGTGATGTCTCCCAGGCCTTGTTGATTGGGCGCTGCAAAGAGAAAGCGAGCGTAAAGTTGACTTGTATGGAAGAGGAGGAAGTATGTACTATGTAAAAAAAGACAGAGAGGCTGGTGTTAGTGGCGAATCTTCTTGGCTTCACCGGCATCTCTGCCGATTGCTTTAAAATAGACTTAATGTCTATGTCATCCAATGAAAACTTCTCTTGTCAGCCTGAATATTGGAGGCTATGTAGCCTATCTTGTACATTTTGTTTGCAAGATCTCTATTATTGGACAATGCATCGAGATTCTACTGTACTTCGCGCAAGGAGTCAGGACGACTTCAATGCTCTACCCAACCCGTCAGCGACGAGATTTATCCCCCATGGCAGCCAGCATTGGTAGAAGCAAGCACTACCTAGGTAATCAGTTTCAATGGCATGCTTGTCGTATATGATTGCAAGACTGTAGGCTCCAGATGGAGAAGGATACGACAATATCTCCGCATAGGTACTACACAGCTGGTATCAACATCTACAAGACTGCCGTCGAACAGAGCATTTGGAGCACTACTCCGTGGGAGACGCCGCCAAAATAAGTGTCAAAAGCACAAAAAGACAAAAAAAGAAGATCTGACGAGAGTGGGACTCGAACCCACGCGGATTGCTCCACCAGGAATTGCTTGTTAAGGTAGCCTTAACCTGACGCCATAACCAACTCGGCCATCTCGCCAATCACATGAGTTAGAAGTCGGCGACCTTAATGTGTCTTGTTAGGGTCACGCAGAGCCTTTATCCTGTTTTAGCGCGTCTTGCATTGCATGCTACCCTGAAGCTTGATAGTTCACGCCCGTGAATCAGGCTGTCAGGCAAGTAACAGCTCGTATCTCCCTATATTGGAAATCTTGCATCAGGGTCGTCCAGTAGTCTGAGTTTTCAGGGTTGGCTTGATGGGACGTTTAGTCTGGCAGCGTGTGTGTAATTGAAGCATCTCTGATCTTGTAATTTCTCTCAAGTCTCCAGGCAGCGATAGGCAGAACACCGCTAGGGAGCGGCTATGAGCGGGAACATCCAATGTTTCCATCAAGAACTTAGTGCCAGGCCAGCCCAACAAATGGAGAGGTACCTCAAACAACCAGTAGAGGTACTTCATTAACTGACAGGCACCGACCGTGAATATGTTCACGCCTGCAATTACTTCCCGAGTACCTGCATCTGTCCCTCGTGCAGCCTCAGCCAGACATTCGTCCAAGCGGAGGCAAAACGTGGCGACCTGTGGCAAGGATCCGAGGCGCAGCCAGCCAATCGCTTCGCCGTGCTGCCCTCCATCCCGTCTGCCAACTGCCAATTGTAGCGGGCTTGCAGCACTGTCACAGGCACCCAAGCACCTCAGCTCTCCTGTAACAGCGCTCGCTCAGCGGTTGCTTGACCGGTCCAGGCTGCAGGTGGTCACTAACTGAAGCTTGTTTGCACGATGACGCACGCAGTCTTGGATTCAGAGACCCTTAATCAAACCTGCTCGAGTCTGGCTGCTCTTCTTCTATTAACCGCCAAAAAGCCACTTGAATCACCGCTTCCTGACGCCTCTGATCTTCTTCCCCTCTTCCTCACGTCAAATCTGCCGCGTCGTGGTGCTGTTCATGCTATCCAAGCCCATCGCCAGGCCTGCTTGATCACAGGTTACTACTAGGCCCTTTTTCGTCCTGACAACCGTTGCTACGACGCTTTGTTTTTTTCCTTATCTTTTTTTCTTTCCCCCACCTATTGCTCGACTGCCCTCCAGCTCTCTCGTCTTCCTCTCCAGCATCAACTTGCGACGTCGCAAAACACTGAAAGGAGCAACGACGACTGCTGGGAGGCAACAAGGCAAAGCCACCTGCCAGAATGTTCGTCCTTAGAAACGGTGAGTGAAGACGTGAATGCGATTGCTGTATGTAGCCTGCGCGAACTCCGCATGTGCGCTTTGCAGCTCTGTTTCCCTACCAACGGCCTGCCATTCATCTACATACCTACTGCTACATACATATTTGCCCATGCCCTGACTCGCCTCCGTCGCTACCTCTCTTCCCGTTTCTTTCACATCTCCAAGATACGCATCGCATCGTGTTCGCTAACATCCGCTCCCATCAGTCGGCAAGCTGATTTTCGGCTCGGCTGCGCAACAGGAATCCCTCATCGAGCTGCCCCAAGGCCAGCTCTACCTTGTCCGACCTCTGTCGCCAAAGGGCTACTCGGAGCTCATCTTCAAGGACTCTGCCATTCGCATTCGGCGGACCAACCAAGACTACCAATACCAGCTCGTCGTGCAGCGCGTCTTCGAGGAAGGAGAAGCTGAGCTGCTCGCCGACGAAGAAGGAGAGGACGCCGAGATTGACGCGCTTGTGGGCGAACGCGACGAAAAGACGTTTCTGCTCGACGAGGCTCTGCGCTTCCGCATTGAGATCCGCGAGGGCGGCGACGAGACGGTCCTCGCCTGGAAAGATTTGAGTGGAGACAGCGGCGACCTGTACGAGTTTGTGTGCGACCGCGTCGTCACGACTGCCGAGGTGAAGCGCTTCCTTCGCACGGCGCAGGAGTGCCAGTACGAGCGAAAGTATCGCAAGCCGCACACAACGGCCTCGGAAGAGGATCTCCGGCAGTTTGAGTTCCCCGAGGAGCAGCCCATCCCTCCCGCCAGCCCCATCCATAGCCCAACCCTTGCCAGGTCGATCGAATCCATCGACGACATGTTTGCCAAGAGGACTGCCACGCTTTCGGGCAAGTCCGAACCTGCTGTAGAGCAGCCGAAAGAGGTCGAGGCGCCTCAGCAGCCGCAGGAAGCAAAGGCTGCCCCTACGCCCCTTGAGATCTATGCTGCAGTCTCTGGCGAGTTGCATCTGTACGACCCGCAAGCTGGCCACTTCTCCCAGGTTGAGGATACTGTCATTGTCACGGTTTCCGAAGTAGGAAAATGGGAGTATTGGCTGCAGATCGATGCCGCTGGGAAATCCATCCTTGGCACTCCCGTTACCCCCGAGTTCAATCCCGTGTTCGACTTTGAGCATCTCTCGTTCATCTTCAACCACTGGTCAGAAGATGGCACGGGAAGGTCTTGGCTCATCCGGTTCAAAGATCAACCCACACTGGAGAAGTTCCAGGAAGCGGTGATGCAGGCCATCTGGGAGAGACTGAATGAGACCAAGTGGAAGAAGATCCAGGAGAAGGAACGTGAATATGTCTTGGATGCTTTCAATGACCTCGCCATGGAAGACGCGCCTCCGGTGGATGAGGAGGAAGAAGAGACCGAAGAGGACTACGAAGACGCAGAGGATGACCGCGGACGATATGAAGACGACGAGGACGAGGACGAAGAGCGACAGGAGACAGCTGATGGGGACGTCAACTCCCAGCTGGCCGTGGGCTACAAATACGACCGCTCCTTTGTCGTTCGCGGTTCCAAGATTGGCGTCTTTACTCACACGCCAGATAACCACCTCAAGTTCTCGACCAACATCTCTAAGGTGACCACCCCCGGCGGCAAGTTGATGAACCCCAAGAAGGTCATGCTCCACAAAGAAGACAGAGACCTCATCATGCAAAACGACGTGGACCCGAACAAGCTTTACCGCATGGACATTGAGTACGGCAAGGTCGTCGATGAGTGGAATGTCCACGATGACATTCCCGTCACAACGTTTGCTCCGGAGAATAAGTTTGCCCAGATGACGGGCGAACAGACATTCCTGGGTATCTCTCACAATGCCCTTTTCCGCGTCGATCCTCGCCAGGCAGGCAACAAGATTGTCGATTCGGAGCTGAAGCAATACGCCTCGAAGAACGACTTCTCCTCCGTCGCCACCACCGAGAAGGGCTACATCGCCGTGGCCAGCAACAAGGGTGACATTCGCCTGTTTGACCGTCTCGGAATCCGCGCCAAGACGCAGCTGCCTGCACTTGGTGATCCCATCATCGGCATGGACGTTTCGGCTGATGGTCGATGGATTTTGGGAACCACCAAGAACTATCTCCTGCTCGTCGATGCTCAACAGCATGATGGAAAGAACGAGGGAAAGCTTGGTTTCGAAAAGCCCTTCGCCGCCGACTCAAAGCCTCGTCCTCGTCGACTGGCCCTCTCGCCCGAGCACGTTGCCCAGTTCTACCACGAGACTGGCCTGCCCGTGTCTTTCACGCCCGCCAAGTTCAACACCGGTGAGGGTGCGGAAGAGACGAGCATCATCACCGCGTCCGGACCGTACATCATTGAGTGGAACCTCAAGCGCATCGTCCGCGGCCAGAAGACGCCGTACAAGATCAAGCGGTACGAGGAGAAGGTCATGGCCGACGACTTCAAGTTCGGCTCCGACAAGAACGTCATTGTGGCTCTGCCCAACGAGGTCAATATGGTTGCCAAGCAGAGCCTCAAGATGCCTACGCGCGAAAGCATCATGGGCGACGTGCGGCTGCTCGGCAGCGGACGCAAGTCCGGGGGGCGTATCAGCACGGGCAAGAGTGGGCAGTATAAGCTGGGACGGGATGACATTGTGGAGTCGCCTTATTAGAGAGGAGGGGCTGTGTAGGTTTTCCTCTTAGATGGAAATCTTGAAAGAGAGCAATCTTTGAAGGAAGTGAGGCGTGACATTGACGGATGGGCTGGGCTGGGCTGGGCTGGACGGGATGAGGGCTAACGATGACGATGATGATGGGATACCATAGGCTTGTTTTTTTTTTTTTTTTTTTTTTGTTGCGATTCAAGGGGATGGAGTTTGCTGGGCTGAACGACGTTTTTGTTACGAAGATTTTATCATTATCTCGCCTAGATAACTGTATGTATGCAGAGAACATTAACTCCGGTGAATTTATACAGTCATGGCCTGCACGTTGTGAACTGAGTAACTGCCATGCAATACTGGCTCAATGGAGCTGTGTAGATCTGATGATGATGATGGTCATGTATGGTGACCAATGCACGAAGAGAGTAACGACAAACGGTCATTAACATATGATTTTTTATAAAACCCTCATATACGTTTTTTTTATTCGCTAACCCAGCGTCCATCGTAAACACACATGATCAAAAGGAAGAAGAAAAAAAAATGCACCCTTGGGCTACCATGAAACCATCCATTTTGAATGAAAAAAGAAACAGCCCGCAAACTTTGTCCAAAGAAAACTATAACAATGACGACCAAACAGCAACCAATCCATCACACCCCTCCCCTTACTCCTACTGAGACGCTCCCGGCGCCTCAGCAGGAGTCTGCTGCTGCTGCTGCTCCTCACCGCCCGTTACCATCTCCGTCGCGTCCTGGGCCACCTGCTTCACCTTTTGGGTGACGTCGCCGACGACGGCGCCGGCAATGTTGCGCAGCGTCTTGGGCTGCGTGTTCTCGGCAGTGAGGCGCGTCATCTCGGCCACGAAGCTGGCTCCCCACCAGGCGCTCGTGTACTTGAAGACGTAGCGCTCGAGCTTGCGGTAGTTGGCCTCGCGCTGCTCGGGGCTCATGGTGACGGCGTCGTGGATGGCGTTGGCCAGCTCCTCCGTGTTCCAGGGGTTGACAATGAGGCTTCCGTTGAGGGACTGGGCGGCGCCGGTGAACTCGCTGAGGATCATGACGCCGTGGCGCTCGCGCTGCGTGGCAATGTACTCGTACGAGACGAGGTTCATGCCGTCGCGCGTGGAGGAGACGAGGCACACGTCTGAGACGGCGTACAGGGCTGTGAGCTCCTCGAAGGAGACGGACTGGTGCAGGAAGTGGATGGGCATGAACTCAATGGTGCCGAACTTGCCGTTGATGCGGCCGACGAGCTCGTTGACGACGGCGCGGAGGTTCTGGTATTCTTCCACGTCTTGTCGGGACGGGACGGCGACTTGGACGAGAACAATCTTGCCGATCCACTCGGGGTGCTCTGTCAAGAACACCTCGAGGGCATGCAGCTTCTGAGGCACACCTTTGATGTAGTCAAGACGGTCGACGCCGACAATCAGCTTGACGCCCTCAAACTTTCGCTTGAGCGTGGCGATGCGCTCCTGGACCTTTGGCCTCTGGAGGCCCTCGACAAACTTTTCGGGATCGATGCCGATGGGGAAGGCTCCGACAGTAACGAAGCGGCCGTTCCAGTCGACGCCGTTGGGAGTGGTGGGAGTATCGAGGATTCGGGAGCAGCTGCTAAGGAAGTGGCGAGCATAGTCGTACGTGTGAAAGCCGATGAGGTCGCAATCGAGGAGACCGGTCAGCAGAGCCTCCCGCACAGGGAGAATCCGGTAGATCTCGCTGCTGGGGAAAGGGGTGTGGAGGAAGAAGCCAATCTTGACATCCTTCTTGGTGTTGCCAATCTCCTCTCGAAGCATCTGCGGCAGCAGCATCAGGTGGTAGTCGTGGACCCAGATAAGATCGCCGTCCTGCACATCCTTGATGACGGTCTTTGCAAAGAGGCGGTTGACTTCCTGGTACGCCGCCCACGCAGATTCGTCAAAGGTGATTTCACCGGGGTGGTAGTGGAAGAGCGGCCATAGGATAGAGTCTGGGACGAGAGAAATCCATAGTCAGCGACGTCACTGGTGACAATACAGTCAAGAGACGAGAGAAAGAGAGAAAAACCCACTGGCAAAGCCGTTGTAGTGTCTGTCTGCGAGTTCATCATCGATGAATACGGGATGGGCGCCGTACTCGTCCTTGAGGCGCTTCTTCATGCCCTCGATTTCGTTTTCGGGCACCTCAAGACCGGGCCAGCCATACCACTGGAAGCTGGTCGTTTTGCTGAGGCCACTGAGACCGGTGACGAGGCCGCCCGACGACATGGAGAAGCTGTAGCTTCCATCGTCGGAGCGCTTAATGGTGATGGGGAGGCGGTTTGAGAGGAGGAGGAGGCGGCCAGAGTTGGCGGCCTCTCCGCTTGATCCAACAGCAGCAGGCATTGTGTGGTTTTTTTGTTTTTGTCGGCCGTGAAGTGATTCCCAGCTGTCAGAATTGTGTGTATCGCAGCTCGTTAAATTCAGCTCTTGATTCAGGCTGAGCAGATGGTTCGTTAGGTGAGGCTACTCGGCGTCTAACAACCAGCTAAAGGAAGCGTGGCAACGGCCGTCCAATCTGATGGCTCGGGATGACGACAAGCTGAGCAGCGCAAAAAAAAGGCTCCGGAGGGGCGCACGGCTTGGCGGCCTGTTGTATGGCAGTCGTTATCGCGAAGAGGCAATCGCAGTCATAGGTTAGATGGACCTCGACAATTGTTTGACACGAGTCGATGTTCGAGGCACGCGGCAGAAACGTGTTGAGCTGAAGAGGAGGTGGAAGAGATGCGGCTTCGCGTTCGGAATACGGAATATGACGGTGCTGCTTTAAAAGCTTACTGGAGCATCGACTCTTATATGATCCGCCTCGCAACTCCCAGCACTAGAAGAGGCAGAGGAGGGGGAGGGGCAGCTGTTGGGGGCCCTGGTTAGCGGCTATTGCCCGGGGCTACGGGCGTCTTAGCGCAGCTCGAGGCCTGAAGGCTCGCTGCATTACAGCTCCCTGACGCAGTCACACAAGGCTCATACCTCGTCATCTCATTTGGAGGTCAATTACTACCTCCTAGTAGTACCTTAGGTCCTAACGTCTGCAACGGTGATGAGGGATATTATTCTCTGCATGTACATACAGTACTTGGCAGTGCCCTGTCCTTGGATAGACCTGACAGCATACATATTAATGTCTCTGCGGGAAGCTGTACCTTATCTGCCCAAGTTCAGCAGCATTGGTATTAGAACAGCCCGACAACAATCGCCATCTGTAAAACTGGCCCAACTGTGCCTTTGTGTTGCCATGTGTACAGTAAGGTCGGAGCAAACAGTCCGATCCCGCGATCAGCGATCAGCGATCTCGAAGCGGGAACAGACACAGAACAGAGCAAACTCTGATGCGATGAAAACATAATCACGGCATGCTTTCGGTCGATGCCCAGATCCTGACGGGTACTTGCTCGGGTGCCGTGTCAGGCCGGCCTTTGTTGACGTCAACGCTATGGGGCTGCCGTGAACAAGGCCCGGAAAATTCCACTGCAGGCTGGGCGGATACAGGCAGTATTACTAGTACCTATCAAGCGTCAGGCAACGGAGGGGGGGCCAGATTGGCAGTTCCTGATTCGAGGCGCTGGCCAATGGGCGATTGCAGCATGGCCATGCATCCATGATACTGGATTGAGTGTTCTGTATTGTTGGCAGCTTGAATCAACCGGGCCGGAGCAGAGTGAGGCATCTACTGTACGAGCACATACTTCATACCTTGGTAGGTAGGAGGTAGTACCTTATCTACAGGAGGTAGTTTTGATATGAATCCTCCATGTGTGTTGGTGCTGCAGGCAGGGCGAGAAAAAACGGAATCGAAAAAGCAATTAAGCTTCTTTCGTCTTCCAAGTTATTCCCTGCCCTTGGCATGGCTTTTCCAAGTATTTTGCCGATGCGTTTTCACATGGCCCGCGAAGAGACGGGTAGTACAGAAAGGCCCACATGATGGGCTTGAGAGTCCATCTTCCGTCAAACAATTTGCGCCAAATGTTACAAGCGGCTTCTATTGCCCAGGGAAAGCCACCAGGACCTTATCTAGAGTTTCCAGTAGTCCGTAGTGAGGCAAACAATGAGAATTGAAATCTCAGGTAATGCATACGATACCTACCTAGGCACCTGAATTGCCCCGTGCCTGATTGATTGTGAGTGGCTTGATCTTGTCCAGAGGACATTTTGGTGCACCTTTGGCCAATGGCTCGAGAGGAAAAGATGCTGGCAGAACCAACGGAAAATGGCTTACAGTGACCCCACGACAGCTTCCAATTGCAATCCTGGTGGTGACTAGGTTGGTAAACTTACCTAGGTAGGTATCGAAAGGAAATCTTCAGGGCTGAAGCTGTTCGGCACGCACCCTGACAATCATAAGGTACCGGACTCCGTATCTCGATGACCCACTTTTCTTCCTGCTGCAAACGCGAACAGTTCAACTTTTTTGTTATCGATAAGAACCTCAACCCGTATCTCAAAGGGCCGTATTTTTCATTCAATGTCCATCGCGGCGGCGATAGCCTCATCAACCTCACCAGCCCACCAGCCCTGTCGCCTTGGGGGGAGCCGCGCATCGCCATGGACTCGTCGCAGGACTTCAATTCCCTCCAGGAGGGCATCCAGAAGGCCCTCATCTCCACCATCAAGTCCGCCAATCGCATCGCGTCCCACGACCTGGCCTTCCAGCGAACCGTCAACCCAGACGTTGCCGAGCAGCTCGACGACCAGACGTCGCGCATTCTCGACCTCTCGACGCGACTGCTGAGCTCGGCGGCCAAGGCATGTGGCGTCAAGGCGCCCAAGCTGGAAGATCCCGAAGATGTCGACATGAACTGGCGCAAAGTGGTGGATGTCGTGGACTCTGTGCTGGAGAAGGCGGACCGGGCCCTAGACGAGTATACGGGGCTGATCAAGCAAAGAGACAACGGAGACTCGGATTCTGTAAGATTTTTTTCCAGCAGAGCGCTCTTGAGGAAAGCTTCTAATCTCGTCACCTGTAGAATTCAAAGACAAAACAAGCCAAATCAACGAGCAAAGTCATTCGCAATGCCAACGTCAAGAAGCCGCAGCTGGACTTTGAAATCCCGCCGAACAACTTCCCCGATGGACCTTGGAAGCCCCTGTTGACGGAGAAGCCGCACGCCAAGGTGCCTCTCGAAGACAGTCTGGTCACATTTGTTGGAGACAATGGAACCACTCAGTAAGTCTGCGAGATTACGATTCGCCGTGCTCCCAGTACCCTCACTAACAGCTCGTTCTTCTCTCCAGATACAAGCATCCGTATGAGCCAGAGATCTTGTCAATGCAGTACCCCGATCGAGTCTTCCAGGTCCTTGACCCCATACCCCCCCAACCAGTCGAGACGACATCAGCCACGTGGGTTGATACATACGAGGGTGTTCTCGAGATGCTCCAGGAGCTGAAACAAGCAAAGGAAATCGCAGTCGATCTGGAGCACCACGATTTCAGGACTTACATCGGCCTTGTGTCCTTGCTGCAGATCAGCACTCGGGAGAAGGATTGGATCGTTGACACATTGAAGCCCTGGCGTCACAAGCTCCAGGTGCTCAACGAAGTATTCGCCGACCCTACCATCGTCAAGGTGAGCATTCCACCAGCCGGACGCCCCTGTCCTCCTACTTACACTTCTCATAGGTCTTCCATGGCGCGTACATGGACATGGTTTGGCTCCAGCGAGACCTTGGACTCTACGTCAATGGTCTCTTCGACACATTCTTCGCAAGCGATGCCCTGCATTACTCTAGCAGAAGCTTGGCTTTCCTTCTCTCCAAATTTGTAAACTTCGACGCCGACAAGCGATATCAGTTGGCCGATTGGAGGATACGGTATGATGCAACAATTCCCGAACTATGTTAACCGTGTGCCTTTGCTAATGCCGTCCAGACCTATCCCTGAAGAGATGCTGTTCTACGCCCGCTCAGATACCCACTTCCTCCTCTACATCTATGACAAGATCCGAAACGATCTGGTACAAGTCTCGGACCGCAGCAACCCCGATAAGGACCTCATTGGCCGTGTGCTTGAGAAATCGCGAGAGCTTTCCCTTTCACGTCATGAGCATCCCGAATTCAACGAAGAGACGGGCGAAGGGTCTAGAGGCTGGTACAACTTTGTCCTGAAGAACTCGCACTTGGGCTACAAGAGTGAGCAGTTTGCTGTTTTCAGAGCGCTCTGGAAGTGGCGAGACGTTACTGCGCGCACGGAAGATGAGAACCCTAACTTTGTGCTGGGCACAAACAACCTGGTCGATATTGCGCGCGCCAACCCCCCCGATGCCAAAGCTCTGCACAGCCTGCTGCCACTCACTGCTGCTCTGGCCCGATCTCGGGTCAATGAGATCTGGAGCCAGATTCAGGAGCTAAAGGCACAAGGCGGCCCGACGCTGCTGCAGTTCTTTACATCTCGTGATCCAGCAACATTACGGCATAATGCTGCAGCTCCCCGAGCAACAAGAGCACAAAATGCAGCCTTGAAGATGGAAGAAGCAGCCATTGCGGCCAAACTGCCGCGCTCGCAGCTGTTTGGGGATGTCGCTGTCAGCTCGCGATGGGATGGAACGAAGGAAGCGGAGATTGCGGAAGAAGAAGACTACTTCCCCTTCCCTTGGCAAAGGTTTGTCGAAGATATCACAGACTATGTGCCTGTCGCCGAGCCTGTGCCAGCGGAAGAAACCGTGAAGGAACCAGTTCCCCCTCCGGAGGTTGAGAAAGATGAAGAATTTACCCTGCGAAGAGGACAGAAGAGAAAGTCCGAGGCCATTGAAAACGACGAGCCTTCACCCAGTGAGGATGAGTCGGCTTCCGACAACGACGAAGAAATGGAGGATGATAACAGAGACAGCAACGCCGTCATTGAGATCGAAGCTGAAGAACCACCTCCCAAGGCGGCTAGGAAGGCGAAGAAGCTGGAAAAGAAGAGGAAGCGAGAAGAAGCCAAGAAGGCTCAGGAGCAGCAGCACTTGGAGCTTCGTACCAAACGGCAAGAGGAAAAGCTTGCTCGCAAAGCGCAGCGAAAGACTCAGACGCAGCAGCAGGCCGACACGGGAGATCGCGCCAAGTACCAGGCTGTTCCTTTCGACTACAGCAAAGCAGCATCCGTCCTTCACGCCAAGAGAGAGGATACCAAGGCGGCGGCTCCCGAAGACAAGAAGAAGGTGTTTGACCCATATGCGAAGACGGGCGATGACGAGATTAAGCCGGCAAGACGGATGCCGCCAATCAGGGGTGAGAGGAGTGCTACGTTCAAGAAGTGATTGGGAGAGGGTGGTGGTCGGTTACGAGCATAGATTGGCCTTCGGTTGGGCATACAGGGAGAAAACGGCGTTGTACATAATTGAATCTGGGAGCCTTTCAAGAGCTTCCCATCTGGACAAACCGATTGTATGAGGCATTGTGTGATATAAGTGAACCTTTATGTGAAATATATCTGTAGTTGGTATGCATCTTGTAGGATCTTCAACGTTGCTTGTCTCGCTCGAATGTATGTGGCTGGATTCCTGTATTGTACAACCACTTTGAGTCTACATGTCGGCTTTTCCGATCAAGCCTTTGGGTGGAAGAAAGGTGGCCTGACGTTGTCTCGTTTGATAACCACGCCATCCAAGTCTCTTTACGCCTCCCTCACCCAAATAGGTGGCCGCTACAATAGCTGAGTCTCTGTCAAGTCTGCAGCCTCTACGATGTCTACAATGTCTACGATATCTACAATATCTGCAGTTGTTACATATATCTGCGCTCAACTTACCTACTATTTGGACAGTAATCCTGCACTACTCCCAGTAGGCAGATAGATGGTGGCTTCGGCAACGTCAAGCCACGGCTTGAACTCAATCGCACCAAGCTATAGTAGCAACAGGCCGACACGTTTCTTGCCGCAACGCCGCCAATTTCCAACCCTCTCATTCGAAACCAAATAACCCTACCCATACATACGTATCGTATTTTGAATAGGCAAAATAGCAGATATCCTTGCTTATAGCCCCCCAGCTTGCACGGCTGATGTAACGTCGTTGCATCTTCATCAGGCGAGGTCATGTGACCCGTGAGGGGGAAACTGTGAGGGGAAGAGCATCGCGACTGCCATGTCTTCTTCTTCGCTCTTCGCTTTTCGCTTCTCCCTTGTTTTCCTCCTGCTGTGTGCATTTCTCACGCATCTTGCCACTTCCAATCTGCAGAACCAGGCGTCTTGAATGACTGCGATATGCGAGAAGCGGCCACGATGGCGAGAACATCTGGATGACGTCGATCAGGGATGAGCGCGGGAGGTGCTGCACGGATTCCAGTGGTGCGGGACTGTTTGTGAGTATCCCAGGGGCGGAGAGTGACACTCCCGGTCTGTTGGCTGACCTGGAGGAACTTCCAAGTATTCCCGTGTTCAGAGGTGGTTCCGGACTCAGTCGACAATATCGTGCGAGCACTTGATCGCCAGCGGGATTGCGCTCCAGTACACGAGTGTGTAATTCTGCCAGTCAACCTGGGCCCAAAACGGCAACATCACAATCTCGTATGATAGACGGAGCCTATGCTGAGACGATACTCCGATGTCAAGGGGATCTCTCGACTCCTTGTATGGTCCACGCCGGATTCGAGCCGCCCCAAGCCGAGGAGATTACCAAAGCCACCAGGAGTCTGGGGTCATGGATTCGATTTTACCAGGAAGGAAGCTTCACATCAGCCGGCTGAAGCGCATCGAGCCAGGTCTTCTGAGCTGGCAAGCAAAAGCCAGGAATCCAAGTCGCAGACGCATGTCTGGTTCGTGGAGAGAAGCCGAGCCTGGGATTTTTCGATGAGTTACCCGTCGTGCCTGTTCAGACGACGAGCGCACACCATTCCAAACCGATGACGGACATGGCTGCACGAGTCTGAAGAATCCTGCATTCTCTGGTTGTATCCGACATGTGTGGGCAGACGCCGACTAACAGAGGCATCCTCCTATATATGATCCCAAGCTCAAACGCCTGATCCACTATGGGGCACGAGACTCGCGCTCTCTCCTATCTCGTTTAGATCCACCAGTTCACCAAAGGGCCATCAATCTCGATGGAAGCAAATCACGTCAGCTTCCAGTGAGGCACAAGAGAAACCCCTCCCCCGCCAGAAGCACTTTGACACCGTGTGGAGCAATGCTTTCTTCAATCTGTGGACACCATGGTCGATATATCACGCACAACATGGACCTCACCAAGTTGTTCAAAACGGAGGGAAAAAAAGAAAAAAAAAAAAAAAAAACGTTGCCATGAGCTGCTTGCTTGTGTGATTACTTCACGGTCATTGCGCACGGCAATAGCTCTCTGCTTACGGAGCTTGAACTGCTCAGCCTCCTGTGGCAATGGAGCGATTGATGACCGGGTGAAAACAGTGACTAGGACAGTCAACAGTCAAGCATTGGCAACCAAGTGCTGCGCATGCTCAGGCTGGAACGGCAGTGGATGATGCTCATTCTCGGCGTCAATAAGCCATCGCGGAGTGAACATGTCAAAACCCTTCGAATTGAAGGGGCGGGGTGAATTGAGGCTTTTTTTTATTTTACAGTCAACTCCACGAGGGAGCAGGATGGGCGTTACCCAAGATCTATTGAGACAGAGGACACCATTTTCATCGATGACCACCTTCCCCAACCTCTAACACCGTCTATGATGCACTTCCTTGTTTTTTCTGTGCACGTTGGCACTCCAATTGCATTTGATAAACCATCAAACTCCAAGTGGCGGGCGGTCCAACGTCGTCCCCTTATATTAGTTGCTCCATCCACCGGCCGGAGCTTTTCCCATCTCTCGAGAGGCAATTTAGGTCTGCAGGGCAATTGGTCAGACTCGACTGAGCTCGGCGTTGTGGGCGAGAGGTCGAAAACACTTACGAACTTGGCCATCAGGGCAATCATGAGGTCGAACAGAGCGATAGCCTCGACGAAAGCGAAACCCAGAATGGCGTAGGAGAAGAGCTGGCCACGGAGGGCAGGGTTGCGGGCAACACCGTTGATGAGGGCGGCGAAAACGACACCGATACCAACACCAGCACCGGTCAGACCGATGGCGGAAGAACCCATACCCAAGTTCTTGGAGACCTCAACCATGGCCTGGGCGATCTCGGAAGAGTAGGCGCGGCGCTGAGCCTGGAAGGCGTTGCGGCCAGCAGCCTGGATGGTCTGGCGCTTCATGGCCTGCATGGGGCTGCCTTTACGACGAATTCATGTCAGCAATTGAGCTTCGTCGATTGAGCTTTGCTGGAATTCCCTCTGGATGATCGAAAACACCGCGGTCCGACCTCCATTTGCTGAGGGAAAAAGTTTTTCTTCGACTCACCGGTGGTGATGGTGCGCTTGGCAGCGGCAACGGGGGCACGCATGGCAGGGCGGGCAGCCTTGGTGGCCATCTGGGAAGCCAGACGGGAAGCAAAGACGCGGGAGGCCATTGTGATGGTTTGAGGAGGGATTGGAAGGTTGGACTGGAAGGGTTGGATGGAGTGAGGCAAAGGTCAAGTCTGGAGGAAGAAGGAGAGAGAGAGAAAGAGAACTGGAGCTGGATGGAGGAATGGCAAGAAAAGAGGACCCACCTGGGGGGGGACTGGCCTAGGGGCATTGAGGGAGGTCAGCCGGGGCCATGTTGGACAAACGAGTGAAATTCCCACCGCCGGAGCCAGTGGATGACTGAGGCCGAAGGACCGGTTTGTGCTGGAAAAGCTGTGGTGCAAATCTGTGTCCGGCAGACGAAGCATTACGCCAATGGCTCCTCCGTCCAATCGGGGGAAGCCGGGTGCGGATTCGCAGCAGACTCGAGCCGCCCCGAGGAGAGAGAGCTCCTCAAGTTTGGCACTTGCTGCGAGTTTTACGGCCTCAGGCTTCCAATCGAAAGCTGTTTGAACAGTCCTCGGCCTACTGTGCTCGTCCGTGAGAGCGCCAAAACCTTGGAGGTGCCGGCATTCATTCCAGTCAAGAGCAGAGCGGCTGGCCTGTGGCCATTGACGTTTGGCCAGGCAAGCCATTGGCTTCCATCGAAGTCGATTTACTGGCCGCACGGCAACAGACCTTGGTGCGAACCTTAATCGGACCAAACAGATGGCTATTACCACCACCACCAGGCAAATGCCCTACGACGATAAAAAGCCCGCCATCTTTTAAGAGATGAGTGTTACCAGCGAGGCTATCCGAGGCTGATGATGAAGTCACACTGCTGCTGCCCCGACCTATGCTGCCATGACTTCACTTGTCTGGGTGGGCTAGCAGGCCAGGAAAATTTTTCTGCTTTTTTGTTGTCTGAGGCATGAAGAAAAAATGGCGCCTAGGCACGGTCTCTAGGACTCCTATAATATCAGGATCGACTTATCGGACAGCAGAATTTTTACCGCGTTCAGATAGCATGAAGTTGTACGACTGGATGAGGCTGGCTGGCTCAAGCCCCCACGCCCCACTTGGCGTCATGGCGAGGGGTGCGAACACGACGATATCAGCACGTTGCTGCTGCGAGTCTACTGTCCTGTCCACGGTACGGCTGCTACGCTCACAGAAGAAAGAAGCATAGATTTGGGTGTCTGACACGTGGGTGGGCCTGCAAGGGTTTGCCCGGCTTTGATTGCGCTGCGTGTCTGGCCGAGCGTGAGGATAGATGCTGGGAGGGGTGTGAAGAAGACGCGGGAGAGAGGTGCAGAGTACACGGATGCAAAGTATCGCAGGGAAGACCACGGGGCTGCCAGCAGTCACCTCGGACAGCCATCTATACCTCGGGGCAGAGTACACGACATGTGGTTCTGGAACCAGCTGATGCCATTGAGATAAGGATGGAGACGAGGGAGTCACAGCTCATGCCTGAGTGCTCGACGCTCGAGCTGTCGTCAGACCCCCTGGTGACTCTTCCATTGCAAAGCAAGAAGCAGAGTTTGCGCGGCGGTATAAAAGGGAAGCCGTATGCCTGCCGCTTGTCTTTGTCCCTACTCTTTTGAACGATCTGGTGTAATGTCCAGCCCTGGCCCAGGTGCCTACATACACCACGATGGATGCGTGCCGGATCTTGTCACAGCGATGGCAGTCGGCAGGGTGACCTTGTTCTGTTGCTCGGGTCTCACAGCAAACACCACCTACTACGAGCCTCGATAGGTATTACCGAATACCTCGTACGTGCGACGTCTAATACCGAGCTCCGTCCGCCCTTCCGTCCGTCCTACCACCTGCTGTCAACCTACAATACCTGCCGTGGCATTCGGCCAAGCGTTCGGTACAGGCCCCGATGCACGATGATGAGACGATGGTACTCGACGGCGATCACAGCAATAGCAGCAGCTCGACCAGCATCAGCCATCCGAATGCGGCCTGCCATGGAACGTTGACTGCCGAGCCCTGCCGCTGCTACCTTGCAGCATGACGTGCCCTGCACGATAGCTGAGGTTTCACTCAATCTGCGCTGTCATTCCCAGCGCCGCGGTGTGCCCAATGGGAGCAGGGCGCCCAACACCCTCTTCGCAGCGCTGTTGCCGCCGCTATTCGCGCCTCTGTGCCGCAGCTACGACGCAATGGCAGGGGTTGGAAAGGTCTGGCGGTGACCAGCACAGGCACCGAGGACGCCCGGCTGCTCGGCCCAAAACCAACGGACGTCAAGCCGATGGCGGCTGCGAAAATTTTTCCAGACGAGCCGGAGCAGAGCCTCGCTACTCAGCTTGCAGAGACGGCCAATCAGGGTCCCACCCCCCTGGTAGTCGCATCACCAGGGCCACGAAGCCCTTTGGGCATCGCGATGCTCCTCAACAGAACTGTCGCAAATTGACGCAGTACGAGGCGATGCATTGCAGGCTTCCATTACAGCCACTGATGGTACCAGGACGTACGAATGTCGTCGGGTATAAGCACCACATCTCACGCAGACGAAATCGTGCTCATTGCTGGGACTTTTCTGCTCTGGTTTGCTGCTTTTGCCCATTGACTTTGGCCACTTGACGAGTCAGGTAGCTGTTGATGTGAATGCTTTGCCTCATTCGGAATGGGTTACCACTGCCGCTTCTTGTTGGCTGCGGGGAAGTCGTTTGCCAGAAACAGCAGTGACGCGCTTTGATTGAGCGTTGTTTCAATATTGGTAAGGTGTGCTGAGGATGGCCTTGGAACGCTTCACTCAAAGCTTTTACACGTATCTGTATCGACCCAGCTGTGTCGGACGTGAGGTTGCCTTATCAGGCTCATGGTAACCAGCCGGATGGATCTGTCAATCTGCCGTCCAGCCTCGCCTTTTCCCAAGGCTACCCCCCCTTGTCCTCAGGCATGCATCCCTCACGCATTTTCTTTCTTCTTTGCTCCGAAAACTGTGCATGGATAATGCGAGTGCAAGGGGGGCGTGTCGTTATGGGGCCTGGCCTCCCGACACTGGACGAGAATTATCCGGATCGAAGATTGCTTGCTGCTACTACATACTATGGAGGAATGATGATGTAGACGATGTTGTAGTACTCGTAGTGAGCTTGCTTGGCCCTTGTAACTGCCTGGTGATAGTATATCGCGCATCATTCCAAGTGTGTAGAACGAAGACTCCGTACCCTGTGCATATTGCCAGTATGGACCGCGAGATACATATGACCGAGTCAAAAGCAAATGAGACTTTTTCTCTTCTCTTGAGGGCATCGAGACACCCCACAAGATAGGTATGATGCCTTTCTCACATGGTGTCTAACTTGAGCTGGCTACCTACATCTGGAAGCTGATGAAGAACCTTGAAGGCTTCCGTCTCCGGAGTGACTTATGTTGGTAGGTGCCGTATTTGATAAGCTGCATCTTTGCTTTTGCGAATATCTATAATATCAGCAAAGCTCTGCGATCGTCTGCAAGGTCAGCAAATCTTTGCAATATCTGCCGAGCACGACATTAAAGGGCTGCACAAACAATTCAAGGTGTTCGGCAGGGTTTCTTCAGCAGACGACTTCTAGAGCCCTTCTCCGTATACTGTCCCGGACAATATCACACCGAGCAGAGAGCACAAGTATCAAGCAAAAAGCAGCAACAGCAACTCACATCAGCAAAGGAATCAAAAGGAGAGATATGTAAACCAAAAACCAAACGATAAAAGAAACCAAAAAAAGGGGGTATCATTGTAATTCCCATTACGCCAAAAAGCCCAACCACACACATACACACACACACTTCTGATGTTTTCTTCTGTTTCTATCCTCTCGCCAATTCCTCGTCCCGAGACTCGGCGCTCTCGCTGGCCGCCTTCTCCGCCTTCTTCATCGCATACCCCTCCACGAAGCCGCTCGGGTCGCACGTCCTGTCCAGCACGAGCCGATGCGCCGCCACGTACCGCCGCACCGCCTCCTTGTCGATCCGGACGCGCGGGACCTGCTTGACGGCGGCCGGCTTCGGCTTCGGCCTCTCCTCGTCTTCTTCCGCCTCGGCTGATGCTCGTTTGATGTTCTGTTTCGCCGCATCTTCCTCGCCGGTCGCTGCTGGTTTCTTCTTCTTGTCTTCTTCGGATGCTTGCATCTGCATCTGCATCTGCATCTGCTGCTGTTGTTGCTGCTGGTGCTGCTCGTCTAGGAGCTCCGGCTTTCCGGGCCCGACACCAGCATCCTCCGCGACGCCCATGTCTCTCAGCACCCCCAGGCAGTCCTCTGGCGAAATCCACGTCGCCTGACTGCAGTCCTCGACATCCACAAGCGTCTCCTGGCCGCTCTCCGCGTCCGCCGGCGCAACGTCAAGGCTGAGCAGCCACCGGGCAATTTCCCCGGCCCAGAAGCGCTGATACCCCTTCTTACCCAGATCAGATATCGGCTTCTCTGGGCCCCCCATGATGCCCTCTCGTCGGGAGATTTCGTAGGACGCGCCCATCAAAAGGGCGCCGAGCCCCTTGCGCTGCCACGGGGGAAATATCAGGATGCACGCCAAGTTGTTGTTATCCCACGACATCTTCTCCTTGGAGAAGAAGCCTGTGATCTGCGGCGTCACGGGAGGAGGAGCAACGCCTGCTGATGTCGCCACGGCTGGCGGCGGCGTGTAAACCAGCAAGAAATAGTTGAATCCCGTCACGTCAAAAAAGACTGACTTGTTGTCCAGAAAGAGCTTCGCAAAGAGCGACAGGTTCTGGCAGAAGAGCTGAGACGCGAGGCGGCTCGGTTAGCCTCGGGGGATGCCAGAAGATGATCAGAACATGCATGACTGGGGACTCACCACGTCCTTCTCTCCGTCCACTTCCCACAGGCTCCATTCGCCTTCGTCCTGTACGACTTCCTCGACGTATCGTATATTCCCTTCGCCCCGACGCTTCTTCTGGCCCGGACCGCGACTGCCATCCTGCGGAACGTAGACGGTCCGCCTGCCCTTGGGATGAACATAGATCTTGTTCCCTGGAATATGAGCCCGCTGCTGGCACAGCTTGACATGACCCCACCAAGCCACAAGCTCTTTGGCATACTTGAAGCAGCTGGGGCAGACATATAGCCTCTCCAGCATCGGCAGGCCATCCTTGTCCTTCTTGGACGGCCCCCTACCTGCGGCATCGAGAAGTCCGTCTTTGCTGCCCCCCTTTGCGTGGCTTGATGTAGCTCCCAGCACCTCTTTGCCGTAGTAGCTCGGATACCAGGTGCGGAAACATAGATTGCCCAAGACAACCTTGTCAATGTTTCGATCTGTCCTCGGAGGCGGTCGATCGGATACTGGCAGGGTCGGCGGTTTGGGCGGTAGTACAGGCGTGATTACCATTGGAGTCGGGGCTATCTTGTCGAGCCGCGGAGGTGGCGCCGAGGGTCCATGAGGCCTCACCAGTGACGACTGTCGGCCTTGCTGGTTCGCCTGAGGGACGTGATACGTGATTTCTGGCGCAACCAAATCCGAGGGCCGCCTGCGTTCCTTGGCCGAGACGCCGCTGCCCATCTCGGCCACGGGGGCTGTTCGCTTCTGTGGGATCTGTGCAGCGGGAGAAGCAGCAGCAGCTGCTGCAACTCTGGAGCTGGGCGAGAGGGGCGAGGGTATGGCGCTGCGGGGAGCAGCTGTCGCGAGGCCTTGCAGAGGCGGGAGGGCCTGGAGAGGCGGCGCAGAAGGGTTCTGAGGCTGGGCCAGGGCGTTGGTACTGGCGCCTGGCGGACGGGGGCCATTGCGCGCGCCTCGCTTCTGCGGATCGGCCACGAGGATCGGAGGCAAGGGAACGGCGGTGACGGCGGGTGCGGTGGCAGCGACGGCCATCTTGTGCGTCGTTGCGACTGGAGGCGCAGCGGTAGGAGGAGGAGGCGGCGGCGGCGGCACAAGCGCAGCGGCGGGCACCGGAGGAGGCAGCACAGGAGTCTGACGCGTCGCACGGCGCGTGGAGGCTTGCGGATCGGGCTGGGCGTCGGCCGGGGGCTCGGGATCGTCTGGACGCTTGCGCTTGTGCGGCATCGCTCGATGCTCGGGGCGGATGCGGCAGTCAGGCGTGCGGAAAGGAGCCTCTCGGGAGCGTCGAGCTGCTGTCGAGCATGGGCTGTGATGTCACGGGACGGCGGGATGCGGACGCGGAGGCGACGAAGCCATCTAGGAGCACGAGGCGGGGGGTCTCGAGGTGAGCGGTAGAGCAGCAGTTGTTGGAGCTGGACAGAAGCTGGCAGAGCAAGCAAGGAGTGAGAGGACCGAGAGTGAGGGTAGAATTGATTACAAGATAAGAAAAAAGAACAGCAGCCGTGGTGGTTCGTTTGCCGGCGAGGAAAGAGCCCGCGTTCAGGACCCGTCACGTGGGGTCGTGATAAGGCCGTCCGTTGAGTTTCGTCTGTCTGGACGTGCTTTGAGGACGATCGACTCTGGACACGACAAACAGCATCCCGAAGACTGCATATCGAATGCCCCTGCTTGGTCACTGACGACTACTTGCACCCGATGTCGCCATTGATGGAGTGTAAGGCAATTCTGGAGATGTTGATTTGCGCATGCTTTACAGTGCATGCATGATATACGTCACATCGCCGGGAGGCATCAGAGCATGCTGACCATTATAGACTCACGAATCGGGTCGAGATTCACAGCATGATACCAAGGTGGGATTCAGAACTATTTCAACAGACAAGACGATGAACAAATAGCCAGTTCCAACCCTCCAGCACGCCATCACAGCCACATGCCCCGGGGAGGCCTCACTTATACCACATCCACAGACAGGGGCAAAGGGGCTCGTCGCAAAGAGCAGCTCGGGGCGCCGCGAGCCTGCATGACTCTCTGCAGAGTATCGTCGCCCTCGCGCCAGTCTTTGACCAACGTTAGCAGGCGACGGCGAGCCAGCCCAGCATCCCGGTTGCGATACACGCTGTCGATTTTGCGCACCACCTTGTCGCTGACCAGCCATCGTTTCTCTTCCGCCAGAAAGTCGGAATACGACATGCCTTCGCCAAACTCTGCTCTCACATTGGCCTCGAGGTGCTCTCGTATGGCCTTTTCCGACTTGATCTGTTCAGTGGACGGAGCGTCCGGGTGGCGGAATGCCGTGTCCATTGATGGTACGAAGGCCACGGGCTTCCTGGATGCATCAGCCAAGATCGATGTCGCAAAGTAATACAGCAGGCTCGGAGCCTCGAGGATCGCCGGCGTCAGCTTGACAAGGCCGGGAGGCGTGACGGCGCAATGGCCCAAGTTGAAGTATTGCAGCTGGGGCGTGCTCCTGAAGAGGTGGGCCATGGCCGGGACTGCTTCATCCTCGACATAGTTGTACGCCTGACCGAGGTCCTCGGTGGCATAGGCCTGGCCGAGATCCAGACATTTGATTCCAGGGTGCCCAGTCAAGGCCTCGCACAGCGCCACGGCACCTTGGGTGCTGACCCCAACCGATTGTAACGACAGTCGGGCCAGATACGGTGCCTTGGGCAGTGCGGCTGCCAGAGCCTGAGCACCCTCGTTGCCAAGGGGGTTGCAGGACATGTAGAGGGACGTTACGCCAGCATGCGGCGATGCGAGGAAATTGCCGATAGCAGCTGCTCCCTCGGTCGAGATGCCGACGCCATTCATATAGATGTGTCGAAGAGGCAGCTTGCCGCCATCAGGGGGAGAGAAGGAGGCCAGACGAGTGAACAACTCGGCAACACCGCGGTCCCCGAGCTCGGTCTGGTCGAGGTCCAGTGTTGAAAGATTCTTCGTCTCGGTGCTTAGGCGATACACGTCACCAGCGGCATCAAGGCCCAAGGGATTTCGCTTCAGCCATATGTTGGACACTGACGGCGACTTGACCAGCGCATCGACAAGTGTCTTGAAGCCTTCGCCCCCCTGGATGCAGTTGCCGGCAAGATACCAAGTGTCCATGCGGTCCGGAAACTCGGCGATGAACCGGGCAATGGCCTCGACGCCAGCCGGGCCGATGATGTTGTTGCCCAGCAAAAAGTGCCGAACGTGCGTATTGGTACGCAGGCTGTCCATCAGCGGCCCGATGTGATCAGGCCCGACGACCATCTTGCAGAGATCCATCCGGCCGTCCTCATACACGACGCCTCTGCGGAACTCTGCACCGCGCACGCTGTAATACGGCTCGCCGTTGCCGTCGTGGAGCTCGACGGCGCCGTCGACGCCGTCGATCTCATGGCTGCCGCCGCTGGCCAAGTGCTCGAAGAAGGGCGCCAGCTCCGCCTCCTGGGCCACCTGCACCGGCATGGGGAGCGCGATGGCGCCGCCCAGCGAGATGGGCTTCTTGGCCGGGTCCCACGGCCCCTGTCTGGTGATGCGGCTGGCCCACGCAGGTGCCTGGACGCCGGGCTCGACGCCGCCCGTCATGCCGCGCGCCATCCTGCCGTTGCGCCTGGTGGCCTGCAGGAGGTCGTAGCGGCGCTGGAGAGAAGCCCATGCGCGGAGACGGACGCGGTCGGCGTTGTACCGGATGATGGCCGTCAGCGAACCCTCGTGGACCGGATGTAACAGCGATGCTACGGCCACGGCCAGATCATGTCGAGTCGACCTGCGGCTGGGCAGGTCGTGGAGGATGTCTGCGATTCGATGCTTGTCAAGCGGCAGGTCAAGGATCTCGTCGGCGGTGTAGCCCTGTGAGGGCTTGAGCACGTCGTCCAGGTGAGTGGACAGATCGTTGAGAGCGGTACGGCAGAGGCCGGCCAGGTAGGCTGCTTCTTCCTTCATAGAGGCGCCGGACTCTGCGTTTGAGCCATCGTCGGGCTTGATTCGAAGGACCAGGGACGGGGTTGAGCTGTCGAGCAGCTGGATCTGTGTAGCCGAAGCCATGGCAAAGTGCTGCACGAGGTGATGCTGTAAGGTGTTATTCGAAGCTGAGATGCTGCTGTCTCTCGATAGAAGAGACAAACGATGCGTATCTGGCTCCTTGAGGCAAGATGTAAGTGGCATCGAGCCTCTATAAATACCGTCTGTGTGACAGAACAGAGAGATCCAGATACAACTGCTCAACTCCATCACACGCCCATCACACGTCTATCCGATCCCCCTACCAACCCAGCCCAACGGCCTTCTCCCCTCACTCAGCCTCTCTCTCATCATGTGCCCACAAATCACCAGTACCATCCAGAGAAACAAAGGCAAACATCAACAAATGACAACCAAAAGGGCGCCAACGCACGCATCAACTCACCTACACCTCATCACGTCAATGCACAAAGCCATTTCCAAATCCAGCTCGCCGAGATGACTCAAGGAAAAGAGAAAGCCCACCGTCTCTCCTCAAACTCGGTCGAATCAGATCAAGATGATGAGCAGTTGTAACAATCTTAGACCCGTACATGCTAGTCTATGCGTACGGGAATACACCGTATACTATTATAACACTGTTCGCTAGGTAGTACTCGTAGCACTGACCGCAGGGCGTCGCCAAATCGTGTTACAGCTCGTATACCTACCTAGTTGAGGCATATGTACTACTACTAGGTAGTAGTAGTAGCAGGGATTGACCAAAGGGCGTAAGGCTGCATATCATGTCTTGATAGTCTTGGCGGGCTTGCACCTATAGGATCTCGCTAGTAGTAGCTAGGTACCTAGGTAGGCAGAAAGAATGCCGTCGAAGCGATCCGATCTTGATTGACACTACAACCAAGGATTCAAACTGTAAGACTACTTTGACCGCCGCATCAGGTCCCGAGAATCCCAGTGACTTTACAATTCCTTATAGAGCTACCTATGATGAGACCAAAGTACGGCGAACCATGACTCACATAGAGAGGCACTGTAGGTAGACACCGACATACCGCTATCCAACCCTCAACTCCTACTTCTTTCTACATGACTTACCTTTTCTCAAAGCGTCAGAATTACAAGCACGACATGCTTTCCATGACAGTTCACCACATCCTGACTTCAGTCGAAAGAACAAGAAGCTGTCCCAGCCATTCATGTAAAGATTGGGGCTACTGTTTAATGTATTTCGATAAAAAAAAAAGCACAGCCATAGTAAACACACCATTTCATGTCAAGATAATTTTTAAATGCCATCCAAGTCGCCGCCCAGGTCGTCGTCGTCCAGATCGCCCTCCTGAATCTCCTTGGCCATCTCCCTCTCTCGTTCACGCGCCTCCTGGGCATTCTTGAGCTCAAGACGATGTTGGTTCATGGGGAATCGCATTGCCTGCCCGACTCATGTTAGCTCACGCCATAGACTCTGTATCTGGAAAAAAAGAGACATATTGTCATGACTTACCTTGACGCTCTCATCGTGGAGGGCGAGGCATGCTCGGATGCGGTCGTGGAAGGCCTCACCCGGCTCTCTTGTGGCATACACGTCGCCCACCTCCTTGCTCTTCATGAAGCCCTTCTCTCGGTCCAGGGTTGCCTCAATCACGCCATCCCGGATGGCCTTGGCGACAATGTATTCGGCAGACTCCTCACTGCCGAGATGCAGGCGAATGCAAATGTCGCGTAGGGAGATGCGCGAGTATGACAGCGACATCATCCGAATACCCGTCTTGATGACGTTCTGGCGGAGACGCAGGATCAGTGTGTAGGTCCCGTCCCGCTTGAAGATGTCGGCGTTGTCGGCAATGGTGGTCTCAAAGTCCTCCAGGTTGCCCACGCGCACGGCCCGCACGAGAAGAAAGTACGGGTGGAGGGCGTCCTCCAGCGAAGGCTGCCGGAACGTGGCCCTGTCGGGGATGTCTCCCATCAGCAGCTCAACGACCAGCAGCAGCTTGGTGGCGGTTTGTGAGAAGCCCACGGCACAGCCGCTTGACGGGGCCTTGCGGGTGGCGGCTGTGAGGTGCTCGTGTGCCTCCGTGTATCGCAGCTGGATGGCCCGGATCCGCCCCAGATAGTACAGGAACCGTGCCACTTGGTTGTTCGCCGCATTCTCGGGGAACTGCGTATGTGAGACAAGCAGATCGGCTTGCTTGATGTGCGACGTCAGCAGATAGTTTCTCAGGAGCAGGACGATGACCGAGGCCTGCGTATCCGTGTCCTTGCGCAAGACGGCAGTTCGGAGAACGGCCAGGAGAGTAGGCCGGATGGCGACAATGGGCGATTCGGGAGACGGCGGCAGCGGCGCAATGTACTCGCAGAAGAGCGAGAAGTAAAAGTAGACCTTGGCCGACAGGCAGTCCAGCGTCCGGCGGTTCAGCGTCTGGATACGATCGGACAGGTACTTGGAGAAGTCGGCGCCCTGCTGGAAGTTCTTGGCATCGAAGAGATAGACCTGGACCAAGATGCCCAGGAAGACGTCGATCTCGGGGATAATCTCCTTGGCCTCCTTCTTGGAGGTGCCGTTCTTGGTAGCCTTTGCGTCGCTGTCCACCTCCATCTCGGCACCGGCGCCCCGGCCAAGCGCGACGTTCTCCCGGCCAACCGCGGACAAGAGGTTCTTGGCGATGCTGCTGGACGCCGAGCTGGCGGGGAATGTGTCGACAATCGCCTGCGCAATGACATCGGGCGACAGGTGTTTGCGGATGAGGGAGATGGATCGCAGGGCTCGCAGGGAGAAGCGGGCGTCGAAGAGCGCAACCGCACGGTCAAGGAGAGCAAAGTTGCTCTTGATGTCTGGAATCCGAGCAAACGAAACAAGGCGAGCTTTGGGTCAGCAAAGGAACATACGGAAATCAAGGGAGGAAAAAAAATATGCAGCCGCTCCTTCGGCTTCGTGTCTGCTCACCTGCTACCGCTTGCACAGCGGGATCGACCTTGTCCTCGGGCTTGTCCACGTCCATTGCCACGTCGCCTTCTGCGTCGGCCGCCGGGGCGGGCTGCTTGGAGGATTTAGGAGGGGGCACAACTACAGTCATGCTGTCGTCGCCGTCCTTTGCTGTCGGTTGGGCCCTCTCACGTTAGCTTCGTCCATGTCCTCGACAATTGGTTCTCGAGGGGTTCTCTACCGGGTGTCTTGCCAGGCATGGTGGTCAGGACCTGGACTGGGGATGCTGCACAAGGCCTTGGATGCTCTCTCTGACTGCTCTAGAGAGACACGAAGGACAACGTGTTTCGATTGATTCGGGAAAGGCGAGGTGAATCGATCGCCGTTTCTTCGAGAGCTCGTCGGATTCCGTAAGACGTCGAGGATGAAGGAAGTCGTCTGGCCACGGCTGGAGGACGGTACAGTACAAAGGCCAGGCCGAGCCAAGAATCAACGCCTTGTGTGCAGGGATCGGGCGTGGAGCTGCTGAAGGGGTCGAAGAGGCTGATGAAGGCGTGTCTCGTGGCTTGTTGCCTGTGAGCAGCTCGAAAGAGACGAGAGAGCAGCAGCAGGTTGGAAGCTTTGTCTGGGTGGGTGAGGGACAAGGCTCAAGGCTGGCAAGGTCGCGGTACGAGCAGCTTCGCAGGGCGGCGGGCGGGCGCGGAGGTAGCTCGACTTACCTAATCCGCCGTGAAGCTGTGGGGCAGGCCGCCACCTCAGTGACGTTGGCCATCTGGTGCCTACAAGTACTTCTAGGTACAAAGTGCAGCTGGAGGTACCGGGACACGGACTGCATGCCGGCGAGGTACCTACAACTCCAGGTGACGGACATTGGGACGTCAAGCTGCGTACAGTACAAGGGATGGGTATGAGTTAGAGTGAATTACTATGTAGTAGGTAGTAGGCCGATCTCGAGGTTGATGAGTTATAGGTACTAGGTAGGTAGTCAGTATTCACTGGACAAGATGCAAGGCGACGTCAAGATACCTCTGGGCAGTTGCTACGAGTGATTTCCAATGTGGTGAATGGAGAGACTCAAGCTCAGATGAGCTTCCAAGACTACACTTCACGCAGCAACACCTTTGTTTCATGACTGATATCATGTTGCTATATAGGGTCAAACCGCATCTCCGCCCATGTGCCGCGAGACAATCTTGCTCCTGGTCAATTGGCAATGCCAACCCTTCGGGGGTGTGTGGGAAAAACAAGCAAAATCAAATTAATCAATGGCCACCCGGCAATGTATCCGTATCCCTTTCCTGAAACGCCATTCCGTACCGACCTGTCCCTTTACCGTCCATATCCCCAAAACCTTCAGAATGTCCGTAGCGATACAACATGGCCGAGCCACATTTACTCGCCTTTGCCCGGCATCACCTTGGCGGCTTGGACAGCACTCATCTTTGCGATCCAGCCCGTCGATGGCTGGACTTTGCGCACCGTGCGCAGCTCGTCGGAGGAATAGCCTGGAACACGGATGTTGTAAGTTCGCTCCAGTATGAGCTGGATGTCGCGTATCTCGAGGACCTTGGACCCGCGTTCCTTGGAGTTCCTACACGCCGCGTGAAGGACATTATCCACGAAAGAATCGGCGAGGTTCAGGACGTTCTGTTGCTTGTTAGCAAATCTCTGTGGTGTGCTTGTCGGGTTCAGTGGTGCTTCTTCACCTCTTCGACCTCTGGAGTCAAGAGATTGCCGTCTTGACCCTCTGCAGATCCTCCGCAAACTTGGCGCACGAGCTCATCCAGCTTCTTCTTGCTGAGAACGTGGTCGCCCTCGGCGTCGTGATTGTATGCCGGTATCCGGGGCACTGCGGGTTGGTTCATGACACCTCCCACCGTTCCACCGCCCTGGGACATGGTTGGCCGTCCCGGGGCAACGCCGCCACCCACGGCCACTCCCTGGGGTACCGCAGTGGCCTTTTCCGGCAGCTGCTTGGGAATCGGCATCTTGGGCTGGACAGTAGTCTGCTGCTGCGTGGGGTGAGCATGCGGGTGGCCCTGCTGAAGCTGCGACCCCGACACGCCCATGTTTGGGTTGGTCGTGGTAGCCGTGACGGCGGCCGTGTTGACGTTTGCGGGCTGCTGGCTCTGCAGCGGTGCGCTTCCCGGCGTGTTTCCCGTCGCTCGTTGGTTAGCGAGGGACATTGCCGCTGAATGGCTGAGGGCTCGTGTGGGTTGACCTGGGCCGGCCACGGGTGTTGCAGTTTGTGGGGTTGGTACTCGGGCACCGGCTTGAGCAGGAGATGCAGTCTGCTGAGCAACCTGGGCCTGTGCAGCGGCCGAAGCGAGGGCGGTGTTGACTGGTGCGGGCCGCGGCGGCTCCGTCTTGATCTGCACCTGTGGCTGAGGTTGTCCTTGAGGTTGCACCTGTTGCTGTTGCTGCTGCTGCTGCTGCTGCTGATGCGCTTGCGCTTGCTGCTGCTGCTGATGCATCTGCTGTTGCATCTGCATCTGGTGCTGCTGTGGTTGCTGGGGCGGCGGTGGCTGCTGCTGCTGCATCTGGTGCTGCTGTGATAGCTGTTGTTGTTGTTGCTGCTGCTGCTGCTGCTGATGCTGCAGCGGTTGTTGTTGCTGATGCTGTTGTTGTTGTTGTGGCTGCGTTTGATGCTGCTGAGGCAACTGTTGATGCTGCAACTGGGGTGCCTGCATCTGCGGTTGGCCTTGCAGTTGCTGTTGCTGTCCTGCTACGGGAGCGTTCGGAACATGCCGTGCTTGCGGTTGCGGCTGCGGTGTGGGCGTAGCTCCCATGTTGTTTGGTCCCGGGACTCGATTGCCACCAGTCACCTGCTGCTGCTGACCTTTGGCTGCCTCTGCCGCGGCAGCATTGGTCATTTGCGCGCTATTCGGAGGCTTGTTGGCAGCCGTTGCAGCCGGAGCAGCCGTGGACATGACTGGCGTCGCATTGCCGGGCTGGGTGGCAGCGTGCGCAGCAGCTGCGCCAGCTGCCGCTTGGTTGGCGTGAGCCTGGGCCTGGCCAGCGCCCTGAAGGCTTCCCTGCTGCTTGCGAACGCCCTCCACCCATTTGTGGGCTTCGGCGTAGAGCTTGAGTTGCTGATCCTTTCTCAACTGAATCTGTCGAACCTCTTCCTCTTTGAGGGGATTGCCCTGCGCTGTCCGGTCGTTGAGCAGCTTTTCCCATTGTGCAACCTTGTTCTTGGTGGTTTCCATGGTCATGAGAGCCCGAGCATAGCGCTCCCTCATCTCCTCTATCCACTTGGCAGCTTCGGCGGACTTGTCAGCAAGCTGCACCGGAGGTCGGAATGTCATCTTGTTGACGTGCTGCATGTAGGCATCGGGTATCTTGGGACGCTGTGCTGCTGCAGCGGCAGCCGCTGTCGTTGCTGGGGCTTGAGCATTCTGCACCTGACCAGCCGCACTTTGGGCGTCACCACCTCCTGTTCCCTGAGGCTTCTGTTGCTGTGCTTGCGACTGAGCCTGTTGAGCCTGTTGAGCCTGTTGAGCCTGAGCCTGGGCCTGGGCCTGTTGCGCCTGTTGCGCCTGAGCCTGGGCTTGAGCTTGCTGGGCCTGTTGAGCTTGCTGGGCCTGTTGAGCTTGCTGAGCCTGTTGTGCTTGTGCTTGTGCTTGGGCTTGGGCCTGAGCTTGGAGGGCAGCATTTGGTTGCGTCTGCAGCTGTGCCTGAGGTAGTCCTGCTTGAGGTCGGGCTTGGGGTTGCTGTTGCTGTTGCTGTTGCTGTTGCTGTTGTTGTTGCTGCTGCTGCTGCTGCTGCTGTTGTTGCTGCTGTTGTTGCTGAGCAGCATGAGTCCTCCGCTGTTGAATCTTGCCAATCAACATTCTGGAAAACTCGATAATCTTTTGTCGAGCCGCGATCTGGTCTGGGCTGTTGCTTGGAGACCCGTTCATCTTCGTCCACAGGCCCCGCAGTCCCTGCTCGTACTTGGTCTTCTCGTCATCGCTGAGGTATGGCAGGTTTTTGATCTGGCCGGGCTGGTACATGGGCGGTCGGTTCTGGGCAGCCGGAGCCTGGCCGGCCTGAGGCTGGGGCTGGCCTTGCTGGGCCATCTGGCCCGGGGCGTTGTTCATTGTCCTTGGCAGAACAGGCGCGCGTGAAAATGCTCGACGATGAATCAGACGTGGGATTGACAAGGAAAGACACGCCGGAGGGCGGTGGTGGAGCAAAAATGGTTATGAGCAATGATGCCGCAGTCGAATCGGGTGGCCGGACAGGAAAGCTGATGAACGCGTTCTGAAGTGCTGGGACGTTTGAAGGCTTGAGGCTGTCACAGTTGTCGAGCTCGCTGACGAAAGAGGGTGTCCGCCAATCAAGGCTGACCTAGGCGTGGAGCGGCGTTTGCAGACGGGAGGCATGTGCCGGACTTTAAGCGGATACTACTAGTAGTATTACAGATTCACATTCTTTTATGTAAGCCAACTTCCGCCCAGTGACAGCTTCAAGAGTCAGCCAACAAGAAGCACTAACAAGCAGCCATTTCTTTGAGAGAAGCAGCAGATGCCTTCCCGACAAGTCCTTTCAATGCAGGTTGGGAATATGACATTTCTTGATGAATCAATCACGGAGTTGAACGAAGACAACAAGATAGAGCACAGGTGATCACTTGCTATACAACTACAGGCCACTCCTCGAGAAGATCCCGGCAGAAGTACCTAACTGCCTTAGCATGTCACCTCCGTACCTACCACATAACACGCTGAAGGTCTCGGCAACAGCTCCTTGTTGCTTTCGTGAACCCTCCACACATTTGGCGAGCTTGCTTGCTTGACCCTGTTCCATTCGATTCTCCGCTTGAATTCAACACCAGTTTCACTGTCATTATGCCGCAAGCTTGAGTGTTGATGGCTAGCAGTAACTCCTCAGAATATTATAGGAGTCGCTGATAGTTGTCAGCAAAGCAGAGCACAGATCACCACCCACGGAGCATTTCTGCTACACGACATGCCTCGCATTGAGAGGCCCCCCCCATGGCCAATGCGTCTTCAGCTATTCTCCCGAGATAGTGTTGGCAGTCATGCAAGACTCAGGGTCGCTCGATGAACAACGGGGTACATAGTAGTAACCCTGGCAGCTGGATACTGCTTGGACAAGTGAGCCTCAGCTGCTCCGTGCCTCGAGACGCAGGCTCAAGGACCCCGTTTGTTCCAGAAGCAATGATGCAGCTGTCGAATGCGGTGGAGACCGAAGCGACGTCAGGCTCACCAGCACCAGCACCAGCAGCCCGACTTGACACTCTGTTTGTTCAATTGAAGAGCAGAGACAAAAATGGAGGCGACTTGGACGGCATGTCTTTCAACTGCTTTTTTCTTCCAGAGACTCATGTTCAGAATGGATGGAATCTTCTCTTTGTCGACAGAAGCAAGTTCGGTAGCGGGCCCAAGTGGGCAATAAGGCCACTTCATATGGGGATTCATCGAGGCATTGCTGCCCAACTCGGTGGACGATCCCCCTGTCGCGGTGGATCGTGGAGTATTACTCGTACATACAGTTGGAATCCAGAGGACAGCCGGTCCCAGCTAGGCGATGGATGCCGTGCCTAGCCAGGCACTCAAAGGCCGCCGCCCTTGCAGCCGAGAGGAAGGGGGATGCATGCGCGATTGCGTTGCTGGTCGAGGACGGACCTGGATTGGATAGATTTGGACCGAGTGAGACTGCAATCAGCCAATGGATCGATGGGATCAATGGGAGACGATGCCCAGGCGGCCGCAGTTCTCAGCGCTGGGGGGGGCGTGCCACACACACAAGATTCGCTCCGGGAGCTATTAGAAGCAGCCACGACACCAAGGGAATCCGTTACGGGCTTCCGTTTTGACTCGGCGGGATGCAGAGCTGCAGGACAATCAAAGCGAGCACGTTCTGGAAGTGGCAGAGAAGCGACGAGACGTGCGCCTCTTCCGCCCCTTTTCTGGCCTGGGCACGTAATAGGTAAGGTATTGAGCCGTTGTCCTACGTACATGCTTCGTCGTGCTTTGATCGAGGCGGATAGACAGAGTCAGTAGTACTACTACCTACCTAGGCGTCTTCAGTTGATGCCCCAAGCAAGACTACTGACTGACAAACAAACGACAGCATTGACTCGAGGATTGTCCGGCTCCTGAGATGCGGCGCCTGAACCAAAGCGCAACTCGGGGGCCATCCACGTTTGGACGAGGAACCGCCCGTTGGTCGCCTTTGCTCGCAGGATGCCGCACCTCTCCATGACGCTGAAACAAGCTTGAGCCAAGCCCGTCTGGCCCGACGCTTCGGCTGATGCGCATTGAGCTGCCCTGCTCTGCCCTGCTGTGCCTGTGCCTGTGCCTGTGCCTCTGGCGTGAGGAGGCAGACGCCATCTGATTCGACGCCGTGCGTTGGAACGAGGTCCTCGTCATCCGTCCGTTCCCGCGGCCCGCCCATTCGCCTGTCGCCTGTCGCCTGCAGCAGCCCCTCGACAGCGCCGTCTGCAGCAGCAGGGAATCCAGGCAGCAGATCGCAGATCCGCCCAGGGCTGACTGCGGCCCTATGTACTGTATCTGGCTGGCGCGTGCTGTGGCCCTGCCTGTGTCGAACCTGATTTGCCGCCCTCGAGCTGGTTATATATGTAGATCCTGTGTCCTGCAGCTTGTTCCTCTGATTCGCCTCCCTCTCTTCCCTCGTTTGATTGCTCCCCTACTTGCGCCCGTCTCTCCCTTTTTTCCCTCTTCCTCGTCCTCTCCCTCCTCCTCCAAGAGCTCTGGGTGTGCCGCCAGGTGCTACCTTACACGCCGACCCCTCGAGAGTCTTGGAACTATCATGCTCCCAGACACCCTCCGACTCTCTTTCTTTTCTCCGGCTCGGAGATTTCTGCTCTGCACCTCGACGCCTTGACGGCTCTACCTACCACCGCCATATCCGACCCTCTTACTGCTCATCAGCCTGGTCCTTCGAAAGCAGCGCTCCTTGCAAATAGCCACAGCATCTCTAGACTACGAACGAATATCCTACCTCTTCTCATACGATAACAAACTGTTCGTGCCATGATTCCTGCTGCCTCTTCCCTGCATTGATGCTGATGGCTGCAAACCCCCTCCGCAGCAACGCCTCTTGTTACTTTTTTTTTTTTTCCTACTTTAAAACCTCGTCTATCTTTTCGTCATTCCAAGCGACAAGCCCCACGCAATCGGGGAGCCGCCACGACCAATTGATAACGATTTCTTGCGACTCTGATCCGAGACACGAGGGCCATACAAGACCCAACGCAGCGGACCAGCCCGTGGCCAGATAAGACTCGAGAGGCAGCGCCTCGCCCGGTCACACGTTGCACACCGATCGAAACTGCTCATCGCAAAGAGCCAACACCACTTGCTGTCGCCCGTCTTGTTTACATTTACCTCAACGCATCACCATCACACGCAGCCATGGGCCAGCACAGCAGAAGCTCGCCGAGGCGGTCGTCAACGCCGAGCCTGAAGCTGTCGCCGGCGCATGTGTCGGCACTGCAGACGGCCGACCCGTCGCCGCCCGACACGCCCGTCGCCTCGCCACACTTGTCGCGCAAGAATGCCCCGGCGGCCTTCTATCTCTTCGCAAAGTCCCTGGCGCAGGACCCCAATATCAGGCCCTACGGGAGTGGCCACCAGTTCAGCTATCGTCCTCTGGAGCAGTTGAGTCCGCGGTCGTCGTCCTCGTCCGAAGCCGACGAGGAGGATGCCAGCGATGACGAGTCCTCGGAAAGCGCCAGCGTTGTCAGCCTGCCAGACTCCCCGTCACAGGCACAGCGCTTCCCGACGGGGAAGAATGCTTCTGCGCCGCCCGACTCTGACGCATGCGCATGCGCATGCGCAGGTGCGGATGCAGATGCAGATGCAGAATCAGATGCCGGCTCCGAATCCGAATCCGAGGCGGACGATCGAGCGGAGTCAGACAAGCCCAAGCGGACAGGATCCGCGCACGGCCCCGCGACAAGCATTCTGGACAACATGTGCAGCTTTACAATCGAGGACGTCGACCCCATGGATAGCGAGTGTGAGGGCCTGACTGTCCTCCATCCCGCCGAGATCGAGTCTGACGACGAATCTGTCCGGAGCCGCTCCACGTCCTGCCACAAGGATCTCGACAAGGGCATGATGGAAGACCTCGAGAACCTCAACTGCAGCAACGACGCGTCCGACAACGAGGCGGAGCCCGAGGAGGAAGACGCCGAGTCGGAGTTTATGCGGAGGCAGCAGGAGCTGAAGCGCATCCGACGAGTCAGCATGTCGAGCAGCTTCGGCAAGAGGACGCACAGCGAGCTGAGCGACTCGGACGACAACGACAGTGCCCTCGATGTCAACGAAGCCGGTTCCAGCGCCTCGCGCTTCCGCAAGAGGATCAACCGCGGCAGCTTGCTCTTCCAGGACCCTCCGGCGCCTAGAATCGACGAGCTAGAGGAGCCCAACTCGGACGAAGACGAGTACGCCAACGAGATGCGCATTGCGCAGGGGCTGCCATACCATGGAATGGAGGTTATGGATACGGACTCGAGCTAAAGAGATGAACAAAACAACGACACGAACAAGAAAGAAGAAGAAAGAAAAAAGCAAACAAACACCAAAAAAAAAAAAAAAAAAAAAAGACATCATTACATAAATGATACGACTGCCTCGGCTGTTTGAGCGAGAGGCATGTTACTACTGTTCACGCGATGACGAATGATGATACGATAAGAGCCGGAGAGGCGCATCGAGGTTTCGGGCGAAGCTTTAACCCGGATGCTGATATTGATATACACACAAGACGACACTGCGCGCAGCTGACCTGCGGGCTTGAGCTGCTTGCACATCTGCTCTTTTACTTCAGGCTGTTCTGGTCGAGGGCGCAACAAGAGTCAAGATGCCTATTGAGGCCCGGGGTAGGGGGTTGCTGCACCCTCTTTGCCCATCTTTCAGTACAACCCTATACGGGCTTTTCTTGGATACCTTTTTCTTTTTCTCTGTTTCAGATATCCCAGGCCTACATTGGTTGCTTGGGATATTTTCATGTTATTCTTAGATGAGCGGGTGTTTAGAGATTGATGTTGAGCGATTGTATCGCAGCCCTGCAGTTGATAGACTACTATAGATAGATTGGGAGATGATACAGGGACTGGCTATTTAGCATACCAGCTTGGATATATAGGCCTGGCCATCCATATTCCGAATTGATAAGATATTGAGTTGACGATCATAAGAGAGTGGCTATTCAGAGCATACATAACATCAATATCTTTTCAAGCAGAGTCGCCAGCTACTGCTCCAATTCATTTTCACTCTTGGTGTTGTCCCTCTTCAATGACGTGCCATCGACATGTCAGAGAGTGGAACACAGCAGATACTACTATGATGCCCCGCTGTGGGTTGAAGAAGCTCTTGAAGAAGAAGCCACCGATCTGTGGTGGGGGTTTGGCGCCGATTCTTTGGGAGCTGCAGCGCATTTTGCTCTGGTGCGCGCATCAACCTCGTCTCATCAACAACTCCCGTCTGTTTCGACTGCTTTCCACTACACAGACAATCCACCGAGGAACTGTCTGGCACTGTAGAATCGCGTGCTTTGCATTGTTTCTTTTCCTTCTTTTCTTCTCGAGACTGCCACCACTCCCTACAGCGACTCCTTACGATCCCCTTAGCCGCTCCCGTTCCTCTGGACGCGGTGGTGCTTGAAAGCCATGGACTCGTCACTGCTATCGGCTCACCTCGAGCAGATCCAGGCCTGTTGCCAGGGAATCGATTCCCTCCCGTAAGAAAGAGGCGCACCCCACCAAATAGCACAAGGAGAGAGCAAAAGAAAGAGTCCCAAACAAGGCTGACAAAGAACCCGCACAGATTCCCGCCTCCCAGAATCTTCACCAACGCCATGCTCTCCAAGCACGACATCACAAGCCTCATCCGCGACACCGAAGCCCACGAACGCGCCCTCTTCTCCGTCCCGCCACCCCCTCCAGCCGCCACCGCGACAGCAAAGAAGCCGCCCTCCTCCAGACCAACCGAAGACGAGAAAGCCGAGTCCAAGCCCAGAAATCGCCGACAGACAGTCTTCAACGTGGCCTCGGGAGAAGTCACCACAGGGCCGACGACGACTTCGTCCCGCGGCGGCGCCGGCGGCGGCGCCCCCCATCGCCGCACGGCCGTGGCCGCCGTCCTGGGCGGCGAGATGCACGAGCAGTTGCGGCGCGGGGAGACGGACCGCAAGGGCGACCTGGACGTGGAGGTGCTGCTGCGAGGCGCCGAGAAGCTGTGCGGCGTGTACGAGCTGCCCGGGGCGCGGGAGCGCATCGCGGCGCTGCGGGCGAGGTTCCGGCACGGGAGGGACACGACGGCGTATTACGAGGCCCGGGTGGCCGAGCAGGCGGAGCAGCTGGCGGGCATGAATAATGACAAGGGGTGGATGGGGGGCGAGGATCAGGACCGGGACGAGGCTGGGACGGTCGTCGACGCCGGCGGGGATGAGTGGACGGAGGAGGATCTACGGAGGGAGGAGGAGGAGACGCGGCTGATGGAGAGGAAGAAGAGGGAGCTGCAGGCGAGGTTGAGGTCCATGGAGAAGGATCTTGGCGGATTGAGGAATATGTGAGGATTTTTTTTTTTGCAAGAGCAGCAGCTGTTTGCGGAGCCCAAAAACACGAAACCATGATACCCCCTTCTATTTCTGTTTCCTTGTTGTCATATAACGCTTCTACTTGCTCCAATGTGGTCTACCCAGAAGAAGAAGAAAAAAAAAGAAAACCACGACGCCTACCCCTGGACCTCAGTCTTGTTTCCTGGCCTCCTTGGCCTCCTTGGCCTTGTACAGCTGCTCAAAGATGGCCGTCACATCATCCGCCCCCTCCACCACAAACTCGCCATCAATCACAATCCTCGGCACGCCCTTCATCCCCAACCTCTCCATCTCCTCCACCTCGCCATCAACCTCGTCGCCCCCCTGGCCCTCCTCAAGCCACCTCATCGCCACTCCACGCTCGATCCCCGCCCTCTCCGCCGCATCGGCCAAGTCCTCCCAGCTGGTAATGTCCCCGCCTCTCTCGAAGAACATGCTCATCACCTCCCTCTGCACCCGGTCCTCCATCTGCCACCCGCCCACCTGCCTCCCCAGGTGCGCCACCCGGTGCGAGTCGCGCGTGTTGCCGATGCGTCCCGCAAACGTGAACCGGAAGCCCTCCTGCTCGCCGAGCTGCGCCATGCGCGCTCTCTTCGCCGCCAGCCTGTCCGCGCCGAAGCGCTGCGCCGCGATATCTCGCACCGACGTGGATTGGCCCTGGGGGAGTGTCTTGTCCAGCTGGAACGCGTGCCATCGGATCGTGTAGGTGGATGAGGATCCGCCGGGCACCGTCTTCTTGAAGAGCGTGATGGCGCGGTCGATGCGCGCGCGGGCTAGGTAGCAGAAGGGGCAGACGGTGTCGGAGATGATTTTGATTTCGTAGTTTGCTGCTGCTGCTGCTGCTGCTACTGCCATTGTGCCGGCGTGTAATGCGAATGATTTTAGGTGTTTTGTGAAAAAGGGGGGGAGTGGATGGCTGTGTCTTTGTGTGTTGGATGTTGAGATTGAGTTTGTAGCTGGTTTGGATCAATTGACTGCGTCTTCATTGGCAGCGCCTATATATACACACAAAATCCCAGTTGTTTTGCTTCACAAACGGCCCAAAAAGAGGCAGCCTAATCGGATGTTGACTCCTTTGATGCGTATGGCGGACTTGGATACGCAATGTGCGGAGTTGTCCAAACGGTTCGTGTCGTTTGTCCGCCTACTTAGGCAGCGACCAAACGCAGAACTTCCTTGAGCGAGAAACAGGGGCGCAGCCAGCGACTAGTAGTCCATCGAGCTGCGGAGGATTGCTATATGAACTGGCCCGATGTCAGATCCAATACTATAAATCCGCATACGAAGTATCAACCTCAAACAAAGGTGGTTTCGGGAATGATGATGCCTAAAATCGCCGTGATGTCGGCGTCGTCCAAGTCCAAAATGCTATGGGTATCACTTGTTCTATCCGTCTACATGTACGCAAAAAAATCAAGGCTCGAAATCTGTCAGACGAGCCCCTCGCCTTCAGCTTCCGTACTCTATGAGCCTCAAGCACTCCTCTCCCTCCAGCGTCTATCTTGCCTATAATGCTCGCGCCGTCTTTTGCGCCTCTCTTCCCTGAAAGTCTGCGCCGAGCCAGGCCTGTAGTAGTCCCCTCTAGGCCGCACTCGATCCACGCCGTGTTGCGCAGTGGACGATGCATCTATGTCCCGATCAAGAAACCTGGGGGCAGGTGAAGATGCAGACGAGGAGCCTCTGCTGGAACCCACAGAGTCGTACTGCACCGCTCGGTCCCAGTCCTCGAGTTTCGTAAACGGGCTCCTCAGCCACGACCGGAGCTCGTGTAGAAACAGCCGCGCATTGTCCCGGCCAAGAAACTCTGAAATCATATCCTCCGCCTGCCCGGCACTCCCCATGATGTCGACAGTCTTGAGGATGGCAATGATGTACTCGAGCAGAAACTCGGCATTGTTCGCTCTCCTCCGCTGCAGCTGGGCAGCGCCCTCACTTGCGTCGCCTGAACGAGAGCTGGATGCGGCGGGAGCAGAGTCGTCGGTAGATAGAAACGAAAACACTTGCAGTTCGCGGCGGATCCACATCCTCGCCCGGGAAACGAGAGCCTCGTCGCTGCAGAAGAGCCTCGGCGTCAGCTCCCGGTAGAGGGAGAGCCTGTTCGAGCCGACATGCTTCGAGAAGCGCTTGTGCAGATAGACGTCGCGCCGATGTGCTAAAGCTCGTTCAGCATCCCGGCCGTCGTCTGTAATCCTGGGGGTTCTGTATATCCTCCTTCTAGGGCGGGGAAGCGGCTGCTGATAGGTATATGTTCTTGTCGACGATGACGCTTCAGGTCGTTGAGGCTTAGGTTCAATAACGGTCGACTCTCGGCGCTCAGGAGGCCCTCGCTGCACTTTGGTCACGTCCCTCTTGCAGAGAGGGCACAGCGGGTTGTCGTAGAGCCAGTTCAGGACGCAGACATAGTCAAAGCTGTCGTGTCCGCAGGGAACCAGCTCGCAGGCATCGCTGACGGCGTCGAGGCAGATGACGCAGCAGTTGGTGTCAGTCAGCCGCTCTGTTGCGGCCACCTCTTGCAGGGTGTTCTGGAGAACTTTGCGCTGTAGTTCGTCATTGTCATCGGCCAGTCCACTTTCCATGGAGGCAGGGCGACAATGTGGTTGCTGTCTGGAAGATGCTACCAAGAAGCCGTGGCGATGATTCGAGAGAGAGAGAAGAGATGAAAGATGCGAGGCATGAGGTCCGAGGTTGAGGTGCGGAATCGCTATCGATTAGTGGGTGGGGCAATTATGTCACCTAGCCTTGCTGCTGTTCTACCGGCTACAAGCTACAAGGGCGCCTAAAGCGCCACAGCGATCTCTCCCAGGGGAGCGCTGCTGCAGTGGGGTCAGCCTGTAAGGGTGCTGTAATAGTAGGTAGTTGTATGTAGTGGCCGCTTAAGTGCAGCTACTGCAAGACGCGCTTCAAGGGAAGGCTCTCTAAATTGATTGATGACAAGCAGCGCGCTTCCACTCGCGACCGGCAGGTTTCCCCACATGCCGCTTTTCGACAAAGGAGCATCAACTTGAACATTCAACTCTCTCCCACTGCTGCCCGTCCGTTTCTCTCTGCTATTCGGCTTCGATCTCTCTCTTCACTTTTTCAATTGTCGTCTTTCTCTTCAGGCATGCCAATTGTGGCATCGTGATCTCAACATCAACACCGAGTTGGTGTTGCAACTTGCCTCCAGCTTGGAGCCTTCGCTCCATAAGCTACAATGGACGAAAACCTAAAGAAAGAATACGAGGCAAAGGCCCAGAAAGTTCGAACAGACCTCAAGCAATGGGAGGCAGAATGGGCAAAGACACATGACGGCAAGAAGCCGGGGAGAGAAGACATCAAGAACAACCCCGTCATAGGTACGCCGACAGCTCAAGCACCCAGCCCATGATGGCATCAGCTAAACCAGAATCCAAAAAATAAAAAGCCCAAAAGTACAAAGACTACAACAAGCTCCGCGATATTATAGCCAGCAAGCTGGTCCCCCCTGCAGACACCTCGACGACGACGACGACGAAACAGAAGCACGAAAAGCGCAAGTCAGAAGCCGCGCCGGCAGGCACCCCCATGAAGCGAGCGAAACACGCAGAGACTCCCTCGAAGCGAATGGCGCCTCCAAGCGGCGGCGGCGGCGGCGACGTCGAGTACATGAACAGCCCGGCCGTCTCCCGAAAACTATTCAGCCCGACACCCATAACGTCCATCGGCCCAACGCCTCAGCGCGACGGCAAAGTCCTTGGCCTGTTCGACCTGCTGGTGGAGCGGGAGTTCAAAAGCCCGCTGAAGGGAGCCGCGAGGAGTAGTCGCCCTGCCGGTGCCCACGCGACGCCCAGCAAGCGCAGAGGCAGCCTGGCCGAAGACGCTGCGGCCAACCTCGGCCGTACGCCAAGCTCCGCGGGCAAACGAAAGCTCTTTTCAACCCCGATGAAGAAGAGAGATGGGCAGAACACGGCCGCAACGCCATCCTCCGTGTCCAAGCTGCAGTTTGACACTCCCGCGTTTCTCAAGAGGCACTCTCTCCCGACGCTAGACGAAAACACCACGTTCGATGCTCCGCCGCTGAGGTTACCGCGGAAGCCTCTTGTTCGCGGCTTGAGCGAGATTGTTGCCAGTCTTCGAAAAGTCGAGGAAGAACAGCTGGACGAAGATCTCGAAGCACTACGAGAGGTCGAAGCCGAAGCCGAGGCCGCATCTGGAGGCCCACCGCCTCAGCAGCCACCCGGCACCAAGGTGCGAAACCCAGAGCCAAAGCAGGGCATACTGGAGCCGGACAGCCAAGCAAAACAGCTGCCACTGGGAGGATTCGACGACGAAGGCATGTACGACAGCCCCACAGAAGAAGCTGTAGACCGCGACGGGCGGCCGATGAGGATATTCAAGAAGAAGGGACAGAAGCGGACGACACGGCGCGTCAACATGCGGCCGGTCCGAACCAAGAGGCCAACAAACCTAGCCGAAGATCATAAAAGTGACGAGGGCGAGAACGAGGACGAGGACGGCCAGGACACGGTCCCAGATACCCAAGCTCGGATGGACAAGCCAGACATCGCAGGCGAGTCTGATGACGGCGATTTCGAAGACGGAGATGACGATACTACCCCGGGCGACGAGGCCAGAGCGAAGAAGCCGCCCGCCAAGCCAGAAGGAGGAGTGGTGAAGAAGGCGGCCCGCAAGGTCAACCAGCTTGCGCACGCAAACTTCCACAGGCTGAAGCTGCGGAACCATGGCGCAAAAGGGGGCCCGGGCCATAACAGCCGGTTCCGAAGGAGGAGATAGGGACGGTGGAAACGAAAAGAAAAGAAAAGAGTAACAGGTGAAGAACAACATCATGTATTCGGGACCTAGATAGATTGCGGGGAATGAGCTGCAGTCTGTTTTGCCATGGGTTGTCTGTCACCGGGATGTGCATGAGGGGGGGGGGGGGGGGGGGGGGGCGCGTTCGTCGGGTTAAAAGATCATTGAACCATATTTACCTACATAGAGAGCGTTATATACATATATCATGTGCTGGTCATCCTGCTCCATATACCTTGATGCGTATCCTATCAAAAAAGGCCATAGAAAACAAACGAAACAAGAAGCTGCTATCGTACCTACCCTTACATAGGTAGGTAGTAGGTAGTAAAAAATCACCTCTTCCCTATTACGAACGTTTAAAGCAGATTTCAGAGAGGGTAGGCGACAACAAAGATTCAGCAGCCTCAGTCAGAATTCCCAGAAACGGAAACACTTTGAGCAATGTTGAAATAGGTAAACAAAGGTTAAGAATCAGGCAAATCTACGAATTGTTAGAGTCGTCTTCGTGTCACACCCTTGAGGACATTTCTTCCTTAGGTTACCTTGTCAAGATACCCTTTCCAGTTCATGTTCATTCAAGTCAAAGCAAGTGCTCAAGTAAGGCGCATCGAGAACCTATTCCTGATCGATTGTTTTATGTACCCCTTAGTCCTGTTTTTGAAATTCCCTTTTCCTTGGTTCCTCAAACAAATGATAGAGGTAAGAGAAAATGACACAAAATCCTGATTCGTTCCGAGAGAGAATCTGAAAACAGAAGAGGTGACTCATGGTTCACCTCATTGCAGGAATATAGGTAGATCAGCCGGATGCCGAGAAAAAGAGAGATATTAAAACGATGATAAGAACAGCACCCTCAGCAAACTAGACGTTCCCTCTTGGGGATATCAACGGACGTCCTATCATGGCCGAGCTTGCTCGTGTCATCATGACCCGGGCGTGCCAAATTATTTCATTTCGTAGAAATCAGAAAGTATGTGACAGAAAGAGAAAACACCGGTGCTATGCTGACAATGGGACACGGACCAAACAAGCCATAACATGATGAAGTTGCCTCGTGAGACGGTTTAAAAGACGAGAGAAGAACGGGCTGCTTTGTTCGAACAAAAGCGGCCAGGGACTTTCCCCGCCCCCTGAATGACGTTTCGCAGTGCCGTTCGGCGGGTATCAGTAAAAGAAAACCATTCGAAAGAAAAGAGGAGGGTGCAAGTGGCGGGGATTGCAAGTCTTGATGATCGGGCCGCCTCGGGATGCGTCAGATTTGTGCATGCTCCTTACGAATTCAGGGACACGCCAACCTCAAACAGGAGCTGCACGAATTTCTTGTGCAGCGTGATGAAGAAGTCTGGCTGCCCGACGAGTTCCGCAAGGCCGCGGGCCTTGAGCGAGGAGACGCTGCCCGGACCTCCCATGCGTCTGGTGAAGCCACTCCCTCCAGTCAGGAAGCTGCTGGCGCTGCGATCCACATTCGGCGCGTCCATGGTGGCCGACGATGACGATGCCACATGGCTGCCCGGTCCACCGCTCTGCATGACGCTTCCGATGGGGGACGCATCCGCCGTGCGCTCTGCCTCGGCTTCGGCAAGATTCTGGATCCAGGTGGCGAGCTCGCGGAAGGCCGCCGACACACCCGCAAACGTCTTCATGGCGAGTCGCTCTTTGTGAGTGCTGAGCGCCAGAAAGGCATAGACCCGCTTATGGCCTCGGGCGTGAAGATCGGGAATCCGGAAGATGTAGGCGGTGGTGTATCCGGCCAGAGCATCACCAAAGAAAATGGCACCGCCCGACGCTGCCGAACCCGCGCTCTGCGTGGTCACAAATGACGGCGAGCTGTGGTGCTGAGGTGAAGCCGCTGGCGTCGCGGTCGAGGGAGCTCGTGGGAGGGTCTCAAAGGACAGGGCGCGCAGACATGAGGCGCGTATGAGAGAAAAGGAGTCGGGCAGGATGGGCTCGTGAGTCGACGTGTAGTCCACATAGTGCACGTGGCTGGGATGACGCTCCGAGGTCGTAGACGTGCTAGAGCACGACGTCGTCCGTGAGCTCACAGAGGAGACGTTTTTCCTGCTGCGCGGCTGTCTCGGAACCTCATGATCTGCATCCGTGTCGCTTGAGGACTGCGAGTTCGGCGGCGACGTTGGCTCGACGGGGAGAAAGACGCGCTCAGCCGGCGCGCGGGTGCGCAAGGTCGGGGCCCGCGTGTCAATGGCGTCTTCCGCAGCCGCGGCAACGTTCTGCTGCCTACGAGGCAATGTCATGGCGCAATTATCGCAAGGCCCCTGTTTCCGGGTGACGGTTTCATCGTACGTCCTACGGTAGCTCGAGTCTCGTCGTGGCTGCTGGGACAGAGGTCGCGGACTCTCGGGCGGCGTGTCGAGGCCAGTCACGGCAGCGCCGTCATTGCCGGCGCTGGGGCCGGTGCCGGGGGATCGACGCAAGGCCGGACGGTGAGACTGCTGGCCCTCTTGTGAAAGGCTGAGTTCCCGAAGCCCGTCGGTAACTGCGGCTGGCGACGCCCGAGGCTGCTGGGGTTCTGACGCAGCTGGAGCGGAGCGTGGGGGCTTGTCGCTTGCTGCGGCTGAGGGTTCGTGACAGACGCCACAAGGACTTGCCAGACCCTCAGTGACCATCAGGGGAGTTGGCCCATGGATGTCACAGTAGTGGGCCAGACATAGCTGGAGATGGAGAGTTAGCAAGAGCGTGGAATCCATGATGAGCTCATATGTATCGTGGGCATTCGTGAATGTATCGGTGCAAGGAAGAGGAGGAAGGTGGCTGGCGTGAAAACGGCCAGCATGAAGGGGTTTAGAGGCCTTTCAAAAGGGCTAGTAACGCGACGCCGCAGTCTGAAGGATGGAATTCCGTGGTAACTGCGAGGTAAGGACCACACTGAAGTGCGAAATTGGTCAAAGGGAGGAGCCACTTTGGTCCCTTGAGAAGTAGGGCACAGAGGCGTGCGCAACAACGGCATCACATTGGAATGCTTGTACCGTCCGAGCCACGTTGCAGACCACTTCATCTGAGCCCTGTGCTACGGACCATGGACGCTTGCCCAGTCAAACCGGAAAGCACTGGCGAGCTAAGAGCAGAGAGCAATTGTGCTTATTCAGTCGACTCCAGTAACGCCTGACATGGGGAGGTATGTTGTATATAGACTGTAGGAAGACCCATGTGGGAGGATAGCACAGCAGACTCAAGGGAGCGGTGTGTGCGTGTGCACGTACGCTTCTAAAGAGACATGTAACAGACATGACGTGGTGTCTCCCGCCGCTCTGGTAATGAGAAGTGGTCATGGTGGCAGATGGTCGAAGCTCTCGACTGCACACACAACCGACCAGCCGCCAAGATGAAGCCAGGGAACTCTGGAATCTCAAAATGAAAAGGGAAAAGAGGCAGGCTAGGTGGCAGCCAATGCAAGGAGAAGCAGATGATGGGAAGTAACAGAGAAAGATCAGGCGAGAAAAGGAAATGGCGAGATAAGGGGAATCCAGGCCAATGCCAGCAGCCAGCCTTGCGTTGGGCTTCGAATCGAGTGTCGTACGGTGCCAATCGAGGACTATGCCGATGAAAAGATGGATAGGTGCAGCTTTGCGGAATGAATTGGGTCACGCATGTGTACATGTACATGTTGCATGGGGAAAGATGAATTGCATGCAACATGCATGAGAGGGGAATGCTGGTTGGAATTGCAGGGAAGCCAGAGGACAACGAGACGCATGCGATGTGCAGCAGATGAAGACAGAAGAAGGAACGAATCAACTTACAATATATGTCATGGCGCACGCGTTTGAGCGGTGCTGTGATATTGAGTCGAACGACGACTGGAGAGGAAAAAGAAGAAGAGGAGGGCCACGCGGAAATCGTCCGGGGAACAGAGGCTAAGCCGTCGAGCCAGTTTCTGGCGGCGATTGGATAGGCAAGGTAGCTAAGTGTACGACGAGTATGCAGCGGCGCAGGCGACAAATGAAAGAATGATGCGTTGTCTGGCGTGTGGTGTATGTGTGTGTGTCCGAAATGGATTCCCAACGGCCTGCGCGTGAGCCTGATGCGCTGTGCGGCCAGCGGCTCTGGAAAGGTCTGTTCGCTTTTCGTCGTCGTCGGTCCTCTTGGCTGCTGCGCGCTCGTTGCTGTGATTTGCGTCCCAGTCAAGGCTGAGGCCCTGGTCGCGATGGTGAATTTGCAGTCGACGTTGGCCGTGCTTTGTAAGGCTGCAAAATCAGCGGCAGGGTATCAGAGCCATCCACAGAGCCCTTGGAACCTCTTGGAGGTGCTGCAACCCCAGCCCGCCGCCGATGTAAGTCGAATGTCGCCACTCTGCGAGTCTAGGCGCAGGGGTGTCCAGGCCTTCGCCGCTGCCTCGGGTCTCACTGAGGTCTGAGACACGCTCTCTTGGATGGTCGAGTCGACAGTACCACTCCTACGTCGTAGTCGTACTTGGTACAGAAACCGCAAAAGACTTCTCAAACACACGTTCAGGGCTCAGGTTCGCGTTAGTAGATTGTGGGGTGGTTGTGTGGAAGTGTGTGTAGTGTCGAAACCGGCAATCTCGTGACCCAAAAGTGACGGAAGGGCCAAAGGGAAAAAAAAAAAAAAAGTTGAAAAGAGGCCGGTTGGAATCTGAGCGATCGGAGAACCTGGTCCCAGAAAAGTCGTCGTAGTACCTGCACGACAAGAGGACGAGAAGCTCAGCAGCAGATGCCAATTCCGTCGAAGCCGATGCTCTCGATGCGATCTGACGGGACAGTGAAGGAGAAAGAAAGAGACGGCAATGGATGGGACGAGATAGAAAAAGGAAAAAAGAGGAGTGCCGGAATCCTGGCAAGTAAGCTTGGGCAGCTCTCCCGGAGCAACTGGCAAGAAAACGAAAATGAGATTGGATGCCGGTGCCTTTCGATTCAAGGAGGCTCGCTATTTTGGTGCGAGCAGGGCCGGCAGTCTTTTGATTGATGAGAGACGGGGCCTGGGCGCTTGCGGTGGGTACCGCAGACACGCAGCAGCAAGCCATCAATCAGACCGGTGGCCTCGAATCCAAGTACTTGACAGGTACTTGGACGTCTTGAGTTGGCACTGCTCAGCTAGCTGCTCGACAGGTGCCCAGCGGAGGGAAACCCAGTTCCCGGGCCTGACCTGTCACTGCCCTTGTCTCGTTGCCCTGCCCTGCCCTGTCCAGGTCGTCGCCTTGCGACTGAGCGATGCTGGCCTGACGATGCTGGCCTGACGATGCTGGCCTGACGATGCCGGCCAGGGACAGGAACGACAGCAATCGGATCGAAATCAACCGACCAGGCCAAGGATGAAGGCACTCGTACTATGTAGTATCGTATAGCTCGGATGGCTCGCTATATGCGGCGACAGCCGGTCCTCGAGGTGCTTCTGCAATGGAACCCGCAACGAAGACGTGACGAGGTATACAAGTAATGGGATGGTAATTGCACTTTGTAATCCGTACTTGTAAGTGGCTTCAGATATGCGTGTGCTGCCGCGGCGAGTGGCACAAGCATGTGCGTGCTCCATTCTTTGGGATCCTATTCCACACCCGTACCCAATCTTGGTCGACCAGACAGCGTCTCATTCGACGACAACGCAGTCTCTTCCCTCCTCCCCCCCCTTTACCCATTGAGCCAGGACAAGCTTGCCTGCTTGCCTGGCGAGTAATTGCCCTTTCTCACATCTACCCCGATGCACGACACGGCATTGGCCGTGTTGCTTGTCCGGCCTAGGCGTCAGGACCGAGTAGGGAACCGTTCCGGACTCAAGAGGGCGCTAGTCGACTTGTCGCTTCGCCCAAACTCTCCCCCTCGACCGTCTTTGCCCGACAGCCCCAGACACTTTTGAACTCTTTTTTTATGAGCAGGGTTACCAGCGGGCTCCAGGCTGTCAGGCAGCCAAAAGTGAAGCCAGACCAGATTTCCATGAGCCTCCGTTGCATGCCTGAGCATGCAACAATTCCTCAAATTTGACCGACAAGCGAGAGCGCGGCCAAGAAGTGGAAGCCGGGGTGCTGCCGCCCCAGCGAGGCACGGAAACGCACGAGATGCACGGGCAGGCAAAAGCAAGAAAGCGGCAGGAGCATGGGATGCCTGTCGCTTGCTCGCACATGTAAACGAGGGCGACAAGCTCGTCTCCATCGGGCTGCATCAACTCCGTGCGAAGCTGAAACTGTGCCGGCAACATATCTTTAGCCATGAGCCCGACGACTGGCAAGCCGGTGGTCATTGTGCTATTTCTCCCGAGGTCCCCGGTGTTCCTCCTCAGCTTCCAGAAAGAAAAAGAAGCGGAGGGTCAATGGCTAGCTGCCGTTGGTTCAGCGAGACCCTGCAAGCTTCGAATTTTGTAACCTGGCCCATGCTCTCCGGACCTACTAGGTAGGCTTGCTAGGTTCGAAGAAACTCCGCATTCAGCGCTCCAAGACAACCAGAGGTCGGGCTCGTGCTCGTACTTGTACGTTGTCGTACCTCGATAGGTAGGTATGTGTGTCTGACGCTATGGTTCGTTGCCTTGCCCGTTGTGCAGCCGAAGAGTTCGTGCGAGGTCTGCGCTTCAACAAAAAAATCGTCCCGGACCCAGATTGGCCCATGTGTACGGAGGCATAGGTACTCGTATTCTGTCACTGTTCGCTCTATTCCCAGAGCTGCAGTCTGGTAATTGTGATTCCACACGACATCAGGCAGACGGTCAAAGGACCTCAGAGTGACATGGCACGCTTCCTTCTTCCACCAGCTTCTCCAGTAGATAATAAAGTAGTGTGGTACTACTCGTGATACTAGCACCTAGGTAGGTGAAGACCTCCTCGGTACTTTATTCGGCATGGCTCCGGCGCATGGCCTAGTAATACCACTGGTGTTCTGGCTGTCTGGCAATCTGGGTGAGAAATGGCCGATCCGACAATTTGAGGCGTCGGCCATGCCCGAATCGTCGCCTGTTTCAGAGGCGCGGCTCCATCGCCCCCCCATCTTTTCCCTTTCTTTTTTTGGAGCCTGTCTCGTGGGAGATGGTTGGACCTTTTGCCTGGTGGCTCTGGGTGGGTTCCGCTCGTGCTAGTAGTCGGGAGGGCCTGGGTTCATTTGTAAGTAGAACTCGTAGGGGGTGATTGATGTGCATTCGTGGTGAAGACTGGGCCTGGGAATGACTGACCTGGGACGTGAAGGCGATGAAGAGGAATAAGAATAAGAAGAAGAAGAAGAGGAGGAAGAAGAGGAAGAAGAAGAAGAGCGGAAAGAGGAAGCTGTTGAAGAAGGGCATCTGGCGTCGAGTTTGCACCTTCCACGTTTGCTCGGAGAGCGTTGACACAGGTACAGGGACGAGCACCGATTCTCCGTGAATGGCAAAGTACCTGCGTCTTGTCATGGGCTGCAGCACTCGCACGCGCACACCTTGAACCCAGTCGCTCCTTCGGTAATGGAATCCCCGTTCCTGCAGATCTACTACTCATAATATTAAATAGGTACTATACCATACCTTAGTAGGCCTCTGTCATGCCACCTCTTTCTCATGCACTCAACTGTCGGAGAATGTAGGAGCTGTTCCACTGAGATGAACAACACAGTCACTGCAAATACACAGTAGACCGAGGTCAAAAAGTCTCCGGCATTTGCAAAGGACAAGGGAAAGGGAGTATTACCTATTCTACAGAATACGAACCACTTGGTATCTGATTCCCCTCGGCGAGATACCTGCTTGTACCTGAACAGGTACCTAGGTAGTAGATATCTGTCAATCAAGAGGCGGCTATAACAATAATCCATGTCACGACATCCACCTCAGCAACTCAGTAGCAGACGCCTTGATCCAATCGCAGCACTTGCAGTTGATCAAAGACACCTAGGTGTTAGATACACTGCCACGTTGATTTGCGTGCTCGCTTGTTCGCAGATGAGGCTCTAATACATACAGCATGTATTGACATACGATACTCTCTAGGTAGGTACGCACATGCACCGATCCACTGCAGAATAAACCACGACTCGGGGTTCCTGACATGACAGGGGACCAGGGTGTCGCGAATGGAGGCCACCTCTTGTTCATTTTCGCTTGTCAATCATTCCCCGGCAAAGTTGCCAAGCTGCGTTTCTGATTGCAACTGAACAAGTACAGTAAGTAGACAAAGGCAGCAGGAATAATAGCTAGAGTACTAGCTGAAGCAGCCAGCGTGATTCTGTCATTTCCATACATGTACCTTACTATTCCGCCCGTCTGTGACTCGGCGGCCACGTGGCGCTGGGATCATCAAACATGTCTGCTACCGGCTTTTCTAGGTATTTAGTAGTATTTCCATTCCCACGGATTTTCTGCCTGAGTACAGTAGTACAAATAGATGATGGTATAGTATTTGGAATGTCCGATGCTGTGACCTCTGAACATCCAAGGTACCTTAGGCTGTATCGCCGCCCTAAGCAAAAGGCACAAGGCATTTAGGTGCTTCCAGCCTCGTCTACAAGGGCTTCTACGACTGTGTATTAGCCACTCATGGTGACAGCTTACTATCCCAGCATCAAGGGGGCAGAAGGGGTCCTTTCCGATTATTTATAGGTAGATAGCATGATAAAGCAGGGCCGAGTCAGCAAAGACAATAAAAGGAAGAAAGCATGTGATCATGTATCAGAGCCTCGAGTCAACTACCTACCTACAGCCAGTTCTACAGTAATACTCCTCCAAAACAATACCCCAAGGAAGCATCAAGTGAGCAACACCGAGCATGGCGCCGATGCGCGTCTAGGGCCATGTCAGTTCTTTCTGCTACTATAAATTACCCCATGGAGTTTGATACTACAACTGCGCCTACTGTCGGAGAGACAGGGGTGACAATATGGCAAGGGGGGCAAGGAACAACTGAACAGGGACAGGGGACAGGGACAAGGGGAGGTGTCGAGGCAAAGCCATCAGCCTTTAGCTCACATACCCATCAACTCGGAGACGGCACACATGCATGAGAGAGAGGATGCGCGTGTCGCGAACATGCGATGCGATGCGGACATGCGATCCCTCAAGCGGTCAAGTGTCCGCAACTGAACTACTACAACAGACGGCCTCTTTTTTCTTCTTCTTCTTTTCGCTTCTCTCTATTCTCTGTTTACAAATCATACAAGCTGAAAAGAAACTGCGTTGTTGAGAGGTATTACTGGATAAGTTGCTTGAGGCTGTTTGATATACCAATCAAGGGATCTGACACGCCAAGCCATACATACCTACCTAGTTGTACAGCCCCAAAGATACGGCCGGGTAATAAGGGAAAAAACGAATGCTTGCACTCTGCCACCTAACAATGTTTGCTTTCATCCTCTGCATGTATGCTTTCCCTTCGGCCCTATTTCTCGATCCTGTGCCGCCGTGTGTCCCTCTACGAATCATCGTTGGAAAGCCCGAAATCGGATTCTCCGGTTTGGCCTCCAGTAGGTACATAGGAGGTAGAATCAGGTACAGTGGTAATAGGTACGTCGTAAGACATGTTGTCTGTGATATTCAGAAGTTGAGCTGTCTGACTGTATAAGCTTGCAATTCGACTCGTCAGCTCGCCGGCATGTACGTATTTCTAATTGACGAATTCACCTGATCTCTTAGATACACTTGTATCACAGGCGTGAATCACTTCTGTTAGAAAACGCTTACCTGGGTGGTACGGTCAAATTGCCTTGAATTTGACGTGCTCCCGCACTTGACGGTTTTCAGGAGAGATCATGATGAATGCAGGTAAGCAAGATTCTTTATTCACTGATATACTGCCACCAGTTGATATGCAGTATATACTTAGCCAAGCACCATGTATCTACTGTGTCCTTGTTTTATTCTCACCCTACCCATCCAATCCTCCAAAAAGCAAGAAAGGGCCGCTAAATCAAGAGGATTTCCATCCAATCCCCGAGGTATCTGCTGATATACATATATATACTCTTCATCGAGAAGCAAGGCATATGAACCCCATATCTTCAAAAGGGGTTCGGCCTCTGTCGTTTCGAGGACTCGAGCAGCTCAATCACCATGTTGGCCGAACGAGGGCGTTTACTGCCCATCGTGATATCCATCGACTGCTGCAGTGTGCTGTCCGTTGCGGGCGTAAAGGCCCTTAGCTGCTGATCTCTCGATATGCTGCCCATGCCGTCCGCCATCTTCTCGAGGGACTCATGAGTCACTGGAACGCCGTTCGTGAATCCGCCATGTTCCTCGGCAACGCAGCTCCTTGCGCGCTGCAGCTCTCTGTTCCTCTTCAGGCTCGCCACCCACGCTTCGCGAAACGTCACACCGAGAGCCACAGCAGGCTGCCTCGCGACGCTGTTGCCTACAATCCTGTACTGCGTCGGGGGGTCCCCGAGCAGCACGTCTTCGTCGAGGAAGCCCTGCGCCCTGCGCGCCTCCATGATGGTCACGGGCCTATTCTCTCGCCAGTGGAGCAGTCGCCCGTTCTTCGCGTCGCCCAGCGTCTGCCTCGTCACCACAGTCTCAAAGAGCCTGTTGGGGAACATCCTTCCGTACGAATTTGAGTAGGGCTGCACCGACATGGGCTGCTTGCCCTCGCCTTTCGTCCCGATGAAGAACTCGCGCTCGGCTGCCGTCATCGTGCTGGAGCCGCCGACCTTCCTCTCCCCGAACCACGCTTGCGAAAAGTTCATGCCCCATGGTCGTGTCGGTATGACCGATATCCGAGCTCGCAGCAAGTCTGACATACCCAAGGTTGAGCGGTGATCGGGGAAAGGAACACATATATCGGGCTTGGCATCGTAGATGGGCGGCAGGTCGGCGGTCGCTTCTTCCGCAGAGACAAACTTGAAGGGCGTTGCTGCCGGCATTTCTCGGCTTGCCATGTGCTGGCCGTTGGGCAGCCACCCGATCCCATGCTCCCTTGTGTTAGGGGGGTGTGAGTGAGTCTGCACCGGCTTGTCGGGCAGCTCGAGTCCCGGGGCAGCAAAGACGATGAAGATGCGTGATCTGCGCTGCGGCGACCCGCATGACGATGCGTCCAGGTAGAAGAATTGCGTCTGATAGCCCAAGCCGACTAGGGCGCAGATGAGCTGGCTGAAGACGTCTCGGTCTCGGTCGTGCTTCTTGTGGACCATCCCAGGTACATTCTCCAACACGCCGTATTTGGGCCGATAGAGATCAACAAAGGACGCAAACGCCGCAACAAGCGATTGGTTCTTCCTTTGCGCTGCCGTCGTCTTGTCGTTGGTGAGGCGTGAGAATCCAGGACATGGGCTGCCACCGGACACGAAATCAACGTCTCCAATTAGGGGTACGTTGTCCGCGAAGTCGCCTTGAATGGCAAGGCGCTGTAAGTCGTCAATGGAGCCCAGAAACGGGTGGACGTCTTGAGGGTTTTTGACGTTGGCCATGTACGTGTGGATAGCCTTGCTGTCGTAGTCATTTGCCCATTTCATCTCGATTCCTCCGCCGTCTTCAAGCCCTCTGCCAAAGTTACCGCCTCCACAGAAGAGATCCATCCCGCGAAGCTTCTGCAACTTCTGGAGAGGATCAAAGCCTTGCTGCAGAGAGGACGGTGCTTCGTCAAGCGGCACATATACCGAATGTCCATTGGCGGCTACCTGTCGGTGAGTGATGTAAAAGAGGTTGCCCGTGCCGTCGTGGTCATACGGCGTAGGGATCATCTCTCCATCTCGGAAGCATCTCACTGAACATGGGCCCATGATTCGATCCCTGCTGACTTTGCAGGTCTGCTCGCTGTATACAAGTTCATTTGGCCGCGCCTCGCGAGCGTTTGGGTCAACCTGGCGGCGCCGCAATAGTCGCCTGAAGTAATACAACCTTCGGCTTCCTTCATCAGACGCGTGCATAAACTCACAAGGCTCGGAAAATGGACTTTTCAAGTTCAAACGAAGCAGATGTGTCTTCCCTGGCTGATACTCGAGTGGCATTTCATCATCTGGTATTGGTGAAGTGTGCCTACATTGCAGGTGCTTCCCATCCAGTGTCACCCATCTCCTCTCTTCTTGAAGGTAGGTCTGCCGGCAAAAGAGCTCGGCGCTTGTTGCTGAGGTGCCCCAAAAGTCAACGCCATGGACACCGAGAACCTCGCTTTCTTCGATCTTGGCTTTCTCGGAGCAAGAGCAATGGTCTGAGAGAAACAGCTCGTTGTTCCACGGATACTTCATCAACCCGCAGAGCGTGTCCACGGGTCTGTAATACCATATCACATCAAAGGTACGCACCCCTTTTCTGTCAACGTGAACCGACTGCACCAGCGCAAACCATCTGTCCACGTCAGAGAAGCCTTTGGACAATTCTCGTTTCCACAATGTGCCGGACTCTGCGTCGTCGCGATGGGTTGAGATTGTGTCGCCTGGCCGGATATTCTTGATCCGCTCTTGTGGCGCCGTAGAGATGTCCTTAGATGTCTGGTGCAGCTTTGACGGAAGCTCTAGGTGCCGCTGTCGGATCAAGCTGTTGCGGAGCTCCGTGGTCCGTGAACTCAGAGGGACAACCTTGAGGCGATCGCCAAAAGGAAGATGTTCAAAGCAGTCAAATATGTATTGCGTAACAATCGTCGGCGGCGGAGTCTCAGTCTTGGGCTGGCTCGTGATTGATGTAAAGGATTGGAATTCCCAGATCTCCGCCCAGATAGCATGGGAATACGCCTCTCGATGGTTCAACACCCCCAGAGTCTCTTTATGGAGAAACCCTATGTTGGCGGCTATCGAAGTCCGGTAGTCATCGCTCGGGTGTTGGCGTAGCCAGCTGAAAAACTCGGGCGAGTCCTTGTGGCTCTTCTTCATCCATGCTGCAAAAGTAGATCGAAAGTGGTGTATGGAAACACTACGCTCGTTCTCCGCCATGATGGAGAGAAAGTCCACAAAGTGCTTCGCCAGGTCCGCCACCCATAAGAAAGGGTAAAAGAAGCGTGCATATTCCTTGGCCGGCTTCCCCAACCTGTAATATAGCTCCCGTTTGTAGCTCAGAGGAGATTGCAGCCAGATGTTGTCTCGGACAGTGTGATAAGAGATTGAGCCGTAGTTGCCAATGGGAACCGCGGTGATGGGAATGCGGCGCACATACGTCCTGGTATCGCCAATGCGGAGAACACCGTCAAAGTAGAAGTCGTTGTGTCCAATCTTGGTATTGAGCTGGTGTAGAGATCGCATTTCCTGTGAGCATCTCTCCTTATCAAGGTATATCGCAAAATCGTCCAGCATGATCTCGTCAAAATCTTGCGTGCTTTCCGCCAAGGCTGGAGAAAGAGTCTGAACAGCCTTCCACTCTGGTAAGATCGGTAGGTCGTCAGGAGGCTGAAAGCCCTCGTAGCATGACCTTGGTACAAGCTGAACGCTTCCGGGTATCTCAACGCTCAAGGACCCGGTTGAAGGTACCCAGTCCGGTGAAGTTGCTCGAAAAGTCTCTGTCGAAAGACTGTCTGACACAGCATCATCAAGCTCGGAGACTTTGAGCGTAGAACTGCGTGATGATGTGACGAGACGAGATGGAGGCGGTATCAGGTCGGATGTGACGAGCTCAATAACGGTTTCGTCAGAGCTCGGAGTCTCTTCAAAAGTGTCTATACATGGCAACGACTCATGGTCAGACGGGTGTGTTGCTGAACGGTTGTTATCATTGATGGTCAAGACGGAGGTCTGCCAGGATTGAATCGCCGTGAGACTGGTACCCAAAGCAGCCGCTGCTTCGCCGTCTTTTTCTGTGAAATTGCCATCGGTCAGAGCTGATGGTTCCTTGGCGGTATCGTCCGAGCTGTCCTCCATGACGCACTCCATAAACGCAGGATGCGAGGGACCTGAAAAGTGAAACTATCGCCAACCGAACTTCACCGAGAGCGTGAATCTGTGACGATGGCCAAAATGGATGCAAGTTGATATCCAAAAGAAAGGGACATATGATTCCCATTGGATATCCCAGAAGCATGAGCAGAATGGAAGCCTCAAAGAGCAACCACTCCTCGAGTACCTTATGTATGCAAATACCACCACCCCCTCCAGGTCCAAGATGCAGTATATAACACCAGACAAAAAGAAGAAGATAAGTTCGCGATCAGGTAGCGATATATACCAGTAGGGGAAAGAGCAGAAAGAAAGTCCGGATCCAGGTCGTAGATCGGTAGGGCGTGGTTGAGTATAGGTAATGATAGGAAACGGTCACACGAAGCCACAGGATTGAGCTCTATGGCGCGTGGAGCGAGTCGAGGTGAACCGAGTCCGTGAAGCGTAGGCCGGCCAAAGAAACCGCCTGTTATGCAATTATAAACCAACGGATCGAGAAAAATAAAAGTGCCGTGATAATAAGAATAAACAGAAAGGCGGGAAAAAAGAGAAGAAAAAAAAGAAATCCAGAACCCCAGGGCACTCTGGCAATAGGTAGCGAGGCGCGTGCAAGATTGAGTGAGAAGAGGTTGAGAATAAGCAATTCAAGGCTATAGATGCAGCAGCCAAAAACAAGTCAGGAAAGCGGTGAACGAGGACGTCTTGCGTGCTAAGCGCTTAAAAGGAAGGCGGTGAAGCTTTCGTGACAAAAGAAGAAAAAGAAGAAGAAGAAGAAAAGAATGCGTTGAAGATGAGTAGAAGGGAGGGGGGGGCAGTAGAGGAAGAAAAAGAAGATGAAACGAAGGAAAATCGAGGCGCCAAGATTTGCTGCAGAGTGAAAGGCCTTTGTCCCCAAACGTGGTTCTGGTCTCAGCTCGTGTGGCTGCCGTTGGCTGGTGGCTTTGCATCAACAAGATCCGTGGGCAATAGATGAAAGAAAAAGTGCTGGAGATGCGTGCGAGAAAGAGATCGAGAGGAACATGAAGAGACAGCATCGGAAACAAGATAAAATAGAGGAAGAGAGGAGAGAAGATGCCTTCTGACGCATTCTAGTTTTGGCGAGTGCCTGACAAAAGACAAGCTTGAGATCAACCATCCAGCGCTCAGACTACCTTATTGTTTACATTTACAAACACCATCGCATGTGGCAGAGTGTTTCAGTAGGCATTACCTGCTGTACTAGCAATACCAAGGGGACCGCTTTGACGTAGACAACCTTCATTCACAATCTTATCATCACACTTCCGGCTCAACCAGCTCACCCCATCTCGAGTATTCATGGTACGTGGGCAGCCTTGCTAAACATATAATGAGACAAAGAGGCAACGAACTGTCACACCGACGAGCCCCATAGATTTCAACGCCGTAGATCCATTGTGATGAAGACGACGCCAACAGCTACCTCCTTTTCAACATGGCTTTGTCTGTTCATCTCCATGTCTCATTCCCCCCAAACTGTTGGTCAGCGCTCCCCAGCCGCCCACGTTTTCTACCAATATCCCCTCCATGATGCATATCGAGAGCAACAAAGCCCCCTGTATTTCATAGTTGATAATCCCCTTGCCCCTGTTCATTTCAATATGATCCGCTTCCATCTTCGTCGTCCGTGACAATCCTAATTACATATATAGATATCGACAGCTTATTTGTAAAAGTCAAACTTGTTATCGTCGCTGGTACCCTTGACTTGGCTTGAGTAAGCATCTTCAAGGTCGGACTGGATGATATTGTATCGGTTCTTGCGGACTGCTCGAAGGCCTGCCTCCTGCATGATGGCAGCGATGATGGCGCCGGACAGGGGGTCGTTGCGCACAATCAAGCTGTCGAGGTCGACCTCGGGCGCCAGGCTCATCTTGCTGGCAATGGTGGTGAAGATGAGACGACGCTCGCGACGATCTCTCAGGGAGGGGAACTCAATCTTTCGGTCGAGGCGGCCGGGACGCAGGAGGGCGGGATCGAGGGTGTCAGCACGGTTCGTGGCCATGATGACCTTGACGTTGGAGGTTTGATCGAAACCGTCCATCTGGTTGAGCAGCTCGAGCAGGATACGCTGCACCTCACGATCGGCACCGGTCTGGGCATCGAATCGCTTGGTGGCAATGGCGTCGATTTCGTCAATGAAGATGATGGCAGGCGAGTTCTCACGGGCCATGCGGAAGACGTCGCGAACCATTCGGGGACCCTCTCCCAGGTACTTCTGGACAAATTCTGAGCCCACGACACGGATGAAGCTGGCAGTCGTCGAGTTGGCAACGGCCTTGACAAGCATGGTCTTGCCGGTTCCTGGTGGGCCGTATAACAGGACACCTCGTGGGGGATCGATGCCGATCTGCTTGTACAGGTCAAAGTGTGTCAGAGGCAGCTCGACGGCCTCTCGAATCTCCTGCTTCTGCATGTCCAAGCCACCAACGTCGGCGTATGTCACATCTGGCTTCTCGTCGGCGCCCAGCATGGCGATGGAGGAGTCGGCTTCAGGAGGGAGGATGTCGACGAGGGCATTGGAGTGTCGGTGCAGCGCAACGGAGGAGGAGGGCTTGAGCAGTTCGCGGTCGAGGGTGGACAGGATGCGGACGACGTAGTTGGAGCCTGTGCTAGACTGAACAATGCCGGTGCTGCGGTGAGAGTGTCAGATATGGAACTTGGCGAAGTCGATGAGGTTTGGGTGGGAGTGCTTTCTTACTTCTGATCAATGGCCTCCATGAACTGGCCGATGACCAGGGGCACACTCTGAATGCGCTTGATCTCTTCCTGAGCTCGTACCAGCTCTCGCTTCAAACTCCTGCGGGGCAACCAGCATGTCAGCGTCCCGTAATTTGGCGAGATGGAGATGTTCATCACATAGGCGTGGGAGAGGCTCGTACCTCTGCTCATCTTTGATGTATTCCTCCTGAAGCTGGATGTACCTGAGCGAATAGTCAGCGGCCGTGGTTCAAATGCTGCTGAGGTGATCGTCCGTCCGGAGGACAGTTTCGAGCGGCGTGCGGCGGCAAGGGGGGGCAGCCTTACTCCAACTGCCTCTGCAGCTTCTTCAGAGTGGCGTAGTCATCCTCGCCGTCGGTAGGCAGGCCCTCGAAGTCGTCGATGTTTGGAATGGCCGAGGGCGCGGCTTTCTTGTGTGGCGGCAGCGTGGTGGCTTGGTTTTCCACGAGGACGTCGCCCATCTTGTCGGTATTATCGATTGTATGGAGGCGTGGAAGAAGGAAAGAGAACAAGATCAAGGTGAAGACGACGATGAGATTGCTTCGCGAGGCGTGAGTCGGTGAGTTGATAGATCGATGTGGAACTGAGTGGTTGGAATACAAGGACTTGGACGAAGCATCAGCCAGCTACTCCGTTACGCAACCAAAGCTCTCTCTCAGCTGCCACCAGGCGTCAACGACGAGACGCAGCCTTCCCTTGGCGGGCGCGATGCTTAGTCATGTCACGTGGTAGTATGCTTATCGCGATAACGGTGAAGGTGATGCAACACGCCAATACAGTGTAGTTTCTTTGGTGAATTGTACGGAGTACTTTGCGACGACACAAGCAGGTCATCTGGAGGCTAAGACCCATCCGGCACCTGTGGTGAAGAGGGCGGCACGTCATTGGCCAGCTGGAGGGCTCTCGGTGCGGACCTTGAAATTTAGTGCTTGCATCAATCAGTGCCTAAATCAGCGTGCCGGCTTGTGAATGAGAGATGGTTGGTAAATAAGCATGAGTACCTAGGTACCTAATATAGTAGCCGTTACATGCTGGTCTTGGGAATAGAGACACCAGGTGGTTGTGCGACATCGCCGTGACTGCACCTCGCGCATCAACAACAGCAGCTGGACCAAGAGAATCTGTACGTACGTAGCGAACTTTTTTACATAAGGTACAGGCAGCATCGAGTTCGCCGGCCACAGTGAAACCTTCAACGCAACCACACGATCAAGCCCAGCCCAGCCTCAAACCAAGCCGTTCAGGCGCTCCGATTGGGCAGGACGCCATGGCGCCGGTCTTTGCATCGGCGTGGGGAACCAGCCCTGGTCGAGCTTCCCAGGAGTGACTTGCCCGTGGTAAGGATCCGCACCAGGCATGACAGCTGCCTCTAATGCCGTCAATGTACCCCCTTGACCTTGCGCTTCGAGCTGCTGCCGATGCCCAGCGGGCGATAAGGCATCACGGGATGGTGATCCGTCGATTCAGGCCGAGGCGTGAATCAAGCTAACTGTATTTGCATGAGGTATGGGGTTCTTGGGCGTGGGGCTTGGGAGACGAGCTGCTGCAGCAGCGGATCAAGGTACCTGATACCTACCTACCTTACCTGAGGGCCGCTGACAGCCTGCTGTCTCGAGCGATGCCGGAACTGCCAGTGACATGCACGGTTCCGCGGGTAGCCAGTACATGCCCGAGCTCTCGTTTCCCTCTCCCCTTCATGTTCCGATCATCCCACCGTCGTGGCTGTACGGATTCACTCACCAGACCCTTGTACATGCAGTACCTAGGTAGGTAGGTACCTATCTCACGAGAGACTCCGTGCAAACACGGGGCTCCATTGGCAAACAGCACTCTGGGCGCAACGCTTCTCACGGCACGCAGGTTCATCGCACAGACACCGAGTCACTGCGCAGGAAGATTCCGGGGTCGAGCACCGTGTCGCCACGGGCTACGGGCACAAGGTTTCTGCCACCAGACTGGACGCAACTCCGTCCACGACACAGGTCCAGCCACCAGACAGTAGTATGGACAGTGTTCCGCAGCCGCAACGAGAGCTGGGCGGCAGATGCGGTAGCCGACAAGGTACATGTAGTAGCGACACACGCAACACTGTACGGAGCCCGGCGCAGGCCAGGCCGCTCTGAATCAACCGCCTCGGGCCACTCGAACCTTGAAGGTCGCGGCAGCACCAGGCTGCAGATATCCGTACTGTAGGTAGCAGCTGGCAGGCAGCAGGTAGCAGGTACTTGTGGCCGTGGCTCCAGCTGCGGTGCCTTTTGACTTTCTCCATCCCGGATGCTGCTCATCTCGCCTACCTGGGCCTCTTCGTCACACTTCTCGTCCTCCGGCCTCTCACCACCTTCCAACTTCCTGCACCGCTCACGATCCTCTTCGTTTTCCTGCCTGCACGCCCGCTGTCCGTATCGTCTCTTCGCCCGCCTCGCGTCTGAAACAACAGCCCTGCGTTCACTGTCCTGTACCGTCGCATCGCCGTGCGCCTATTGATTGCCATCTCGCCTATCTGCCGCTCTTGGAGCCTCGCAATCCATTCAGTACCTTTTGGCTCTTTCGAGCCCGTTCCACTCCTCAGCTGTAGTCCCTTCTTCGGCGGCTTTCAGCAGCTTGCACAGAGTCACAGGCCATACTCACAGGCAGTCTCTAGAGTTTGGACTCGGCTTTGACTCTGCGCTCGTCGAGATCGCCCATCTCTCTGCCTGGCGTAGCCACCAGTCCCGAGACGCTGCTCAGCACAGAACCCTCGCCCTTTGGCGTCAAGCTGAGCATGTCTTCGTCAATCAACATTCCGGCGGGGCCTTCGTCCTCTGCTCCGCGATACGGCCTCTCCGCCGAAACAGTCGGCAGCTCGTCCGACAGCTCCTACTCGAGCTCACCTTCGCCCTCGTCCCCGTCTGCCTCTCCCAAGAGCAAGGCCAAGGCAAAGGGAAAGGAAAAGGAAACGGTCACGGCGCTCGAGAGCCGCCGTCCGAGCCTGCTCAGTACGTCGCCCTCGCCTCTCTATCTGGGCTGTTTCTGTTTCTTCTATGCTCTGGCCGGTGCAGGAGCTGCCAGTTGGCGCAGCCTAATACGCCGTGTGGCCCGCCTTGTGTAGCACCCGTTTGCTGACCACCGTTGTACAGGCTCGGCCTTTTCCAAGCAGGAGTGCACCGTTATCAATATCGGCTCACCCGACGGCCCTCCACGACTCGTATGTTTTCTTTGATTTGGACAACCTGTTTTCATTGCTTTCATGGGATGTGAAGATGTGCTGACGTTGAGCTCACGCTAGATCTCGTATCTGTCGTCCGCCCAAGGCTTCATGTGGAACCCTGGTATGTCTACCGGCAGCAAGCAGCTTGGAGGCGACGATGGTAGTAAACAGCGGTTAACTGACTGCCCCCCTCTAGAAATCTTCCTGCCGTCCTACATCGACTGCGACTACGTCCCCCTGGAGAACCGACGAGACCCCGTACACGAGATACATCTCACGGATGAGGAGATGAAGAATATGCTTCCGCAATGAACATGACGCCCTGCTTTTGTGTCGCCATTACGCCCCATACCCCTGTTTTCTTTTCTCCTTCGGGACCCTGAATTATCTAGATATCCTTTTTTTTTCCCCCTCTCTCACGACATGTGTACTCGACTTTGTTTCTCACCAGTGTCGGTTGGCACCCAACGGCGTCAAGGCCTCGGCACTTGTTGATTGGTTGGCCTCGTTTTGGCCCTTTCGGGTGTATAATCCAGGCGGCCGTGACGGGTCGCGGACGATGGGCCTGGTGGTACCTGGTATTCTCTGGAGGGCAGCTGCTTCAATGCGCCATCACGGCCGCTTGGCGTTTGCGCTCGTATTTACGATGCGATGTTGGTATTGGTTTCGGTATGTCACTTCGGTATTCACGGTTTACTGGCTTCTGGGCCCCAGCCGGATCGGTAGGCTGGCGAGGCTTGCGGTTCCTTTCTGTTTGTTGTCTCCCTTTGCGCCTTGTTAGCCAGGGGATCAGGCTAGGTAGGTAGTTAGATAGGAAATTTCTACTCGTGTATCTGCATACAGCTGTGCGGCAGTGGTGTTGACTGGAGCGCAAGGGAGAAGCTGACTGCATCTCGTCACCACACTGAATCCCATCGGGTCCGACCCATGGAGCCCAGTCAAGCCAGTCCCAGTGCACCGGCTTAGGCGTTGGGCTGCCCCGCATGTCGCTGGAGGACCCCCAAAACAGCCCCAGAGTTGGCTGTCCCAGGCCTCCACTCTGGGCTGGGCTGGTACGGCACCAAGTACTACGTACCGCCAAGTGCTGCTGCGCTGCGCATCAAAGTGTGCTCCCTACAGGTACGGAACCCTTCTTGTTGACTTGGCACGGACCAGAGCTGGGGAGCCAAAGTGCCACCGTATGTTTGAAGTACTATCATGACGAGCTTGGATGCACACGTTGCATGACTTGCTAAGAGTGATGCGTCGGAGATTTGTTTCAGTACACCTAAGAACTTCAAGTCTGTACCTACCTGGGAGAAATGACTTGAGCGACTCGAGCACATCCGGAGTACCTAGTGCTGGAAAGTACACAGTGTGTGGACGCAAGGGTGCTCGAGGCGATCACCTTGATGGCCAGAGGACAACAGCGACCTCGTCTATGGCGCATATTCCATCTTGTGAGGTATTAATATGACTCTGTATTCTCCAATGCGTAAATAAATTATCTGCTTTATCTCTTTTTTTTTTCTTTCTGTAATGGGCATGTTGAGAGTTTGAGAGCCTCCGGGAGGTGTCTCCAGCATGACATCTACAGGTGAGAGCCAAGTACAAAGGCGATGATTAGGTACCAGGCACGTCAAGTCGAGCCGCTCATTCTCTCCTCACGGGTATTCACTGCACCGACAGCGCAATTCATACCACTTCATCACCTGAACCCTCATTGCAATTACATCACAAGCTCTCACAGCAACAAAATACCACAGCCGAGTGCCCGACAGTCTCGCCGCTCTGCTGGTCAAGCTTCTTCTTGCAAGGTACATGCCTCGGCACTTGTCAAGGTGAAGATAGTAGGTACCTTACCCTTACCTAGACCCCCACTTCACACCGAGCCAGCTACAGGGTACGTGCCACTTTTGGTTTACCTCAACGGTGCATCCATGGAATGCTGCCTTTTCTCCTGCACCAAATCTCATCCCACTAAAAAACGCGGCAAAGCAGCAAACGCGTCTTGCGCCACTGTTGATCAAGCTGTTTGCTTTTCATTTCGTTGATTGATTAACACAAATCTGTTCCGTTTCTTACCATTCCGCACAGCCAACGTGCCATTGATTGCATAGCCCTTCCGAGCTGCAAGTCGACATTGATACAGACTCAAGTCTCCTCTTCAATGGACGAATAACATCAACATTCAACAAGCCACAACCCAAGCCCAAGCCCCAACTTCTCGACCACGATCCAAAGACAAAGCTCGACGACCCGGGCCTCCCCACGCATGGATTCCGAGTCCGTCGTCGCGCAGGTCCAGCGCAAGATTGAGCTCCAGAGCCCCGAGGACCTCGCCTACCTCATCACCAACGTGCGCAACGCCGCAGTCGAGCACCTCAACGAAGCCTTTCCGCCCGTCGACGGCGCCGAGGAGGATGAGCTGCGCATCCAGATTGAGGTGCTCGTGAACGAGGTACATCTTCATTCTCCCTCTTACACACCTCAAACATGAATAGGGAAAAAGGAGAAGAAAGGAAGAGAGAGAAAAAAAAAAAAGACCCGCTGACACTTTGCGCGCGCACACACACACAAAAAACAGTACATCAACAAGACCTTCTCTCTCGCCGCGCCCAACCTCACCATCAACGGCCTCCCCGTCCCGCCCACGGCCATCGTCGCCGCCGCCGCCGCCATGCCCCCCGACACCGTCTACGAGCCCTTTGACACGCGCAAGCGCCGCCAGGTCGCAGACCTCATCACCCAGGAGGAGAAGCTGCTCGAGGACGTGGCCGCGCTCAAGCGCTCCGTGCCCGCCAAGGTCGCCGCCGAGCACGCCGAGCGCGTCCGCGCCGCCATGCGGCAGGACGAGGAGGACCTCCGCGAGCGGGTCGCCAGGGACGCGGCCGCGGCCGAGGCCAGTGCTGCTGCCGCTGGCGGCGGGCTGCTGCCGGGCGTGTCGAGGCTGCAGCGGCAGGAGGGCGTCGAGGACGGCTTCAAGAGCGCCGTTCAGGGGCTCGGGAGGCTGAAGAGGGACATGCCGGCCGTCGTGGCCAAGATGGAGCGGGCGAGGGTTGCAGGGGAGTATGTCGTCACTAGGGGGCGGTGATGGACCTTGCCGACGACGACGACGATGATGATCACGAGAGTTTATGACTGTGATGATGAATGATGCATCAGAAAAAACATATGGACGTATCAGATAGTGTACTCATCCGCAGGGACGGGGTGCGGTGAGCCACTCGGTTGGGTCATGGCGAAAGGGGGGCGGCCGCATACGATCAACAGGTTTTTTCCCCCCATGTGCTTGAGTCCTGGTGTTTGATTCGGGCGTTTTACAGCTTGTTTTTGTTAGCGATTGGCAGGGGGGTTTCAACTGTACAAGGCGTCAAGGGCGAATTTAACAACCAATTTTTTTACGGTCAGCTACGGGATAGGGTTTTTTTTTTTTTTCTTTGTCCTGAGAGGGTCAGCTCGTTGATTCATCTCGAGATCATCACCTTGAACTCTATAGTAATGGTGTCTCTGTTGTTCACGGGGCGTGTGTCGTCATGAGTCCCCCCAGTGTCGGCATGATGGAATTTACGCCGCGTAAGCAGACGATGTCTTATTCAGAGAACGTGGGGCCGGATCTAGACGACATAACGCGTAGCCCTTGTAAGAAGGACTTGGCTGGCCAGCACCCTGAATGAACGCCCAAAAAAAAAAAGGCCAAGGGTGATGGAGATGCAATGCCCAAGCGAAACCCATCATCTGCTGACAGAATCACAGCACGATGGTTCATACATCAAACACTACTGTATACCTACTTTAATGTATGCGGACGGGGGAAAAAAATAAAGAGTATGTGGATGATTCAAAGAGCTAGGTACCTAGTAGTAGTAGCTTTCCCTGCTCCCCTCCTGTATGTAAGTCCCTTCCCTCTTTCCATCTTCCGTCTAAGATCCCGTCTTCCCGCTTTAGCCCGTGATAATAAATCTTGTCCTCTTTTTTTTCTCTCTGTATGTGTGTTTTGAATCGAACAAGTCTGCTGCCGATCACACAAGTCCTTCCTGAAGGGAACACAAAAAAAAGAGTCACAGGTAGGCTTTCTCAAAGATTCTGTCTGACAACCAACCAAACCCCGTCTCCCAAGCACAGCCAACACACAAACGCATTGTATAAAGAAAAGTTGAAAGCAAAAAGAAAAGGAAAAAAAAAGGGGAACAAAGAACGGCCCCGGTTTAAGCCTTCTTCTCCCACTTGGCGGGCCTGGCCCATTGAGGATCGTGCCACGGGCCGGCATCGCTGTTCTCGCAGCCGCCCTCGCAGGAGCAGGTGCCGCCAAACTCCTTGGGGATGTTCTCGGCGGGGATGTGCTTCAGGAGCTCGCTCTGGTAGCCGCTGCCGAGGATGTTGATCTTCTTGACGGTGACGGGGTCGAGCCAGCCCTTGACGACGCTCCAGACGGTGGAGAAGCCCCAGGGGGCGTTGATGAGGAAGAGCTTGCCCAAGCGCTCGGGGTAGTAGTTCTGGGAGATGACCGAGGCCTGGCGGACGTACGAGTACACCTGGGGCACCTTGGTCAGGGTGACGCCCTTGAGGTCCATGATGGTGCAGCACGTCTCGAGGAGGTGGCCGGCCTTGCGGGAGCAGGCGGGCAGACGGGGGTCGGCCACGCGCTCGTACTCGACGGCGAGATTGGTCAGCATGCGCTCGGCCGAGGTGATCTTGTACATGGCAGCCAGGTCGATGCCGCCCAGCGTCTCGATGTAGACAGGGCGACCGTCCTACTCGGCAGGGATTAGCTTCTGCGCGCAAAGAACAAGACTCGGTTCGTCTCATGTCGTCTCTGGTTCCATCATTTCTTCTCACATTGTCAATCTTGTGGTAAAACTGCTTGTAGTATTTGGAGATCTCGGCCTTCTCGGGGTAGTCCCAGGTTGGGAGGATCTCGTCGAGCTTGATCTCGGCGCGCCACTTCTCGGTGTCGACGAACCTGATGATGGCGGTCAGAATCGGCAACAGACTCAATGGTTGAATAGGAGAGAGGGGGGTTGAGGGGAAAGCTCACATCTGCTTGGCAAGTTCAACGTCGAACTTACGCGCTCGGAGGAATCGCAGCTGAAAAAGAGGCAGCAGTGTCAGCCGTGTCCTTGTCCATCCATCTATATGTCTTCGGGCTCGTCTTCCATTGGCCGCGGCCCAACTCCGAGCCGCAAGCCGCTCAGGCGGGATTTCCATACCAGTGTCAGCGTGTCCAGGCGCTCTGTGAGTCCCTCAGCCTCGAGCAGCATGCGCAGCTGGTGAACCTTGGCCTGCTGCTCGGGCGTCAGATGGCCGGCGTGGCCCTCCAGAGGCTCGGGAGCCTCAATGGGGAAGTCATAGTGGTCGTATTTCTCGCTGAGTTCTAGGGGCGCCATGGCGGGGGATTTGGGTCTGAGGTTTGGCTGCGAGGGGGTCGCGGGAGGCGAAGTGGATGACGATTCGTTCGATGGAGACGAAGGGAATGACGACGGAGGAGAGGAGAAGCGAGAAGAGGAGGAGGAAGCAAAGATGGAAATTATATAAAAAGGGGAGCGGCGAGGTCTGGAGGAGGATCCCTGGAGCCTGTAATTACCACTGCTTGCACAGCGTGGCGGTATAAACGGGTGAGCTGGCGCAGTGGTGGGGACTCTGCGCCGTCGCCAAGGCGGTGTCCCGAAGCGGGCTAGTGCAGGCAGGCCCGGGCCAGGCAGAACGAAAACACGGGGCAGATTGGCATGTGACTTGTCACATGGCGATAACAGATGGCTGCTGCAACAACTTTGGCTTCTATCTAACTCGCACTATCGTCAGATGCTGCATCTTTTGCGATCCCTGCAACTCCCCACGCCGCTTCGACACAACAACAACCTCGAGGGACGCAGCCGGCTCCCCGTCGTCTCGATTCCCGCGTCGTGTTTCGATGGCGAGCACTCCCACGCCTCCACCATGAGGAGCCCGCCCCTGCGAATCAGCGTCAACGTCGCCGTCCGCCAGATTCACAGCGCCGTCGCTGCGCCGCGCCCTCGTTCGTTCCACCTCACCTCACAAGCCGGCCTTCCCCGGCGGCGCAACTTCTTCACGTCGAACCCATATCTCTCCTCCCAGCCCGGTAGCGACGATGCGAGATTGCCCCCAACGGAGCGTCAGGACCAGTCTCAACCACAGCCCGGCCCTGCCAGCGCCAATGCCTCGCCGGTAGCCAAGCGCAAGCCCACCCGGGCCACGCCGACCAAGAACTCGCTGCGCCGGGTCGCCATCATTGCCCAGCAGCCGAAGCGGGGCGGCGGCCAGGGCAGCCCCGGCGGCTTCGACGCGGCCGAGGCTGACCCGTCCAACATGGTCAGCGCAACGTGCATCGCCGAAGCCTTCAACATGCCCGTGGTGCTCGAGATCCTGTCGTCGCACGGCTTCGCCATCGACCCGGACGGTACCGGCTTCGACGCCGCCGAGGTGGTGCACGCGCGGGGCGTCAACGGCGGCGACATCTTCGTCTTCCCGTCGGGCACCATCGTGACGTGGTCGCTGCCGCCCGACGTCGTGACGCGGCAGATCCTGCGGGCGGCCGAGGAGCCGCACCCCGAGGCGCTGCGCGAGGTCGAGGACCTCGAGTTCACGACGGACAACGGTCGCGAGACGAGCACGCTCAAGGGCGACGTCGTCGTGCTGGGCACGCGCAAGGAGCACAAGGACGGCGACTTCCTCGACACCACGCTGGCCAAGGTGGCCTTCTCGTCGGGCCTCGCCCGCAGCACCAAGCTGGCCGTGCTCGAGTCGGCGCTGACGTCGTACTTTGAGAGCACGAGGAACATCCCCGCGCTGCTGTCCCAGGGCGCCGGCGTCCCGCTCAGCCGCCGCTTCATCCTGCAGAAGACGGGCGAGCTGCTCAGCCTGCGCGCCAAGCTCAACCACTACTCGGAGCTGACGGACAACCTGCCCGACATCTTCTGGGACAGCAGGTCCGAGCTCGGGCTCGAGGGCTACTACGACCAGGTCGGCCGCGCCCTCGACGTCAACGTGCGCATCCGCGCGCTCAACCAGAAGATGGACTACGCGCAGGAGATTGCCACGGTGCTGCGCGAGCTGTCGAGCGAGCAGCACGGCACCCGCCTCGAGTGGATCATTATTGTCCTCATCTTTGTCGAGGTCGTTTTTGAGCTGCGCAGGATCGTGATTGAGTACAAGGAGAGGGCGGTGCTCAGGGAGCTGGGCACCGAGGTGTAAGAAGCTATCTCCACCACGCAGATGATTTCTGTTTTTTTCTCGATTGAACACTCCTTTTTACCTTGTACTACTAGTATCTGATGATGGAAACTGGACATAAAAGAGGATTGTACAAAGCCCGTCATTTTAGTACGAATATTTAGAAAGCCCGGAAGCCAAACGGATGACGAAAATCAAGATACCCCCCTCTCAGCAAACTCTGTATAGACGAAAAAAAAATGCCATTGCTCACTCTTGCGCACCACTTTTGACCTTCTCATAGACATTGGCTGTGAATAAATTAATAAAGGGGAGTTGGCTTGCCAGCACCCCAAGTAAGCCAATCTATAACACCTCTACCACAATCAATATTAGTAGGTATGCTTCTCTACTTGATTAACAACAACTAGATACAAGCAACCTCTTCACTCTAAACTAGGTATCAAACTTGTAAACTTGTATATATGTAGATAGGCCAAGTTGAGGTGCCGACTACATGGTCAACATACATAGATATAATGTAGGCAAAGCCCAAAAATGTAGCGAGTGGTATGGCGGGTAACCCTCCAAAGGCAATAAAGTATGCAAATACCAAGCATCATTCTTCCAAAATCTCGCCGCCTCCTGAAGCTACACCCAGCCAGAGCTAAAAAGTGGGAAAACGTAACATAACATACATCCCTATTTGCTTCTCTCTGATATCACCTCGCAAGCAATAAACTCTCACCGCCACAAGGGGATTCATAGCGTATCTAAGATCCCTCTGTCTGCGAATACTGCATTAACAGTCATACAACTCAAAGCGCGTGCCCAATACATCCATTTACCCCTCGACAAAACATGCCCTCCCTCATTTGCAATCAAGAATCAACACGATATGGAACAGGAATTGCAATGTGAAAAGGGTTCAATAAAGAAAATGGATATTAAAAATAGTCAACCCCTTTCCCTTCTCTCCCTAGCAACACCGCGCGTATCCCTCCAAAGGCAGGACGGCAAAACTCCGCCTTCTCTCCTTTGCGATTATCGTTCTTCAACAGAAGACGTGAAAACATTCTCCTCCACTCTTTTTCCTTTGTCTTGGTCCCTTGTTTTGTTTTTGCCAAAAACTCCATTGTGATACGAAACCCTTAGCCCTCTAAACGCCGCTCGAAAACAACGCCGAGGTGTTGCCAGCCACGAAGCGTGAAAATTGCCCTGCCCAGTCCCTTTATCGTCATCCCTTGCCATACCCGAGACGTTCATTTCATCACGTTGAAGCACTTAAGTTCATGAAGTCGGCTTGCGCTGTAGAGTGGGAATAACAGGAACGGGTACGGGCGTCACCTTGTACGGGACATGTCCTGTCCCCGCTGTCCCGTTCACGCCGGGCTTTGAGGGAGTGGGCGTCTGCGGTTTATTCTGGTTCGCCATGCTCGCCCGGGCCGCCGCGAGTCGACCGCCGTCCACGCTAACCCCCAGTCCCATGCCTCCTAAGCCCGAGACGCCGGACTGCGACAGCCTGTCGGTAAACATGGCCGATCTCTCCTGCGCTGCCACACGGGCCTTGGCCTGATCCAGGATCCGCTGCTGCTGAGCCTCGGGGATGACCGTGTGATATCCAGTCAGGCCGGGACTCTGGCCGTGGGCCCCCGTCTGGCTGGAGCCGCTCGGGAATCGGTTCATCTGACTGGCCATGGTCGGGGTTGGAGCCGAGTACCCCGGATTCTGCTGCAGAGCAGGCGAAGGGCTGAATGTTTGCCGGTTCCCCACCTGAGGGGACATTGTCCTGGCCGGGATCGCGGCTGGGCTGTTGGCGTAGGCGCCATAGTTGGGGGGCGCCGGCGCGCCTGGCTGGTGCGGATGCGGGTGCGGGTGCTGGTGCTGGTGCTGGTGCTGGTGCTGGTGCTGGTAACTTGGCTGGAAGGTGTATCGGGCGTTCGGTGTACCTTGCGGCGGCATCTGCCCGTAGTTTGGCCGCTGCTGGGTTGCATACTGCTGCGGCAAGCTCTGATGGCCGTACGGGGTCTGCGCTTTGGCAAGCTGGGTGGCGTACTGATTGGGATAGCCGTTGGTACGAGTGTACTGGTTCGGCTGCGGCGGCCTGGGCTGATGGGGAGCCGGCGGGCCCAGGTTGCGAGGCTGCTGGTAGTTGGGAGCCGGCGAAGGGCGATAGTACTGCTGGGGCTGAGGGGGCACGGCCCGGCTCGGCGTGCCGTACTGGTTCACCGCCGCCGCCGCCGCATACTGGTTGGGATACGGCACGGCGGACACGCTGGGGGTCCGTTGCGGCGGAGGTCGGACATTGGCTTGCGCCGCCTGGGCAGCCTGCTGCTGCGCTTTGATGCGAGCCTGCACCGCCGCCTCGTCTTCATCCATGGTTCCCTTGTATTGGTCGGTGTGGACCATGATCTTTGTGCTTATGAGGAGATCGTCCAGCTGGTCGCCGTTCAGCTTGGCCACTGCGTAGGGCGGTAGCGTCTTGATGATGAGGGCCAGCTGAGCCTTGAGCATCTGGTAGGTGGCGAATTCTTCTTCCGACGGCTGCGGCCCGGCATTGGCCAGCATGTCGCCGGTCACCGGGTCGCTGGACTGGCGGTTCTGCGAGTTGGGTAGTGTTAGGTTGCGGATGCGCTGGTAAGAGGCCAGCGTCTCGATCAGATCGCTGACCTCGTCGAGGATCTCGTCGGCCTCCTTGTCCTGCTCGTCGTGCTTGGACCCCATGACGTCCTCGAGAGATGGGTCAATGACGGTGTCGTCCCAGTTGTCAATGGCCTCTTGCACGGCTGTTTCGTCCAGCTCCACCGGCTGGGCTGCGTCGACGGGGTCTGGGGTCTGGAGGTCGCCATAGTATTCCACCTCGATCATTCTCTGGAAGCTCTGCTTGCCACTGCGCTGCCACCAGATACGGCCGGCGACGCTGGACGGCACTACCGCAGCGGCGTCATCTTTGCACGGTGCAAACGTGGAAAAAGCGCCCCGGAACAGGGTCTCCATCTCCGACATCTCAATCTCGGAAAGAGAGGGCTTTCGACCGGCGAGACTTTGCGCGCGTTCGTGCTGCTTAGTCTTGGTCTGCCAAGAAGGCGTCGCCTGGCTGTAATCTAGATAGTAGCCGGTGGAGAGTTTTGTGTTAAAGTACGAGTTGCCTCGATACCTGGAGCCGTCGGCCAGGTGGGGGTGGTAGAAGTCCAACCGATTGCCCTTGGCCTGTGTCTTGGGCTGCTTGGGCGGTTGGAGAGGCGGGAGAGGACGCGGCGGAGCAAACAGCTCGCCAAGGGTTTGCGTGCGGTCTTGGGTGTTGGAGGGGATGATTCGGGTGATGGACACGCCCGGCGGGAGGCTCACGTCGGACAAGTCGACGTCCTTGGCCAGCGGTAAGCTGGAGAACAGGCGTCTCTCCTGGGGCGCATAGCCGACGAGCGATAGAACTACTTCGCTCTTCTCAGACGCCGTATGCGACTCGACCTCTCCATGCGCAGGCTCCAGTCGCGTCTTCGGGTACGCCTTTTCGCGGCGGAGAAGGTCCGTTGCTCTGTCCCAGAACTCGTTGATCTGCGCGGCTGCCTTGAGGGTGACGGCTCTCGCGCCGGAATCCGAAGAGCCCGATTCCATCTCGGATAGTGAGGATTTGACGGCGGAGGAAAGGTCGGCTGCGATGTCGTCGAGGGAGGCGTAGGCGCCGGCTGCAACCTTGTCGGCGATGCTCTGTTTGCTTGGCGGGTCGACGGATTTTTGACGCTTCGCCTGGGGCTCGTCTTCAGACGCCAGCTCTGGCAGCGGTAGGGGGCGGCCGAGGATGGAGGGTCCGACGTCGAAACTGGGGGAGGGTTAAGTTGTGGTCAGCTTTACACGCTCTCTTTGTCTACCCATCACCCGATGCAAGTCAATGACGCCGCGGGTTGGAGGGGGGTAAGCCCAAGCATCGCGGCAGGAGGACGTGACGGGGCGGGTGCGCGATGCAGGCAATGCGTACCTTCGCAGGACCTCGAAGAAGGCCGTGACCAGCTCCTTGCCCTTTGCGGCCTCGCGGTCCGGCTGGGGTGCGTCGTCGGCCCGGTCGACGTCGACACCGACGCTGACGCTGACATCGACGTCCATGGAGTCGCCGTTGCTGCTGGCGGCGCCATTGTCGCGCTTCCGCTTGCCGGCGGCGGCCAGATGGGCGCTGGGCGGGCTGCCGGGCATGGTGACGCCGTGGGCATCGTCGGGCGAGGGCTGCGCCATGCTGGCTGGATGGCTCGTCGTCGAGAGGCTGCTGCTGGATGCTAGCCGCGCCCCGTCGCGATACGCGGTTGCAGAGAGGGCTGACTGGTGCGACTCCAAAACCTTTTCATCCAGGCCGCGCGGGCGGAGCGTCTACATCCACCGGGACGCAGTTGCAATCGAGACAGCGAGGGCGCCGCGCCTGCAAATCCGCCAGCGTCTGCACGGGGGAGGCGATGCTCGCGAGGGGAGATTTGCCGCGAGGTTTCTGCTGCAGAGAGGAGGGAAAAGGGCCGCTGCACGATGGGGAAACGCCGTTGCTGAGCCTTGCTGGGAAGGGAAGAATGTGTCCTGGATCGCCAAGTACTTTCTTTCCCTGGCCCGGGACCGCGCTAACGCCCTCGAGGGAAAAGTCTAAAGTGGCCCGCACGTGATCTCCCACGCCCCGCTGCTGTTGCTGCTCTTGAGCTGAGCTGCAGTTGGAAGTGAGTTTGAACTGACGCGGACTGATTCGGCTTGTCTGTGAAAGATGATGGGTATTGCAGCCGCGTTCTTGTTTGGCTGGAGCGGGCGGTTGGCGGCCTTTGTTGAAAGCAGAGACGCGGACATTTTCCATCAAAACTTGCATCATGCATCTGTGAGGTAGTCGAGGCGGAACACGCCTTAGTGCCTGGATCATATTGATACTAGGTAGCGGCGCCAGATGCTACAGGTAAGAATGTATTGCTGCTAACATGCTAAGCCACCTACCTTGGGCAGTAAACACAGGAGATTACAGTTCACAACTCATCTTGCATTCTACTTCTTAATGTAAATTCGGTATTAACAACCTGTCCTTTGATCCTTATAAACAACTGCCCGTTGGATGATACTCGCTCAAGACCTGTAGCTCTCCCCGTATAATGCAGGGTAATAAATGGATCCCATCCCACGCGAACTTCGGCCTGCCACTGAGGTGCCAAAGCCGTTTCGTGCTAGTATTGGCGGTGCTAGCAATGCACAGAATGTCGCATCTTATTAGCTCTGACCTTACATGTGACACGCGGCTGACCTGGCTGGTCGCGATAGCTTGCAGCACGTCATTTGATGGCACCTACTAGGTAGTTGGTAGGTACGGGCAGCTCGCTCTGACAAAGGTCCCGGCGACACCAGTACAATTGACCAAGCAAGCAAAAATGGAATCGTTCGGCCGCGGCAAGGTTAGTATCGACATGTCGAGACAGGCCAATCAATCAATCAATCGAGATGAGCGCCTCGCAAAGGCACGAGATCATGACACCGAACCAAATAGCGGCAGCAGACGACGGCCAGTCTCCATTATAGTTATTACATAAACGACGTTGCAATCTTGATCCAGACTCCTCCGCAGCAGTAGGACTGTCTTCCGCTCTCAAACTGCCCAAATAACCAAAACTACCCAGCATTCTGCAAACATACAGGATGTGCACTTCTTAGATACACACACACTCGCAAAGCGTCTACCTGCTTTATTTGGCCTTGGCAAGACCAACGGCGTCCCTGCCAAGGTCGTAGACGGAGTAGTAGCGGCGCAAGAAAGCATCACCCAGAATGACCAGGGGGCCCACGGGCTCGGGGAAGTCCATGCCCTGGAAGGACGAAATGCAGTTGCCAGACATCTCAATGATGTAGTCGCTGGCGGGAAGGCTGTACTTGGAGCCGGCCAGGCTGAAGGTGATGTCGGGGAGGGAATCACGCTTGGAGCAGTCAACAGTGTACTGACCGCCAAAGCCCTTCTTGGCGCCAATCTCAGCGTTCAGGAGCTCGGCGAGGCCCGAGGGGAGGACGTTGAGAGAGGTGCCGGTGTCAAGGATGGCGCCAGTGTTCTCGAGCTCGGCGACCTCGTCACCGAAGGCAATGGAGTCAAGGTCCACCTCCCAGTAGGCCTTGCGGCGCAGGGGAATGTACTCAATCTTGCCCTCGTAGTGAGCATCGTCGACGCCGCCAAAGACAGCCTCGGAACCCTCGTCGCTGCTTCCCAGGTAGAAAGCAAAGACGGGCTCGTCGATCAGCTTCTGGTTGACCATCTGGTAAAAGGGGGGGACAATGCCATTGACCGAGATGGTATCGTAGCCAAGGCCAAGAATGCCGTCGAAGCGGCCGAAAGCAAAGGCAAGGCCGGGCTCGCTGGTTGCCTCGGCAAAGTCCTGCCCCTTGATCTTGAGGTCGCCAATCGTCACGACATCGTTGGAGATGAAGCCAGTCAAGCTACCTGATCCGTAGTGGATCTCAAAATCGGAGCCGTTGGGCTTGTACGTCGACGATGAAGACGAATCGTACGTGGAGTGCAGGAAGCAGGCGATGCTGTTGCACGACTGAGAGGGAACCCAGAGGTTAGAGCTTCCCGTGTCGAGGACAACCTTGAACGACTGAGGGGGGGTGCCGATGGTAATCTCAGAGAAGTCTGTCCGAGCAAGTTAGTAAGCATGTGCTCGCTACCTGGGAGCGGGACTCTCGTGCTGTGCTGCGCATCACGACTTACATTGGGCATTCATGAAGTTGGTGACGGGAACCGGGTGCCCGCCCTGGACCTTGGGCGGCTTGTCGTTGAACATGACCTCGGCACGGCTAGTAGGGCGGACGCCCATGTACTTCTGGCCGAGCTGCTGGACGTGGGCCTCGATGCTCGAACCCTCCTAGATGAGAGAGGCGGCGTGTCAGTGATTGCGCTTGGCTAGAGTACGAGGCCGTGGATGAGGGTGTCGTCTTACCAGCTGCTGCTCCAGGGAGACCTTCTGCAGCTTCATCTTGTGAATGCCGGCTTGGGCGGAGCCGACAAGCGCCGCGGCGGCAAGTAACGCGCTCTTCATGTTGGGCGACGCGGAGGTGAGGTGTTGATGATGGGCTCGTTGGCAGGTGGAAGGCGATGGGATGGGGGATGAATGGGATGGTTCGATTGCTGCCAGAGGAAGGGAACTTGGAGGATGACGAAGCTAGGAACCAGCCTCTTTGTAGGGACGGAGTACGGAGGAGAGGTAGCGGGCATTAGATAAGGCGAGCGGGCGGCAGGCAGGCAGCTCAGCACGCAAAGCACGTTAAGCAGCCCGCCCGCCGAGCAACCGCAGGCACTAACAGGCGCCCCGAAGGGCCCTGGCCAGCGCGGTGCAGGTCGCATTTGGGGTGGCTGCGATGGTGCTATCGGGTGGTCACTGGACTCGGCCTGGGGCAGTCAACATTGAAAGCAGGGCCGCCGGTTGCGTCTATTGGCCGTGCTGACGAGCCGATGACGCACCACTCCCTGCAAGGGGCGCCACCGTGATGGCCCGCGGAAGTCACCTCTGCACCCGCAATGGCGGGCAGAGGTACTTGGGTGCTTTGGCCGCCGGCCTTTGTTACCCCAACTTTTGCCCAGGTCCGAGCCTAACTGAGGTGCGCTGGCTGGCTGATGGGGCAACCGAGATCAACAAACGGTGGTGTCTCTGCCTCAGGCCGCGCGAGCAGATTTGGACCTCGGATTGGGGTACCGTTGCCGGCGTCCAGAGCACGAGGTGTACTTTATCTCGAGGTCACCGCAGTACTACCCTGTTGTATCATCACCTGATGGGGGACGGGTCAGCGGTTCTGCCTACCTTACCTCGCTTTCAATGCGGACGAGGCACGAGCAGCAGATTAATAGGTGGTACTTAGTACTCGTATCCTCGACTCCTGTTGGTATTACATGTACTGTATAGTCACGAAGCAGTAGCGGTCTCGCGCGCTGCGAATGGATGCTTCAAACAGATGGAAACCCTGCATGGTGAGAGCTGGATAGGTATGAAGACGGCGTATCCAGACCCAACTCTGCCGGCACGAACGGGAGCAATGGCGGTCAAAGGCTGGTCCTCGGTGGTTGACCTGAGGTACCTACAGTAAGCTGGTAAGGTCCCTACCTAAGGTACCTATAGAATCTCTTTGGACCTCTCACACAGCACTCTCCCTTGCACACGATCGTGGCAGCCAAGATCTGCCTGCGTCAACGACTCACCCGGAAGACCGTGTCCTTGAATGCATCAAAGAACCGTGTAATCGCTCAAGCGCGAGTATTTCTACTCACCGATCAAACGACTGCCCCTGTGATGAATCGGATGCTGGCAAGAGCCGGGACTTGTATTTGAGCTGTTTCAAGAGTACGGGTACGCGTAGTATTACCTCGAAGTAGCGGTCCTCGCATTGAAAACGGATGGCAGGGATCATGAATGTGGTAAAACGACGCTCACCGTATCATGCTGAATACCTTAATAGTGGAAAGCAAGGTTCGGACGCCGTTTTGGCCGTTCTCAAGGGTGAATTAAGCACATGGTGATCACTGAGATGCTTGTTTTTTTTTTTAAACGTTCAAGACGGCGCGTTAGTGTTGTTCAGCGACATACCTATATAATAGACTTCATTGACGAATAGGTAGGTAAGCCTACATACCTTATACTGCCTGTGAAAGACCTACGGCTCTGCTCCTGAAAGAGCCATGCTTCGTCATATAGCATAGAAGCACTGCTTTCAAGAGTGCATCGAGACTATCGAGAGGAGTTGCTTATCATTACTCTGAAGATTTATGGCTGGATACTGTTCGAGATTGGGGAACTTTGGGTGTTGAACATCTGCGCCGTTGACCCAGGCGTGCTGTATGTTGCACTAAGCGCAATGTGATGTCTACCAGAGAGATCCAGAAGGGGATGAGCAAGTTTGACGATATATGTACTAGTATGATCATGTACAGATGTCGAGTGGTGCTTCAATTTCAGTGCGAAATCCGTCATGGATTTTCCTGTCCATCACTCCATCGGGATACGGAGAGCATACAACACAGTAACAGGATACGATCCGTCATAAAAGGCCTTCAGTATTTTGGCCAGTAAAATATGCTGAACATACATGCTAATATACTGAAAGAATCGCCGTTGAATAGCTACTAGTAGGTAGGCTGGGCTGTTAGTCTCAAGGGTAGGGACACACAGGTCGTACGTAAAGCAGATGGAACGCTTGCAACTAACATCACAAAATAACCTATCAATTGCGATGATGACTGTCCTATCGTTGGGATTGCTTTACCCTAGCGTCTCGGACACTGGAGTTGAGTATTGGGAGAAGTAGAATATAAGCCTTCTGGTAGCATGGGATCAAGTGCAAAGCTTCTCGGACTGAAGCCTTCATGCGACAAAAGATAGATCAGGCCGTCCAAACATAGATACCTATCTAGGTAAGATAGCCAGTTCAGGTATACATAAAAAGAAGCCGGAAATATATAGAGGGCTGTTCACGCTCGTCTCTCTGCATTACGGGGAAGCCCTTGATGTAGATCAAGTGTGCTAATCTAGGATACTCGGAATATAGAGGCAATCCATGTCGTACGATGGATATGTTGTTCCAAGAATCAGACGTTTTTGGGCACGTCGAGTAGTTCTGAAGGCAAGCCGACCGATTCTAATTCTCCAGACTCTCGCCTAGGTATTACACAACATCACCCTGTCCGCGACATCACCTTAAAGACCGCCGCAAGCGTTATCGTCTCGTATAGGACATGACATCGGAAAGGCAGTAGCATTCATAAGGGCAGCTCAAAGAGCAGGCAGCTTTCCGTCATCAGTAGTTGATATGCCACTTTCACTCCAGTCATATACTACCTAGGTAGGTAGTACATGCCTAGCAAGTCTCTCTGAACTCATGTACATGACCGGAGCCTCGGTCCTCAATGTGACCCATGACCAACGTCGACCGGTAAAGGTTCTGCTCCCAATCGCTAAGTTCGGTCAGTCAACTGCTAAGCCTCGACTATTCACCGGTGGCGGATGTGAACCTTGTCACGGAAGCCCCGGGGCGTCACCACGGAGAACGGGAGCCAACAATGGAAAGCAATGGCATTTCCTCGCCCCTTTACAGTAGGTGGTGGCGAGGTTGGCCTGGAGAGCATCTTGTCAGCGGACATTGCTTCGACCTAATGGCAACTTTGCGAAACATGGCTCTGTGCCTGCAGTTCCTTGAGGAGATCAGACTGGGCACGGAGCAGAGGGCAAACCTTATCTAAACAAGCAGCAAGGTGTGTAAGATAAACATGAGAGAGTACAGTACGAGCACATCACGGTGAGGCAGATGGACGGCGTTCGGAAAAGGCGAGCTGTGAGCTCTGCTGCCGCAAGTCACCGAACTGCCTCTTCTAGCAGGCCAGGAACAGCCAGGTTCCAGGCAGCTTACTCTGCACTCTGCAGCTCGTGCGAGATACCAGGAACAAGGATACTTGGAACTCGGTGGCCAGAAGAGCCACCAATTAATCGCTCAGGTCTCGTGCATAACGTGCAAGGACGTACCTCGTTCAAGTCCAACTCAACGCGGCGAGGGCTAAGAAACAGGTTTTGCGTGCCGTGCCACCGCTCTCCATCCGAGACGCACTATTTCGTACAGACACCTCCATCCTTGCATCTTGGGCTGGTTGGCTGGTTGCCAATGCACTCCGTCCTGCAATTACTACTGCCTCGACTACCTAGTAGTAGTAAGCCACTGTTACTGCTGCGTAAGACGCGGCGAGAGAAAGAGACTGTCCATGATTTTGGCGAACAGAAGGCCATCCTTGCGGGAGTACCGACCCGGGGATAGAGGACCCGCAGCCACGGACTCCCCAGCAGAGGAGCATTGTTGTCCGGCAAAGGATTGAAAGCTTAGATCGTTCGAGAAGAAGAAGATGATCAAGAACCGGACGCCATCGACGGACGCCGCAGGTTAATCTAGCGGAGACAAACACGTGTCTGGACGCCGAGCAAGAGACAAGACCTCCCATCTCCAATCACGGCGCCGGCAGTCTGGCCCAGTCCCGGGGCAAACATCTCGATGCTCGCCTCGCCACGGTGATGTGCAGCGGGACCCTACCAACCCGGCACGGATAGGCGACGACTTGAAGCGTCCGAGGAGCTTATCGTCGTCGCAAGTTGGCACACAGGAGGGTCCCTCTTGTCTCAGCTTGACAGCCATCGACGACGCCAGTTCCGTGCGGCAGACTGGATGCCGGCGCGAGGCACATACCTACCTCATACTGTATTACAGTACATGTAATACCGTACGACGACTACTCGCCGAGTTCTAGTTATGCACACTCGGGACAGGCGAGGACATGGACTGGATAAAAAAAAAAGTTATTAATGACGCGACTTGAAACGCGCTGCGTCTCCTGGCACGATGGAGCCCAACGGGACTGTGCCAGTTCCTTTTTTTCCCCTCGCTAGGCGCAGCGCGGACCTGTGGCCTCTGCAGTGGTCGCACGACGACGCATCAGCAGCCGACTTTTGTGGCCTCTCTTTCTAATAGTTGTACTATCAGTCATGCGTCCAGCCGTGCCCCTGTCCATTCCTGTCCAGTCGTGTCGAGGGCGAGCGGCCGTTGGAGGGCTCTGTAGGGTCTAGACGGTGCGCGATAACGGGCGAGACCCCCTCTCCATTCGCCTTTGGCCGGTGGTGTCGCGCGACTCGACATGACGCAGATGCGGTGCATGTGTACAGGACAGTACTCGTACATGTGCTGTAGCAGGCAGTACTAATAGGTGGACGGATGAATGTGACGGACAGCTTGGCCGCGTCTTCCGGCATCACACGCAGGCGCGGCAGCTGGCCGGCGAGCTGCTCGCTGCGGCACTTGTACCTGCTCGTGATCAGGGCGTCTGTTTATTCTTGGAATGTCTGGCTGATGGAGGGTCGCATTGTGTGGACGAGCTCTTTGATTGAGGTGGAGATGGGAAATGGGACGGAACGCCACTCGGACGCCGTCTGCAGGAGCTCGGCCAGGTACTCGCGACGCCGCCTGCTGGCCCAACTCAGGGACGCCGTTAGGGCTCATGCACGCATCTGGCGCTGCAGCGCTATCACGGCGCAGACACAGCCCCCGTACCTGCTACCTCTGGCGCTGCAGAGCTCCACGCGTCCCTTGTCCTCCCAGCTTGGCACCAACTTGGAACCTGCAGTTGCTTGTACAGTTCCGTACTGTACCTTAGGTACTGTACCAGAGGTACATTGCTTCAGGCTGTACCTTAGCGTACCTCAGGTACTTTAGCTACCTTGGCGGTTCATGAAGTTTTTTCCCTCCCTCCCTCTCGCTCGCTGCCCGTCTGTCTGACTCTCCGTCCTGCACATCTGCTCTGCTCTGCTCTGCTCTCACTCTCTGTCTTGGGACCCTGCAGGCCTAGCCTGGGAGCGGCATGGCTGGCGGGCTGTCGACGCGCTCGCCCAGCCCCAATCGGCCTGCAGCATTCCAGCATGGCGGCCGCCATTGGTCGGGTGGCGCAAACGGACCAGGGGGCGACGCACCAGAGTTTTTAGCCAGGGGCTGGAGGAGCTTCTCGCGCCAAGTCCAGGAACGAAGAGCAGCAGACAGGCATCGCTGCTGTGTGTCGATGGAGCTGCTCACCCACATGAACGGGGTACTCGCATGTACTGCGGTACCGTGTGCGGCAGCACTGGAGGCGACGGGTCCGATCTGCCATGTACTTGTACCTTGTGTGCCAGCGAACGTCCCGGAGTAATAATCTTGATGTTAGGCGTTCATGGCTCAACTTGGCTCTCCGAATGTCTGGCAGCGCATCTCATACTAGCTCTGTACATAAGGTATTGTACAACTAGGACCTAGCGACACTTCATAGCACGGGCAACCAGATTTCCAATACTACGAGTGAACAGACATTGGATGCCCGTGGACGAGTCGTGGGTGAGCGGATGCCAGGCAAGGCAGAGCAAGGCATCGGCGGCCAATCAATACAGACTCATGCATGCCATCCACCGCATGTTGATCTCACCTCTCACGACGAACCCGAGGTACCGCTACCAGGCTGCAATCGCATCGCGCGAGGGGTACATCCTCGTACCTGCGCCTTCCAGCCCGTTGCCAGTGCCCGTAGCCCAACGCTGTCGCACCGCTTCGCATCCCAGCCCGGCGCGGTACCGGTACCTGCGCCTGTAGGTACCTTACCTTACCTGACGCCGTGCAGCTGCCACAAGCACCTTAGGCTCTCGTCCCTGGGCCACAACCGCAGCAGCCAGCACACACTAATTTCCCCTTAACCACACCAACTGCCCTAATCCCAGCTCCCTGATCCCGCAGTACAGGTACGTACCCCGTCCCTCTGCTTCGCTGTGCGACCTTGTCCGGTACCTCCTGCTGCCTCGCTCCTCGCTCCACTGCCTCTCGCTGCCTCTGCCTCTTCTCGCTCCAACCGGCCACCCCCCCAGTCCTGCCCCCCCCCAAATCTGTCGTTTCTCCTTCTCGTCTCCTCTCCCTTTCAACAAAACAAGTCACGCCTTCAGGACGCTCGTTCCAGTCCCTCCTTCTTCCCGACGCACGACACCGATTTCCTTCAGCGTCTCTCGAAGCCCATCGGGTCCAAAGCAGTCAGATGCTGTCGGGCCTTGCTCAGGCATCTTGAGAGAGAAAAAAAAAAAGCTCTTTTCCCATCCGACCGGCGTCTCGTCGAGCCTCTCGTTTAGCAGTCCCGGCCTCGTTCGTCGCCGTTCACCTCCAACAAAACAACTCCCGCGAAGATTCCACCGAAGCTGGCCATCGAACTCGGACATCTCCCTTCTTAGAGCACGCAGAATCGCCTTGCAAAAGAGCCGACTAGACGCAGCGCCAAACCGAACGACTCTTTTCTTCCTTTTGCCGACATTCTCGTCTCTCTTCTTTATCCCTTGACCACCAAAGAAAACGCAAGAGACTCCCCGGCGGAGCCAGCTTGAACCTTTTCTTAGCCTTTCATTTGCCTTTGCTCGTTTCAAGTCAGCGTCCAAGCCGCAGCCTCCGCTTTGTTGGCCTGTTGTTTTCTTCCCCCCCCCCCTCCCCTGAATCGACGATTTCTTTCGACATTTTCCTTCTTCTCCATACGCTCGCTACCTCAACATGAAGTCGTCAACACTTCTTTCTGGCGCCTTGGTGGCCGCCGCCCAAGTCTACACGGCCCTTGGCGCAACTGCCGTCAGAGCTCACGAAGTGAGCCACGTTATCCGAGCCAACATCCAGCTGCCATCACAACCGCCAGTGCCGAACGCCTACCGATCGCAGGGCTGTTGGAGCTCCAAGGGAAACATGACGCATGCCACCGCAGTCAAGAGCACGACCGTTTCGTCTGGTTCGTGTAACGATTACTGCAAGTCCAAGGAAATGCCTGTCTCGGGACTGCAGGGCGATGAATGCTTTTGCGGAATGGTCTACCCCCCTCAGGGCGACCAGGTCGAGGACTCCAAATGCTCCTTTCCTTGCCCTGCGTATCCCAAGGAGGCCTGTGGTCAGATCGGTCAGCCGGGCTACTTTTCTGTCTTCAACACTGGCGTCAACATCAACCCTGACTACTACGAGCCCCCCAAGTCGACAACCACATCGCCCTCGTCGACCTCGACGTCTACAGACGCTGAAAAGTCATCAGCCGCTGCTGGCTCTTCGGGCATTGCCAGTGCGTCTGCGGAGCCAACCTCTGCAGACGGAGGATCCAAGAAGAAGACAAATGTTGCCGGCATCGCCGCGGGAACCGTCGTGGGCGTCGTCGTCCTCGGTGGTCTTCTCGGAGCTGCCTTCTTCACCCTGAGACGGAGACGAAACGCCGAAATCGAGGAAGAGCATCGCCGGAATGCTGCCGTCAATGCCTTCATCAACGGCTCCAAGCCGCCTTCTACTAGCGGTAGCATTTCGATGACCGACTCTCGCCTCGACCCCATCATGGCCCACCGCAGGCTCAGTGATGGCAGCATTGCGGACAATGAAGATTACTCTCGCCGCATCCTGAGGGTATGTCGTTGCTTGCCTAGCGCCTCGTTTGTAAGCATTTGCCCGGACTAAGCTAATCTCTTTGACAGGTTACCAACGCATGAGCAAATGGCCACATATCCACTTAACGACGAGCGAATTTGCCTTTACTCAACTTACAACAATCTCCTTCAATCATGGGCATTTACGGCGTTATCGGGATGGTAGCTCATGTCCATTTGGTTGACCCCCGGGCCCGATGGCCTAGCGGCGTTTTGACTTCGTTTCTTTTCGACTCTCTTACTTCTGGGCGTAGGGATAGACTTTTTTGATACGGTGGGAAATGAATGAGTTTGGCCATCTTCGACATCATACCCCGGCTTCCCTACGCCGTCCACTCCTTACGTGTCCGATTGAAACCTTTACAATTTAATTTTGGCGATTAGAGAGCGAGGGGTGCAACCGACATCGGGTCCTCACCTTCACAGCTTTACCATGAAGAAAGGGGGAAAGCTGCAAGGCTATCTGACAGCACGCTTTGCCTATCCAGATTGGCGTGTTTCTTTTTTCCTTTTTCTTCCTCTTCATCTTCTTCTCTTTCTTTCTTTTTCATTCCAGTTTGCAATTCCCATTTGCAGGAGAGCTACCTGTGTATAAACCTGTTTTGGCGTGGGGGAAAACGGCATTAGCCGAGTCGTTCGCATGATCGACGCTTCGGGTGTATGTATGTGAGGGATAAAGGCTGGGGGATGGTATCGAGGGAGAAAGACGGGGAGAGCCGGCGAGGGAGCTACAAGAGGAATAAAATATGGTTGCTACCTGTGTTGTTTACTTCCTATTTCTTTTCGGGCGATGGATCTTGGGCGGGATTGTGTATGTAGGGAATTGCGCATAGTAACCAAGCACGTCATGTCGAAGCTGAGGTAAACAAGATTCTCCATTGTAGTTTGCGAGTGCTATGTAAAGCTACCTACCTTACCTCCGTGTATAACGGCTGTAGAGTCTTGACGATGCTCGTTCTCGGTCGACATGGCCGTGGAGAGACTTGCGGCTGGCTGTAATACCCCAAGGTCGCTCTCTTCTCACTACTAGGTACATAGGTAATTCAGCTTTAATAGAACCTAGGTGGAACGTGAGATGATTCCCGCTGCCTAGAGTTTTTGCGTGTGGGTGTTTGTCTATCTGTAGGTACCTTGGGTATATTCTCTGGGTACGTTTTGAGGGCGGACGCTTCACCGAAGGCCACGACTTTACCGGCATATATACTACATGTAGGTAGGTAGCGACAATTGCTGCAAACTCACCTCCTTCTTGAATGTGCTTAGCAGCTGAGTCTTGAGGGATTTAGTTGATAGGTGATTTTGATGAAGCCATAACTCACGAAAGCCTTACCAACCTCAAGCAGATGGCAGGCACTCTTCACACCAAGAAGCGGCGAGGCTAATCGCAATCGCCGTCAACAGCAGCATATCACGTGATGTCGAACACTTTCAAAGCTTCACCTGCTGCTCATCATGTCGCGTCAAGGAAAGCTGCCCATACACAAAACGCCCATTTCGACATCCATTGCACCTCTTCTCGCCCTCTTTCTGCAACCACGAACGCTCGACAAGGATACTTGAGCTCGAGCGATCAGAGCTCTTGCGCAGCTTTGCTCTCTCACCCGAGGGTGCGTGGCAGCTATTGATTCCTTTTCGCCATGGGCCCGACTACCACGCCTAGAATTCGTCGCACAGCGCAGAACACGCAGTTTACGTGAGTGTGCAAGCTGGGATGCTCGCCCCCCCGGCGCTTGCATCGCTGAAGCTAATCAGAATCTTTGGCTGCAGCTACAACCTGTCGCGTCGGGTAAACGATGTCCAAACATACCCCATCCAGTCTCCTCAAGGAGCTACCATCCTAATCTATGGACACGACAACGGCATCACCTTGGTCTGGCGAGGTGGTCGGCGGTTCAAGCCTCTCAAGGAGGCGCCGCCGCAGCAGCAGCAGCAGACGAACAAGAAGGAGCAGAGAAACGGGGCGGCCGATGATGTGGTCATGATTATTGATTCTGATGACGACGAGCCGGCCAAGGCACAAGCTCCCCAGGGCTACGTCGACAAACCCGAATTCGAAGACACGGTTGAAAAGACCCCATACCCCGAGATCGTTCAAACACTAGACTTGGCATTCGGAACGGCTGTGCTCAAGGTCGCCGTGATGCCCCTGGTACCGTGCTCTGCAGCCGAGGCGGGCTCCAATGGCGAGCCGATCTTGGCTGAGAAGATGGTGTTTGCAGTGTCTTGCGCCACAAACGACGCCTTTCTTGTCACGCTGCCTCTGACGCCGCCATCGCCCGAAAGCAAAGCACGACCAGAGCTGAGAGCGAATCTGTTGGCCGGAAAGGCAGGCTCCGGTGCCTGGGGCGAATCGCTGACCCTCCTTGGCGGCCAGACCAAACACAGCGAGGGGCTGGCCATCACCATGGTCACCCCAAAATCCGCCGACTCGTCGGGCAGGGCACCCAGAGCAGTGGTGGCCGCATTCTCGAGGCAGGCTTCGGGTGCTTTACATCTGTGGGAGATTGCACTCGACAGTAAGCCGCCTTCGCAGCGGCCCGTGGAGCCCTTCCAGAGCGAGTATTTGCCCGCTCCTCTCACGAGCATCTCGTTCAATCCGACAAATACCACCCAGCTCCTTGCGGTGTCATCGCCACATGCCGTAAGGATATATGACTTTGCGCAGTCTGTGCTGGTCCCAGAACCAGATGCCCGGGGCCCCTTTCCCTCCCAAGGCTCGTGGCTCCTCTCTCTGTATCAGCCATTTGCTAAAACATCCTCCTCACGCAAACCGATATTGGACGCCGCTTGGATAGCACACGGCCGGGCAGTCTTTGCTCTGTTGGCGGACGGCATGTGGGGTATCTGGGACATTGAAGGCGCGAAGCCGCTGCAGTCGGGAGCTGCGCTGTCCAACAAATTGAAGTCGGGTGTCCAGGGGGCCGCATTGACCGCCTTCAGCGTCTCAGGATACGTTGAGGGAACTGGCTCCCTCCGCAGCGTCGCGACTCAGCAGAAGGACAAGCATGCCGGTGAATTTGCGCCCATGACGCCGCATACCCGCAAACAGGCCGCGGCATCCCTGACTGGCACCCCCGGTGTCGATCGGTTATTTGCGGTACACGGTGGCGTGAAAGTGATAGGCCATCCTTACACCCCCGGCAAGGCACTCCAGGACGAAAGCCTGGCGTTATGGATAGGGGGTCTGGAGCATGTCTGCGTCATCCCGGGCGTGCTGCGCTTCTGGGACTCACAGCTTCGACGAGGATCCGGTGGCGGGGTCAACCTGTTCAGCGGTGCCCAACCCACCAGGATGCTCAAGCTGGTCGATCTCACCACAGGGCTTCTTGGGGAGCGATGTTGCGGAGTTGGCCTCATTCCGGACTCGTCAAAGAACGATGAGGATGTTCCTGATGACGGCGGCCTCCCAGTGGACATCCTGATACGCGGAGAGTCGAGGATCGTCATCGTGCGCGAGGGGGAGGACGGGCCGGGAAGGAAGATTGGCGATGTTGTTGCTAGCCGCAGGAAGCGCCTGTTTTCGCGGACCGACAAAGAAGCCATCATTGTTCATGGGAAGCAGGACAGGTCGGCGAGCCTGTCTTTCAACCTGAGCACCGTCAAGCCCGGAACGCTGAGGCTGAAGCCGTCTCCCAAAGATGAACACGATGGGAACGAAATTGGGAACGGGAATGGAGCTGGGGATAAGATGGAGGATGCACCGACGCCAACGACTCGGTCGCGCGCCGGGTTTGGATTTGCCGATACCCTGAGCGCCGCGGCAGACGTCACGGCGGACCTGACGACTCGAGACGTGGAGGCGGAGATGCTCGACATCATGGAGATTGACCAAGCTTTGAATAACTTGGAAGACTACAGAGGCAGCGGCAGGAAGAAGGTGTTGTTCGAGGAGGACTGATTTTTCTTTCTTCTTTGCTTATAGACAACTTCAGGTGACTGATGAGCACAGGAATACCAGCGGCATTGCCAAGAGACAATCATGAAAGGCGCCAGGATGACGCAGTGTACGATACCCCTTCCGGACTAATACAGGACTCAGGAACCGAGAGGCATGTGGCTTGTGCCTGGCTACGAGTTCCGCTCAGAACTATCAGATCTGAGGTCGGTCAGTCAATCTCGCGGTGCATGTGTCCCCCCTCCCATGCTTGTGACATTGCAAGAGGTGCTCCTGATCAAGGACGCCGCAAACTTTCCGCACGGCAAGGTGGAGCGCAAGGCGAGACTCATCCTTGACTGCTCTGTATTCCGAGCGGTAGATCAACATATTCACTCGATGGCATCTACACGGGCGGGAGAGGAAGAGGGAAGTGTATCAAATGACCATTTGCTTTCCTGGCCTGAGTTGTGCCCTGCTATCTGCTGTCCGCTCACTGCTGGCGGCTTCTTGAGGCCGGGCATTGCTCGCCTCGAGGGGTTCGCTGGTGGTTGAAGATGGCGGGGGGCGTGTTACCTTGGCCAGGGGGTGGTGACTGTCGAGACATTTTTTTGATGCTGAATGTGTATTACTGAGTGTGTGATGATTGGTATTTAGACGATATTGTCTAGATGTTTGATATTGGTCGAGTCGAGAACTGTTAAATGGTGGACTTTTACCGACTATGAATTACCTGCAAATAGGTACATGAGGATACCCAATAGAGAATACAGGTGGCTAGGCTCACTCCAAAATGAAGCTATTGTACCTACCTACTAAGGTATGTCTCTTGTGCATCTACTACTCTTTAGGTAGCAGGTAGTACTTCATCAAATGTTCATCCTGCTTGTATCTGTGACAGCTGTTGCTCAGGAATTTGTTGGTGTTGCCCATACAAAAAAAATCCTTGAAGTGACGCGCTGCGTTGAGAAAAGTGGAAACCACTTAACATCCCAGCTGGAACTTCGCGAAGGGACGCGTCATTCACTTTTTTCTTGCGGCGCGTCATTCAAGCAGTTGCTCAAGCCACCTCTTGCTTCTCTTCTCTTTGCTCCATAACCCCCCCAGGCAGCCACACGACCTCGCCTGCGGAACCAGAACCTGCACAATCCTCGTGTGTATCGATTTCTCGAGTTATAGCGAAGCTTTCCACCTTTTCATTTCCTCTTCCGTCAGTTGATTCGTGTGGAGAGCTGGGCGTAGCGTCGTCGCTGTCGCAGCCATGGGTATCAAGCAGCTGTTTCAGATTGTCAAGGAGGAGGCGCCGGACGCCATCAAGGAGGGCGAGATCAAGAACCAGTTTGGGCGCAAGGTTGCCATTGTGCGTCTTCCTGACCTCCCAAGTCGCGGCAGAGCTTCCATTTCATTGAACGTTTGGAGGTTGGGGGAGGGAGGAGGGCGTCATCGCTAACGAGCTTTCATCCTAGGACGCCTCCATGAGCATCTACAGCTTCCTGATCGCCGTGCGCTCCGACGGCCAGCAGCTCATGAACGACAGCGGCGAGACGACGTCGCACCTGATGGGCATGTTCTACCGCACGCTGCGCATGGTGGACAACGGCATCAAGCCGCTCTACGTCTTTGACGGCGCGCCGCCCAAGCTCAAGTCGGGCGAGCTGGCGAAGCGCTTCCAGCGCAAGCAGGAGGCCACCGAGGGGCTGGAGGAGGCAAAGGAGACGGGCACGGCCGAGGACGTCGAGAAGTTCTCCCGGCGGACGGTCCGGGTCACGCGGGAGCACAACGCCGAGTGCCAGCGCCTGCTCAAGCTCATGGGCATCCCGTACATCATCGCGCCGACCGAGGCCGAGGCGCAGTGCGCGGTGCTGGCGAGGGCCGGCAAGGTGTACGCTGCTGCGAGCGAGGACATGGACACGCTGTGCTTCAACACGCCCATTCTGCTGCGCCATCTTACGTTTAGCGAGCAGCGCAAGGAGCCGATCCAGGAGATTCGACTGGACAAGGTCCTGGAGGGGCTGAATATGGAGCGTGAACAGGTAAGTAGACAGGTTGGCTGGATGGAGAGGGGGAGTTCATAGTCGATCAGGATGATGATGATGCTCATGAGGATTCTAACACTGCCTTCTTCTCATAGTTTGTCGACCTCTGCATTCTGCTCGGCTGCGACTATCTCGACCCTATCCCCAAGGTCGGGCCTACGACTGCGCTGAAGCTGATCCGAGAACACGGCACTCTGGAAAAGGTTGTCGAGGCGATCGAGAAGGACCCCAAGAAGAAGTACACCCTGCCGGAGGACTGGCCTTACAAGGACGCGCGGGAGCTCTTCTTCCACCCAGACGTGCGTCCGGCGGACGACCCGCTCTGCGACTTCAAATGGGACAAGCCCGACATTGACGGACTGGTGCAGTTTCTCGTCACCGAGAAGGGCTTCTCCGAGGACCGCGTCCGCAGCGGAGGCGCGCGACTGGAGAAGAATCTGAAGAACTCGCAGCAGGCGCGTCTGGAGGGCTTCTTCAAGCCCGTGCCCAAGACGGAGGCGGAAAAGGTTGCGCACAAGCGCAAGCTGGAGGAGAAGAACGAGGAGAAGAAGAAGAAGCTCAAGCAGGAGAAGAAGGAGAAGGCTGCGGCCAAGGCGAAGCCTCGCGGCGGTGCATGATTTGGCATTGTCTGCGGGCAAGAAAGGGCAACGATTTGGGGATGTGCATTTGAAGAATCAATCTTACTCGGGGGTTGGGAAACGTCGAGGGCATGGTATTATTGACATTGGCCTGCACATTCGGGGGGGTGGCACATGTACATGGTTCGGCTTGCTTTTTGAGGCATCATGGATGGAGTTTTTGGCGTGAGGAAAAAGGGGAATATGACGGTTTAACTTGGCACGATATCGAGACACACTGGAAATGCTCTACGGAGAAAACCACGCTGTGAAAGATTGACGAGATATTCGAGGAGTAATGTGATATGCCTCCATGTTTAGGTAGGACAAGTTCCATGGCGAGCATTGGTACCTACGCTCTACTGAGCTTTGCGATTGAACAAATAGCTGAATGGGATGAATAGTCATACTGTCGTGAATCTTTACACGATGCTACTACTCAGCTAGAGCCGTCTGTTTGGAGATCTTGTGCAGTTTGCGCCTCCCTGCCAGGAACGGCGCTTTCTCAAGCCAGCATCTGGGCTGTTAATACACACTACTCCATACATGTACGACCTCCTTGATGGTTACAGCTACGCGTCTGACTCTGTATGCAAAGAAAGAATGTCAAGACACTACTGCGTCAGTGTGTGTGCATGTAAGTACGAGAGAGACCCTGAGCAATGGGGCGTAATAGTAAGGTACCTTGGTAGGGATAGATTGAAGGGAGACGGAGGGCGGGGGCTGTGGATGTTGTGCCTCGGCATCTTTTTTCTGGTGGTGTGTTTCCGCGGCAGTGACGCCGGGGGGGTCGGCATGACATCAGCGATTTTTTTCTTCACATGCTGTTCTTTTTTTTCTCTCTTTCCAAATTCTTGGGGGGGGGGGCGGCGGTTTGGTTTCATTCAAAACACATGATAGGACAGGATGCAGACGGTTGGCTGTTTAGTCGGTACAGTGTCAGGACGAGAAAGGCTGCTTGCCATCAGGCAATAATACACAAGATGAATCGAGGGGATTAACGAGGTGGGCTTTAAAATGGCGTCTTTTGTCTGGGTGCATTAGCATTCGGCGGGCTGGGATAGGCTCGTTTGCTTCTTGGTCGGCACAGTAGGTAGGTAGCATTCTGTGGAGTTTGGGGATGGTTTGCCGGTCCCCCTTTTTGTGTGGGGGAATGAAGGAGGCGGACCTTTACTTTTACTATACGTAGCTTGCAGCTTTGGGGAAGACGGATATGAACAAAAAAGACCAGCAAGGTGTCTTCTATAGGTACCAGAATTACCTTACCTGATTACCAAGGTACCTGTAGACTATCCGTTTCAGTGGCTAGGTAGCACATGTGTAGCTGAAAATAAGCTGAAAATAATACTAATTCAGTAATAATAGTAGAAGCCACATGTTTTGGCAGCTCGCACGATGGAGCGACTTCCCGAGCCCAGCAATTCCCTTCCCTTCGAGGCCGAGCATGTGATTGAGGATTTGCCGATGGGGATTTATGGGGGGGGCCACGGACGCAGTGTCTCGTCGTCACTTTCTCTCTCCCTTCCGGCTTCTCTCTTGCTTCTTCAACTCGTCTCGTCTTGTCTCTTCAACCCCCATTATCTCTCTCTCTCTTTTTTTTTAGTGACATCTCCCTGAGTTGCATTTTCTGGGGGATTCGGCCAGTTTGATACCCAAAGTACCCCATTCACCACCACCCACCAGCCATGGCCAAGATCTTCACGGCTGGCGACGTTGCGTCGCATAACAAGCCCGATAGCTTGTACATCACCATTGACGGCGACGTCTACGACCTGACCAAGTTTCAGGACGACCACCCTGGTGCGCGCATACAACACATCTTCCCTCAACTGTACCTCGGGTTGGCGCGAACGAACTGTGAGAGCTAACCGTTGGATTGCCATGTATAGGCGGCAAGAAGATCCTGCAGCGCGTCGCCGGCAAGGATGCCTCCAAGCAGTTTTGGAAATACCACAACGAGGGCATCCTCAAGAAGTACAAGGCCAAGCTGCAGGTCGGCTCGCTCGACACCAAGCCCAAGGAGGAGCCCAAGCCGGCGCCGGCTGCCGCGCCGGCTCCCAAGGCCGTCGTCAAGAAGGCCTCTAGCAGCAGCAGCGAGGCCGAGTCGGAGCCTCTGGAGGCCTTTGGCGACCAGATCCCCTTTGCGGACCCCAGCTGGTACCAGAACTACCACTCGCCGTACTTCAACGAGTCGCACGTGGCCCTGCGCGCCGAGCTGCGCCAGTGGATCGAGAGCGACATCGAGCCGTACGTGACGGAGTGGGACGAGGCCAAGCGGGTGCCCGAGGAGATCTACCAGGAGATGGGCCGCCGCGGCTACCTGGCCGGCCTGCTGGGCATCAAGTACCCGACCGAGTACGTGCCGGCGGGCATCAAGTCGGTGCCGCCCGAGCAGTGGGACCTGTTCCACGAGATGATCATCACCGACGAGCTGTCGCGGACGGGCTCGGGCGGCCTGGTCTGGAACCTCATTGGCGGCTTCGGCATCGGCGGGCCGCCCGTCTTCAAGTTCGGCTCACAGGCGCTCAAGGACCGCATCGCGCCGGGGATCCTGCGCGGCGAGAAGCGCATCTGCCTGGCCATCACGGAGCCCGACGCCGGCTCCGACGTGGCCAACCTGACGTGCGAGGCCAAGCTGAGCGACGACGGCAAGCACTTCATCGTCAACGGCGAGAAGAAGTGGATCACCAACGGCATCTGGGCCGACTACTTCACCACCGCCGTGCGCACGGGCGGGCCCGGCATGAACGGCGTCTCGCTGCTGCTGATTGAGCGCGGGCCGGGCGTCACCACGCGCCGCATGGACTGCCAGGGCGTGTGGTCGTCGGGCACCACGTACATTACCTTTGAGGACGTCAAGGTGCCGGTTGAGAATTTGCTTGGCAAGCAGAACCAGGGCTTCCGAGGTAAGTCCCAACGAACATCAGGGGAGGGGGGGGGGGGGGGGGGGTTTGATCTCCTGAGATGGAAAGAGAGAGAGAGAGGAAGAGAGAGAGAGAGAGGGAGAGACAGACGGGCTAACAAAGTATGCTTCTTCTTCTTCTTCCTAGTCATCATGACCAACTTTAACCACGAGCGCATGGGCATCATCATCCAGTCGATCCGCTTCGCCCGCGTCTGCTACGAGGAGTCGGTCAAGTACGCCAACAAGCGGCGCACCTTTGGCAAGAAGCTGATTGAGCACCCGGTGATCCGGATGAAGCTGGCGCACATGGCGCGGCAGATTGAGGCGTCGTACAGCTGGCTCGAGAGCCTCGTCTACCAGTGCGAGAAGATGGGCGAGACGGAGGCGATGCTGCGGCTGGGCGGGCCCATTGCCGGCCTCAAGGCGCAGTCGACCATTACCTTTGAGTTTTGCGCGCGCGAGGCCAGCCAGATCTTTGGCGGCCTGTCGTACTCGCGCGGCGGCCAGGGGGGCAAGGTCGAGAGGCTGTACAGGGACGTGAGGGCGTATGCGATCCCGGGCGGCTCCGAGGAGATTATGCTGGATCTGAGCATGAGGCAGAGCTTGAGGGTTGCCAAGGCCATGGGGATGAAGCTGTGATGATATTGGTAGTATATGAGTTTGCGTTTTTGTTGGTCATACTGGCACGAATCATAGATTGAACGAGATAATTTGTGATGCTTCAGCCTTGGCCTCAATTGCTGCTACCTTTAGGTTGCAAGTCCATGATTGAGCCTTGAAAACTTTCCTGCCCTTGCTGGTGTCTGTATAGGACCGTTGCCAAGGAGATTCGGATGATGTATGTTTGCTAGAGCATACTGCATTATCGCAGGCCTTGTTGTTTAATGATGCCTGTGGCGATATCTCTTATAGCTGTACAGACAGTCCTTTTTTCTTCTTTACCTAAGCATTTAGTAAGATGATACTTTCATGGTAAAGCCTTATGCGCAAGTAATCAAGTAGTCAGGGTGTTTTCTTGCCATTCCCTCTGAAATCGTCTTAGGTAGATTTCTTCTACTACTGCCATCTCTTCTACTACCTCTATTTTTTCTACTATCGCTATTCCCTTCTATAGGTAGCTGCTAATCTCGGCTATTCCATGCCATTCCCTTTTACTTTCTCTAGTAGAGACACTGGATTGGAGCCTTCCTCCTCCCCTATATCATCTAGGGACGGAACGACCAGCTTGACAGGGCAAGCAACATGTAACCGCAGCTACTACTAGCTCCTGTGGCTCTCTTCTACTAAGGTAAGTAGGTACAGGTAGTACCTAGAGACAGCAGATCAACAGCTACCTACCTACATGTACCTACATGTAGTAAAAACAAACCCAAACCACACATCTGCACTCTTTGTTGCATCTCCTTCAAACATGCGAACCTCATAGCCTTACTGCCCCCTTGCTACTATACCCAGATACTATACTATAAGTGTGGCGCTGCAACTGGTGAGTGAGTGAGTTTGAGCCTCAGCCATCGTCCCCCCCAAACAACAAACCACAGGCACAGGCAGCACACAGACAGCCCCGCCGGCACGTGACCCCCACCAGAACGGCGTCGGCTGAGATTGAAGTGCGACGAGTTGCAACTTCATTCTGCCGTTTGGGCTTCTTTCCTCACCAACTCTCTCTTTCCCATCGCCCCCCAAGACGACCATCACGATTCCTCCCGACTTCTCTTTGCCCCTCGCCACCTCTCTCTTCCTCTCTCTCTCTATCTCTCTGCTTCTGCCTCTACCTCTGCCTCTGACTCTGACTCTGCCTCTGCCTCTGACTCTGTGTCTGTCTCCTCTCTCTCTCTCTCTTTTTCTCTCCCCCCCCGTTCTCCTCGACACAGACACGACACCGACATCGCAAACCGCCCATCAGTTTGCGTCTCCGTTCCAGCGCTCTGCGGCTTTCCTCTTGTTTGACTGACTCTTTCCAACTCCCTGTGGACTCTGCATCGCGAACCATCCAAGAATGGCCGACCGACTAGCAGACCAATTGCAATCCTCCCACCTGAGGTACGACTTGTGCCTACCAACGTCCCTCTGCCCCCCCAACCTCCTATCCGCGCAAGAAGCATGCCTTTCGGCCGCTGTATTAATGACTTTGTTTGCTGATTCTGTTGCCCGATGCTAGCGATGGCGTTCCTCCGCGAAATGAAGACTGGAAACAAAACCTCAACATTCCCGCCAAGGATACCAGACAACAGACGGAGGTTTGTTCTTGTCCCATCTCTGTCCCGACAAGTCGCCGCTTTGACTCGACGGGGGTGGCTGATGCTTTGCTGCATATAGGATGTTACAAAGACCAAGGGTCTCGAGTTCGAGAACTTTGCCTTGAAACGAGACCTGCTCATGGGAATCTTCGAGGCAGGGTTCGAAAAGCCGTCACCCATCCAGGAAGAAGCCATCCCGGTAGCATTAACGGGTCGGGACATTTTGGCTAGAGCCAAGAACGGCACGGGCAAGACCGCAGCTTTTGTCATCCCTGCCCTCGAACGCATCAACCCTAAAATCTCAAAGATCCAATGCCTCATCCTCGTCCCCACACGCGAGCTGGCGATGCAGACGTCACAAGTCTGCAAGACGTTGGGCAAGCACCTCGGCGTCAACGTCATGGTCACAACTGGTGGTACTGGCCTTCGAGATGACATTCTCCGTCTTCAGGAGCCCGTCCATATCGTGGTCGGCACTCCCGGCAGAATTCTCGATCTCGCAGGAAAGAACGTTGCCGATCTTAGCGAATGCCCCATGTTCATCATGGACGAGGCCGACAAGCTCCTCTCCGTCGAGTTCACGCCCGTCATTGAGCAGTTGCTCCAATTCCACCCCAAGGACCGACAGGTCATGCTCTTCTCCGCCACCTTCCCCCTCTCGGTCAAGGACTTTTCCGACAAGAACATGACCAGCCCTTACGAAATCAACCTCATGGACGAACTCACCCTGCGGGGTATCACCCAATACTACGCCTTTGTCGAAGAAAAGCAGAAGGTCCACTGCTTGAACACGCTCTTCTCCAAGCTGCAGATCAACCAGTCCATCATCTTTTGCAACTCGACCAACCGGGTCGAGCTGCTGGCCAAGAAGATTACAGAACTCGGCTACTCATGCTTTTACAGCCATGCTAGGATGCAGCAGCATGCCCGAAATCGCGTCTTCCACGACTTCCGCAACGGCGTCTGCCGGAATCTCGTCTGCTCAGATCTTCTCACCCGAGGCATTGACATCCAGGCCGTCAACGTTGTCATCAACTTTGACTTCCCCAAGAATGCCGAAACCTATCTCCACCGAATCGGTCGGTCTGGTCGATTTGGTCACCTTGGTCTGGCCATCAATCTGATCAACTGGGACGACCGCTTCAACCTCTACAACATCGAAAGGGATCTCGGCACCGAGATTCAGCCCATCCCCGCGAGCATCGACAAGAGCCTCTACGTCTACGAAAACCCTGAATCGATTCCTCGGCCCATCTCCAATGTTCCCAAGGGTGCTTTGCCTCCATCGCAGTCGTTCCCGGCCCAGGTCCCCGCCCTAACCCAGACAGCTCATAATCAGCATCAGCAGCCGCAGCAGGCCCAAGGAAACTGGCAGCCTCAGAATGGTCAGCAGAATGCTAACTCCCAATACAACAACGGAAGCCGGGGCCGAGGCGGCCGTGGCCGTGGATACCGGGGCCGTGGAGGGGGCAACAACAACGCCAGCAACGGTGGTGGTCGAGGCCGTGGCCAGCCACCGCGGGATCCCCCCTCTTAGCCTACAAAATCAGAAAAGACCCTTGCTCTTCAGGAGGTTGTGAAAGGGGTGTGGTGGTTGTCGAAGTTGAAGGGATAAAAAACTCGGAAAATAATAAAAAAAAATTGGGGGAGGAACTGCACAAGCTTAGTTGATAGGACTCATTGACTAGGCAAGACAATACTAACAGTTTCCCTCCCAAATTTGCAACCTTGACCACGCTTTATGTGACACTCTTATGGACTGTAGTAGTAATGAAACTGATGATGATAGTAGAGCAGAAATAGAAAGTAGAAATAAACATCATAATAGTCAAGAGTAGACATAGTACTAATAGTAGAAATAGAAACCAGTAGTAGAGATGGTAGTGGTAGTAGAATTAACATAACAGGTAGTAATAGTATACCATAGTAAGAGAGAGTATAGGTAGGTAGTTCTATTAGTTGTAATATAAAAGTCACGATTTTTCAGCAGGGGATATTTTGAGCCGTAACGCTGAGATGCTTAATCGCTTCTCTCTTGATTGTACATATGGTCTACTCTCCGTTACCCTTTAACCCATTCCATACCTTATAGCCCTGTAGAAGGGTTTCAAGACTGTACTTGCTAAACATGGCCACTATATATTGCGCCTTATTCCGAGTCAAAAACATACAAGTCTTCTGTCCTGACCAGAAATCATCTAGATAAAGAGGATATATGGGCTTGCTTATCGTCCCTGCTTCCGCCAACCCCCCTTCCCCTTTACGCACCAGCTACGACGGCCAGGTTCTCGTAGATGGCTCTCTTGACCTCGTACAGCGTGCTCCTCTTGCCGCCGAGCGGCAGCCCCACGCTCTCCACGTCAATGTGCCCCTCGGCCGTCTTGCGAACGGCCACGGAGCCATCGACAACGAGGGTGCCCTCGCCGCGGAACTCGGCCGCGTGGCCGGCCCCCTGCATGGCGCGGCGGAGGTCCGCGAGCCTCAGGTCGCCGACGTGCAGGGACTGGGCGGCCGAGCGGGCCGCCGAGATGAGGTTGGCGGGCAGCACGTCCAGCGTGGGCATCGCGGCCGTGTCGGCGGCGTTGGTGAGCGCGACGGCGGTGGACGTCGACGCCGGCTCCGTCTTCTGCCTCTTGTTGGCGACGTCGTCGTGGTCGTGAGCCTGCTCCGAGCCTGTTGCCTGGTGGGCGAGGGCCGAGGCGAGCAGCTGGCCCGTGATGGTGACGATGCCCAGGCCGCGGACGTTCTGCCACTTGAGCTTCTTCACCAGAGGGTCGGCCAGCTTCACGACCCAGGCGTTTGTGTCCATGCTGGCGTCTACCCAGGTGCCGACCTCGGGCGTGAAGACGTCGACGGAGCGGTCTCCGTCCGACGCCAGCGCGGCCCGGCAGTCCGCTGCGAGAGCCGTCGTCTCTTCCCGAGTGCCCGCCACGAGAATCAGCTTGCGCGGCTGTATCAGGGGGATCAGCATGTTGAGACTTCGCTTGTCGTGCAGTCCGCTAAAGTCGATCATGGCGACCCGCAGGTTCACCGTCACCGTTTCCGTCTTGTACGCCAGCCTGCACGGGCCAGTGGGTTCCTCCGGTTCGGCATCCTCGACCGTGTCCAGCTCATCCGTAGCAGCGCCGTCGGCCAGTTCCAAGGCTTCGGCATCGTCAGCCGTGGCCGTTCGGTTCATGTTGGGCCGCTTGTTGGCACCGGCTGCCTGCTTAGCGACGTCGTCCCACTTGCGCTTCTTGCCGAGCTTGTCGTCCTCTGTAGCGACCTGAGCACCGTCCACTGCGTCGTCTTCCTTCTCCTCTGCCCGTAGATAGTCTTCTGGGCGAATCAGCTCGCCAAAGTCATCGGTCCTCTTCCGTCGGATGGCCATTGGAAACGAGCGTTCCCGACCCCTTTTGCCGCGTGTGTCAAAATCGTACACGTTCTTCTTCTTGATCAAGATATTGATGCCCAAGTCCTCGTCTTTGAGAACCACGTTCTTGCGTCCTGCCTGGCCCATGGTAGCAGACACGTTGAGGGCCTTGCCCTGCTGCTCACCCTCGTCTTCCGAGTCGGACGATGACTCGGATGATGCATCATCGACGACGTCGGCAGCTGCTTCCAGCACGCCTGCTCCGCCGGCCTGTTGAGTTGCCTGCAGCTGTCTCTGCGTCGCTAACCACTGTTGATAAATGGCAAGATCGTCTCCTTCTAGAGGTTCACGGACGGCTTCGCGAACCTCGAGTTCCCGGCCGCCCCCGTAAACCATCTCTAGGGTGTCACCAGTGCTGGCGTGCTCCGTAGAGACGCCATCTCTCCTCTCTTTCCACCATTCCCATAATGTTCTTGAGATTGAAGGGGAATCTTCCCTGGCTAAGCTCGGCCGCTCTGTTAATATGACCAGGTTTCGAGAATCTCTGGCCAAACCCTTGACCAAGTCCTTAGAAAAGCCCCATTCCATGGTGATGTCACTGGCTAGAATCACACGCCCATGGGTCTCTCCGTTTTCAATATTCTGGCTGAGAAGCTTTATAATTTGGGCTTTTCGCTCCAGCAGTCGCAAGTACTTGAAGTCGAACGGCGCTCCTTCTTTCTTCTCGCTGCCTCCATTGACCTTTCGCTGACCCTCGGCGAATGCCTCAAATTCCTGGACAATGTTGTTGTCCATCCACTCGAGCATACTGCGCGCATACCTCATGGTGCTTGAGACGTTGCGGCCGGCTAAATACAGCTTCGAGTACTTGAGCACGCCGTCTCTGTTCGCAGCATCCGTGCGCCAGGCATGCTCGAGAAGATATGAAATCTCTAGAACTCTGGCGCTCGAGTCTACGGGAATGAGTACCGTGCCGCCACGGCTGACGCACGTCTTTATCATTTCGAGGAGGTGTTCGTCTCGCTTCGCGCGACCACCTGCCTGCGCAGTTCTGTCTGCGCCGCGAGAGCTGCAAATCAAGGCGGTGGGCTTGCGAAGCTGCTCGATGACTTCTGCGCCGCCGCCTCCAGCGCCGCCAAGCCAAGCAGCTCCCGCAAAGACATTCTCACGAGCTTGGTTCCAGTCTACCGCGTACACAATGGACTCCAGCCCGTGTTGAATGTGCCATATCGTGCCACCGAGGGTGTGGCCAGAGTTGTAGGCCGTGATGGTTAGGCCATTGAGCGGGGGAGAGAAGGGTGAAGACAGTGGTTGATGTGGCTGCGAGTATTTCAGCGGCTGGATGAGAGAAAAGTATCGCGCAATCTCTTCGGGCGTGGGGGATTGTAGAAGGAGGTTTTGCGCAGTCGTGGCGGTCTGAGAGTAAGCGTATGCTGTCTCGGACAGCGAGCTCTGGCGGATGGTGGTGGCTGCCGCGGGAGTGGAGGAGTAGAGGTCCTGGGTGAGAGTTCGGCCGAGGTCGATGACGGGGCGAGTCGCATAGACGGGGATGCGGGTGAAGAGAGCAATGTTCTTGCAGCAGTGGGCATATGCGGCCAGATGCGAGACGGTGGCGTGGGTGAGGAGAATGAGAGAGAGTGTGGGAACCTGTCTAGACGTAGAGAGAGCCTGTGTTAGCTCTGCCGTTTGTGCTTTGCCTGCATTTGCCTTTGCTCAACGAGCGTCGCGTGATGCTCGATATCCTCCACCTTGCCATCCTCCATTCGGACAGACATCGTCCAGCTTGGTTTGTACCTACTTCTCCAGCTCCTCGAGCTTGTCGCTGCTGAAGGTCTCGTCCCAGCCTAAATCAACCAGCACCTTGACACCTCCATCGAGCTCCAAGAGCGATTGCGACGCGAGCGACTCCGACAGAGCGCCCTGGAGCGGGCAGAAGGTGAACATGGTTGTCGATTATCTGCTGCCGCGACGGCAATGCTTGCGGGCGAGTCTCTCCTACAGCATGACTTGTCGTCGTTCTTTAGGATTGAGGTTCAAGAGATCGAGAAAGATGTCTCGCAGTCAAATGCCGATATCGACGGAAATGCTGGGCGAGTCTGGTGGGCGGATCGCGTCGCCATGCTGCATGTAATTCTTGGTTGCTGGATTGGAAGAGACATGCTGGGACATGGGTTGGAGTTCGATGCGGGACCGGGCATACTTTGTTCCCCGATTGGCGGGTTAAAACCGGCTGGAAGGGGAGCTTTCCGCTTTTGGGTGTGTGAATACCTTCAGTCTACCTAGGTACTTATAATGCAGACGTAGGCGAAACAGCAGGATATAGAGCCCCAGACTGGCTACTGAAGATCTCAGAAACTCCGTTCATTTGCTGCTGCTGCTGCTGCTGCTATTTTCAAGTACGCTGAGCATTATCGTATACCTCTAGTGAGAGAGCTACACGAGGCTGGCCGGTGGCGTTAATGACGATCAGCGTAGCTATGAACATGATAGAAGGCATGATGAATATAGGTAAGCAAGAGAACGAGAGGGTCGAAGCACGCTCATGTATATACTCAGACACCATCGTCTCTTTGCTCCCTACACCACCTTGGCTGCTGGTTCGTTTACGTCCAGCTTCTTCGTTTGCCTTGAGTGCCAGCTAAAGTTCAGACGGCCGTTGCGACATCAGCCACATGACCAGCACTGACATGTGTTGGTGATTGGTGGCTTGCTAGTTGCTTTCTCCTGCTTGACAGTACTTACGGTTGAAAGACATATCATAAAAATTAATCTTAATTATAAGATAAAACCTGCTGTTGCTTGGCTGTTGTGCCTAAGCCGACTGGAGGTGCTTGGTTGGTATGCTGGATAACAGGTAGATGATTTAGAAGCTCAAAGACAGATTGCTTGGGCCCCTTCCTCCACGAGTTGTCTCGCCTTACCTGCCATTTGAGTTCGAAGACTGTAGTAGTGCAATGGCTGCTGAGAGTCAAGTGGGAGGCGTCGGACAAGCCAAAGGGTGTGGTCCGGTGAAGACTCTTCATGATCTGGTTTATCCAAATTTTCGCCCAACAAGCTGTCAACCAGAGAGGATAAACGATATTGACAATCTCCTGTATCAAGGCTGATGACCTTGAAATCTTTCAGTAGCAGTGAAGCTCGAATGCCCCCCCTTTATCCCCAATGATGCCACTCTGTAAATTCTGTTGACGACAATACTTTAGAGCTGGGACTTTGGACAAGCCACCAAAACCCCCTACTACCTTAGGTCATATGTAGACAGCCCGCTCTGAACTTCATTCCAGCTTCTTGTGGCGATTAATTTTGGCAAAACGTATAAACAAACCTACAGATTGGTGTAAACGCAACCACTCAAGGTACATGTACATAATCACACAATGCCCCCCGCCCCCCTGTTCCCTCAGTCCTCCTCTCTGCAGCACCTCGTGATTCCCTCGCTTCTCATAAGAGATATGATACACTTATCAATAATTGCTCTCATTGCTTTCGTCTCCATCTTTTCATCTCAAAACGATCATCATCATGAGTCTCATGATACGTCAGTTGCTTCGTCGCCTCGTATTCCGAAGGACCGAGCAGAACCCAAGATGCGCGATCCTTCAGCTCCCCATCGAGATGATTCTGCTCATCTCTGAGTACCTCTCTGAATACGAACGCATCATCCTTGTACAGACCTGCTCTTCGCTGCGGATCATTTTCATCGACAACTACAAAGGATGTGAGAATAGCCGGCACCCTCTCTCATCCGGTCAGCTCGACATTGATCAGCGCTCACGATTCATTCATACCTTGGCCTACCGTCAACCCAAACTCTTGGCCTGCTATTGGTGTTTGAACATCCATACCATTGACAAGGATGATATTCCATCATCCCAGCGCAAGTTCCACTGCCGTCACAAGCCAGAGCCCCCGTCGGACTACTTTTACTGGTTCGGAAGATAGCGACTTTTCTATCGACATGCACAACTCGCCTTGAAATATACCCGCCTCCTGCAAGAGCAGGGCGACGGCGGACCTGTTCTCCCTAAGAGACTTTAAAGCACACCTCGACAGTCTGATGCAGCCATGCTACGGGGAAATTGCGCCAGGGAAATGGTCCATAAGCAGCGAGATCCGCGGCGACGTCTTTTTTCAACCAACCAAAGATCGTTGACGGACGACTACTTATGAAAGCTGTCTGGGTGTACAGGAAATCCATCAAAGACGTATCTCCAAAGACTATGGGATGGCTTCATGTAGGTATGCAACCATTTGGTATTGTTCGCTGCTTAGCAAATTTGAGATTAGACCAGGGCTCGAATGCTCCAGACGCCCCGTGGAGGCCTTGAGCTCGCGATACATGCTGCTTTCAGGACCGGACAACGCAAAACTGGCTCTTGCTCCTACTGCGAGACGGACTTCGTGGTTGAGGCCTCCTCCGAGCGAACTGTCGTTCACGCATGGCAACACCTTGGGGCCGAGGTCCCCTTGCTTGACAACGAGTCATGGAAATGGATGACGCTACATGTACGAGAATCCCTCGACTTTTATACTCAGCCTATAAGTATATGGAGGCTGTACCAACGGGACGACGTTCGAAGACACTCAAAAAAGAAAAAAACGGTCCATGACAGCGGTAGCCTAATTGCATGATGCAGGAAGTTTGTCAATATCGCTACTACTATTGTTATCATGCAGTTTTCGCCTCAAAGTTGGAACTGTTCGTAGTTGTTTGGTCATGCGTTTTACACAAGGGTAGTTTAAAGTACTTTACATGTAGTAATAGAGCAAGTGTTGAAGCCTTTGACATGAAGTATTATAGTACCGGCAATGGTTTCCTGCACAGAAGTCGACGCCCAGAGAACGCAAAGGAAGTTGTGGACGTGCCACATACTAGTACCTAGACTGATGCTCCCACTCTTACTCAAAGGCCAAAGGTTGGCAGTCAAATTACAATTCTTCGACTTTCCGGGCTTGAAGCCCCAAAGTAACCTACTAGGTAGGTAGGCAAGGGTCAGATGTTGGGAGCCAAATCAGGATAAAGAATTCGAAAACCATCCATAAAGAGAAACGATTCAGAGAAAGCCGGCCATATAAATAGCGTCATCTTTCCCCTTTAATTTTCAGTTCGACTTTCAACTCTGACATGAATTCAACGTTCTCATGTTAAAGTCACCGATATCCCCAATCCCCAGCTTTGCACACTTCTGAGCAGAAATGTCCGCCCCCTTCATCATCGGGCCCTCTGCCGGCCACGCACACACACACACCGTGATCCTGCTCCACGGTCGCGATAGCCAAGCCCAAGAGTTCGCCTCTGAATTCTTCGAGTGCGAGGCCTCAGACTGCGATGCCTCAAAACCAGAGGCAGAAACCCCCCCAGCAGACCGGACGCTGCCGGCTCTTTTCCCCATGGTTCGGTGGGTGTTCCCACAAGCGACATCCCTCCCCTCTGAGCGCTTCGGCGTGGACATGTCGCAGTGGTTCGACATGTGGAGTGTTGAAAACGCCGAGGAGCGCCCCGACTTGCAAGTCCCGGGCTTGCTCTCCAGCGTTGCCTCCATCAGAGAGCTGGTCAAGGTGGAGGAGTTGCTTGTGCCAAGGAAGAGCATCTTTTTGGGCGGCATCAGCCAAGGTTTTGCAACGTAAGATACCTCTTTTGTTCTTCTTCTTCTTGTTCTTCTTGTTTTCCTCCTTCCTCCTTCTCCGTTCTGATACTCCTGTTGATTAACTGACCCTCAATGTCGCCCTCCAAATAGCGCACTGGCGACATTCTTCGCCGACGGCAGCGGAGGGTTTGCTGGTCTCTGTGGCTTCTGCAGTTGGCTGCCGCTCGCCGACAAAGCTACATGTAAGCTGAGCATGGCCAAGCAAGGCCTCGACCAACTTCAACACATGCAGAAACTCTACGCCAGTAGCGATGGCCAGCAACAGGAGAAGCCGTCACGGAATGCCCAGCTCATCTCGACGCCAGTCCTTCTCGAGCACTGTCAAGATGACGAGGTCGTCCCCATTGCCAATGGCGCCCGCATGAGAGATTTGTTGAGCCAGCTCGGTATCAGCGTAGATTGGCACGAATATGAGGATGGGGGGCATTGGATCAATGAGCCACAGGGCGTGGACGACTTTGTTCGCTTTCTGCAGGCAAACTTATATCGAGCCGATGCTTGATGAAGGTGAAAAAGGACTGGACCCGAGTTTCAACCAACGCCCAGCTAGACTGCGCTAGGCAGGGGTCCCTAATAAGCAATAAGATCTATAAATCATCGTCAACCTCAACCTGCTCACATCTTGGAAGCCGTCTGTGACGATACCTTACGCACTCATTTGATTGATGGAGGACGAAGCGGTGCGCATGCGCTGGCTCAGCGGCCGGCCTCGGCGAGTCCTCGACCTGCGCCGTCCTCCAGGCTTGTCGCAGATGAACTCGTATCACGCGCAATGGAGTGTCATGGACGATCAGATCATGGTGAGCCTGCCATCGACAACAGACGCCTTGTCCCCGTCTACAGTGTACTTGGCCGATATCAAGGACGGCTTGAAAGGGGATGGCGATACAGTCGAGTTTAGGAAGATTGCAGAGCTGCCGTTCCATGCCACGAGATCAAGGCTGCTGAGCAACAGAGAGGGGTTCGTCACTGCAGAGCTCAGGCAAAGGTATGCAACATACATGTACATAGATGTATATATATATGCCTTGGTGGCCGTTTCGGCAGCCTGTCGATAGCCGTTCTATACATACTAATTCCCTGTTTCCAGCCTGGGCAAGTTGATACTACGCACTCACGACTGGAGTGGCAGCGTCAATAGAGAAAAGACTGTGGCAGCAGAGGCTGTCGATGGGGACATTGCCATTTACGGCGCATCCGTCGCCCTCTGTGTACGCACTGGCACATGCATTCAGAAGCCATTCACCAACTGCCTCGGAACTTCAACACATGTCATGATCTGGGACATTGAGACAGAAGACGTGAGAAGGGTTGAGATACCCCAAGACGAACGCGCACCTCAATGTGTAAGAACATGGGCTCCAAGACCACTTGCCTGCTCTCCCCATCACTGCCTTCTGACCGTCTTCTCAAAGCATAGGGGGAACATCCAGTTCGCCACGTCTTCGTACCTTGCCCTCGGCGGCCACATCGATCCCTGCTACGACAAGCCGTATGCCGTGCTGCGGTCCATCTCGATTGTGCCTTCAGAGCAGAATCCTGGCCGGTTGTTTCACCATCACGAAAACTTTGAGTATGGAAACAACCACGACGCAATAGCAATACCCGGAAGCTCTGCTCGCAACCATGTCATCGTGCACCATCACCAGGCCGAGAGCCGCTTTACAGTCGCAGACGTGGGCTTACTCACAGGCGAGATTCCCGTAAGCCTCCCCAGCATGATGTTTGAAAACATTGAACTTCCCCAGACCACAGACGGTGACGAACAGAGATGGCTTCAGTCCGTATCGGAACCCACCCCGAGATACTTTACCGACCCGGATTACCACAAGGACCTCTTCCACGTCTTCTCCGACAAGACCAGAGCGCGAACGCTCAACGGGGCCATATTCGACAGACTGCCCGCCCTCGCCAAGAACCGACTGCTGGTGCGGCAACACGTCGAGGAATCCGACCACGACGCGCGCAGCTATCATGGCTTCAAGGCCTCTCACTCCTCATTCGGCACCTTTCAGGTCCTCTACCTCTACGACTTTGACCAGGACCGATGCAGAGCCCTGCGCCAGCTTTCACCCCCGGAGCGCCAGGCCCTCGAGGCGCGGCTGAAGGAGCTGAACCCCGACGCCAGGGTGACCGTCACGTCCCGCATGTTTTACGCCTCCATCGAGGACGAGGACGACATGGAGAGGGACCCTTCGCCAGAGTGGAAGGCCCACGTGCGGGAGCTGTGGGAGGTGGAACAGGCGCGGCAACGGGGGGAGGCCAGGTTCCCGGCGCTCGAGTTTGACGAGCCGCCAAAGGGATGCGATGACGATGCTCGCCTGGTGTTCACGCGCAGCATGGTGTGTCTGCCGAGGGTGCGGGACGGCGAGGGGCTTGCCTTGACGGCTTCGGCTGTGGTTGAGCTTCCAACGCCCACGGCAGATGGATCTGTGCACTGCTTTCTGGCTTAGAATTGCCCTGTTCTTTCGTAGGAGGGGAAACGATCGCAACAGCTGCACTTGTGGTCGAGGGGCAGCAAACTGACTGCTCTCTCGCAGATGCTCTTTTGCTGCGGTCTCTAGAGGTTTGTCTAGGTATATACGAACACTGGTAGTTTGTTTTGGAATCATTTGGGCAGCCTGTCAAGTAACGAATTCAGAATATGTCAGATTCATACTTTACTCCTCAGAAACCACGTCGACAATCTCAACATGACCATATTCAGCAATACAGAGAGTGCCCGACTCCAGTCATGTCAGAAGTCGCCTTGCGCACTGACAGTATATCGGTTGAGGTTCGGGAGCAAAGAGCGATCAAGAAGCTGCAACAGGTTCTTTCCGTAGAGCACGAGACTCCCACCCAATGAAGTGCAGGGAATCCAGCTCTTGGCCAATAGGCTATAGAGTAAAATTCCACTCGTCGTATCAACAAGCCGCCTCGAGCTCAATCGGTGACCTGTGATTGGTTCAAAACGAAACCATTCCTAGCCCGGTTAGCTCAATCGGTAGAGCGTGAGACTCTTAATCGAGAACACGTTCTGATGCAATCTCAAGGTTGCGGGTTCGACCCCCGCATCGGGCTTTTCCTATACTATCCAAGTCATTCGATTGAGATATGAGGCGGTTTCTTTTTTTGGTTTTTTGCTTAACAGCTTGGATCTGGTCAACATTACCTCTTATCTTCTGCTTATAGCTTGCTACCTACTAGACAACAAGAGAGGTGTTGTGATTTATTTATTTTTAGATGTCAAGTCTTCTGGGGTCTTGTCGAATGAGGTGCCTCAAGTGACGGCCATGACGAGTACAATAGCAGCAAAAGACACTTAAACCTTGCCCAAACACGGCCAGGTCCTCCCCACGCCTCATAAGCTTATCTCCTCAACTCTCTCCCCAGCTTCCAACCACGAGCAGCCACACGCATCATCCTCCTCCATCCATGACCTCTTACTACTTATGTATCCATCTTACCTTACATGCCTAACACAGGTAAGATATGCTTAGTAGCGCCCGCCCGCAACTCCCTCGCATCTGATCCTTTCCTTCCCGCTGTCCTTGTTCTTAATATTCATTCCACCTTACCTTGCGGCTCATCCCCGCCCCCGCGCGCTCATTCATGTGCATACTACTAGCAGTAGTACTGGAATTACTCGTAGACGTTCCTACTTAAGGTAGCACTACTAACTCACATGCAAGGTAGATTAAAACCCCCCCCCCCCTCTTTCTCCTAGTACTCCATCATTCTCTCCCCGTGTTACAACTTCTCGCAGACTCGGCATCTTCTTGCCGGGTCCGGCCACCAACAACCTCTAAGTCACCAGTCTCAATGGGGAATAGGAATTTTTCAATTTCGTTATTCTCGATAACAAAAGTCAAGTCATCGTGGGGGAGAAAGGGAGGATGACGCGGCCCTCCTCCCCCCCCTTTTTGTTGCCGATTCGTAAGGCACCTGGTAGTTGAAATGCTAATAGTATTGCAGTACCTTGTTCTCTCGTATGAATGACGAAGGTCTATTTTTGCATCCATCTACGCGAAGGCGGTTGTTGTTCGCGGGATGTGAGAGGTGACGAGGACATTGAATAATAGATAGATAGATACCTAGGTAAAGCCTTTTTCGCGTTTGTGGTTCCCGTAGGAAGGAAGGGTTGTCAAGGACGTGGGAAAAGTAACGTCAACTTGGCGCATTCTGGCATGATCCTGCTGCCTTATTACTAGTTAGTAGTTTTTCTGCGTAAAAGGCAAGCTTTCTTTTGCTCATCAGAATTGTTTTCTCGATGATGGTTGAAGCATGTTAAATGTCTGAATGAGCAGATTAGATTACGACATCCGTCGCATCTCTGATGTCACTCAACCATAACTACAAACTTCCTTTATTGTACCTTATTACCCAAGGTACCTACTGTCTTTCAGGTTTTATGCTTTTTCAAGCCAGTATACCTTAGCTCATTATTATACAACACAAAACATTTTCACATGCAAAACAGTGAATGACTGTTCATGAAAATGGAGGATCTGCTATTACTGCCCCTCCATCACGCTGACAATGATATACATCACATACCTATGTAGAGAGAAAGATACAATGAGGAAAAAGAGTCAAGTCGTCCCCATCTTCGCCAAAACCAACGGGTTGGGGTGCCCCTTGTTCCGCCAACCTATTTCCAGATACACACAAACACACACAAGACAGGAACACCTTCAGAGTTGTAGCAAGCAGTAATAGAACACATGGGCCTCGTCTGGGCCCATTCCGATGCTCATCCAGACGCCAGAGCAATGCATTTCAGTGAACAAACAAAGGAAAAATTGATAATAGAGGGATGAAGTCGTGACATGTACAGCCCCTCCCCTCCGCCAGACCTTGGAGCGATTCTATACGGACAGAAACAGTGACGAAGAAAAAAAAAACACTCAAGTTTTAACCCACGCTCGCCCGCCTAGATGCAAAACTTGCGGTCAAGCATCCGCAGGGCTCGCGCGTCTTCGCTGGCGCCTCCCTTTTCAGCCATGGTGATACTGGCCGTCCTTGGGCTGCTGTGAGCGCTGCCGTTTGCACCGGCCTCTGTGGAGGAAGACGTCGTGGGGTGCAGCAGCGCGGACAGGCTTGCTTTGTTGCTGGTGCTGGTGCTAGTATGCGTCTCCACATGGGAACTTTGAGGCGGACTCGGGCTCAGCGTCCGTGTGGGAGGAGTGTGCAGTCCGCTGTGGGCAGAGACAAGAGGCCCGTTGGCAACAGTCCCCAGAGCTGGAAGAGGCCCCTGAGGCTTCTTCTCGGGCGGGGTCCGTGAATCGCCCATGGCGGCTTGCGCGGCAGCCTGCAAGGTTGGCTGGTGGGGAGACTCGTGGCCACGGGGCGGCGTCGGTCCTTGGGAATGCTGCGGGCCATGGTACGGAGGCAGAGGGGCCGGCTTTGGCGTGTTTTGCAGAGGCGGTAATGAAGGCCGGTCGTAGGGACTAGGCGCGCCATGTTGTTGGTAGTGATGCGGCGGAGGAGGCGGAGGCGGTGCATAGCCGTGGTGAGGCGGCGGCGGACCTTGGGGGGCATACGGATGAGGCAGATGGTGGACGGGAGGAGGATGGCTATAGGTGTAATGGCTGTACGGAGGGGTCGCGACTGGCGACGGAGGCCAGCCATACCCGGGCTGGTAATGGCTCGCAAACGGCGGTTGATGATGCGCCGGGTGAGGAGGGTGGTGGTGCTGATGCTGAGGAGCAATCATGTAAGGCGGCTGCTGCAGCATCGGCGCCCTCGTCAGTGCAGGCGTCTGGTTCGTCTCGCCCATGCTGGACTCCGGGTACATGCCCTTCATCGGGATGATGGATCGCAGCATCGGATCGTTGGTCGGCTGAGGCAGCTCGGGCTGCCCCGGCTGAGGCCGAGAGTAGTACGAGATGAGGTGGAGGTGCTGGCCGGTCGACGTGGTGATGCTGAACGACTGCTTCATAAGGCCGTCGGCCTTGTATCGGTATCCTTCCGGCTCGCCGTCGTCATGGTCCTCGTCGCTACCGCGCCCAGATTCGGGCGTCTTGCCGTTGCCCCGTCTGCTTCCTCCAAAGCCGCCTCCTCGCTTGCCCTCCATTTCGCGGTACGTCAGGAAGCTGCCCGACACTCTGCTAGCACTCCAAGACTTGCCGTCCGTCCATCGCCGCATGCCTGCTTCGCGCTCGTCCCACACAAAGACTGAGCCGGATCTGATAGACTGCCTCTCCTTTTCAGAGAGTCGCCTCTGGACCCGAGGCAGATGGCCTAGCCGACAGGCTTCGAACAGTTTGATGGCATCAGCTGGAGTCCGTACATAGCCGTGGTACGTCTCCATCTTGTCGGATGCTATTGATTCCGGTTTGTACATGTGCAATGGTCCGATTCAACGGACTGGGTGTTATTTTGGGGACGGGAGTTGTTGGAAAGGGGGGGGGGGGGCCAGGATCACCCAGACACGCAGGTCTGCAGCGATCTCTCGTTGACCCAAGGGAGCAAGGGGACACCTCTGGTGATCAAGGAGGCGTGATATGACTGCTGTGAGATGGAGCAGCAAAATGACGACTAATAGAGGAGTAGTTTGCAGTGCCAACTACGGATAATATGTGTCAGTTGAATGCGCCAAGAAGGTTGCAGTCCGAAATATAGAAGCGCATATAGGGTGCGTGCTTTGCAGATGGGAGTGGAGGGGATGAGAAAAAGTCGAGTGCCAAGAACGATGCATCAGACAGAAGAGGGCATATCTGTATCATTTGTACACATTCTCAACCATCTCTCTTGCGTGTGCATCCATCTTCTCTCCAACTCAGTACGAGCTGGCAGACCCGGCAGCACAGGCGGAGTAGCACATTGCGTGGTGAAAGGGCGAGTTGCTTCAGAGACGTTGAAACCCTCTCCTCTTCGATACCCGTGGCAAGGCAGCCGCAACTGGTCCTCTCGTCGTTTGACTTTGTGGGCGATGCCGCTCGGCGATTTGCAGGACGGAGCAACTTGCAACGCCCAAAAGGATGCATGCGTTTGCGGTTCCATCGTGGCCAAAACCCATGGGCTGTTTCCGGCAACTTCTGGAGGCGGTTGTTGCACCTAACCCGCATCTTCATACGCCAGCTTCCCGGAGTGCGCCCCCTGTAAACTTTTTTTTTTCCTTCTTCTCTCTTCTCTTGACTTTCGTCTCTCTGTCTCGTCTGGCTTCGTTTCTCCCCCCCTCATGCTCGCACAGCTCGTCCACCAGCAGAGGCAAAGGCAAAGGAGAGGCAATAAGAGGCGGAATCCACCACAGCACAAAAGGGAGCACAGCAACGCCTCAGCATGGGAACACTAGATCCATGCAGGCAGCCTCGGGAAACAAAATCACCAGTGCCATGGAGGCACGCGGATGTCGTCGCAAAGGATGGCAGGAAAAGGCAGGCGATGGAGTGACAAGCAGAACCCGGCTTACCTATAGGAGAGCGTTGTATGTACAGAAGCAGGCACAGAAACGTAGTGGCGCCAAGGAATCGAGATCAAACGGGAAATGGGAGGAAATGGGAGGGTGGAAAGAGGAAAAGTTCAGACGAGGTCGGGTTGCCAGATATATTATGTACAGAGAGACCCGGCCTTTGTCTTTCTCCCCTTGTTGCGCCGCGGATGTCGATAGTTTCGAGGCCGTTTCGATTTCGGGGGGGGGATAGCCGGATCGCGACAGAGGGAATCTTTGCACGCAGAACAAGGTTGAAACTAACGCTTCTGCCTTGGTAATAAGCCGCAAAGCCAAAAGGTAAAAAAAGAGCAAAAGCAGAGGGAAAGATGGAGGAGAGGAGGGAGAATTAAGGTTGGGGCGAGCCAAGTCAACAGGGTGTGGTCATGGATGGATAAATCGGCTCGTTTGACGCAGGGACGTGTGGGGTTGTGGCGACAGGGGGGGAGGGGTGCACTTAGCGGGCGGTCTCAGGTGGAAGGGCGCTGAGCTTGGGGGGGGCTTTTAGTGGTGGCCCTTTGGCGATGGCCGCTGGAGCGCCTGGAAGACCGGCACCTCGACAAAACGGCAGCGGGAGGACGGCGATGGCATGGTGGATGAGAGCCGTGGGAAGGACAGGCGGACCAAGGAGAAGAAAGACGGTGATGAGCGGCGTTGATCTGGCAAGGCGAGAAACTCAACCAAAGGTTACCAAAAGCACAACTGCAATACGAGTAATATAACTGCAGCTACCGTCCTCTCCTTGACCTCACCAATACGCATATAAATGCTTGTGCATGAAAGGTACTATGGACTATACCAAACACCATACATGTACTAGCCTACTCAGACATCACCAATGGCCTCAGCTCCAGATGGTATCCCAAGCGGCAGCTCACCTGCCGTGCTGGCCTCCCAGCCGTGTGCCGAGCGCCGTTTCTGCCTCTTTGGCCCCGATTCGATTCATTACGTGGCGGCCAAGTTGCTCTGCCATGGTCTGCCGCCGACCTACCTAGGTGAGATACAGTACAGTACTCCGGGCTTCATGTTCGAGTCGCTATGCCTGTTGCACGGGGTTTGAGCGCGAGTTTTGTATTACCAAGAGGCCACGCATGCGGCTTGTTAACGAGCCAATGCCCTGCCGTGCCTCTGCCTCAAGGGGCGGGATGCATTCTTCTTTACATGCCTGCCGGTGGAAGAGCCGGACCAAGCGAGATGGGAAGCCAAAAAGCATCAACGCATAGACTAGCGAAGAATACCACCTCACAAAGGGATCAACATGGGAGACGGGAGATGGCATCTCATCTCACATCGTGTCATCCAGCTCGAATCCGCCCGCCGACGATGAAACGGCCTTTCCCTGGCATCTCCATTCCTTGTACGGATACGCGGTGACAGTAATAGAGTACTGGCCAACCGCGTCATGCAGAGCCCGGTCGTCGACGGAACGGGCTCCCTTGCTCCAGTGGAAAAGACGGCATCTGCAGAGGGAAACAAAAGGCCAATTTCATCTCCAGCATTCGCAGCCAAGAAGAACCGATCCTTGCTTGGCTGTCCGTGTGGGGTGGACGGAATCGGCGTGGGCGCCCGGGAATAAGGCACGGAGTTGCATCGCCCAGGCCAAGACACACAGGCAGGTAAGTCCCCAACCCTAATACTAAAGAGAGAGAGAGAGAGGAGAGAGAGGGCACCACATTCTGTCATTTTCTTCTCGTTCGCTTCATCAGCCCTGCTTGCTCAAAAAGTCCAGCCGTCAGGTGGATGACTCGTGTCTTTCTCGCTCGTCTTGCCGTTGGATCCCCATGATCCCCCTCCTTTTTACTCGGAGATACTAGTATTACGAGCAGATTTGAGGACAACAGAGAGGCCACCGTCGGTATCAATTTCTGCCACCGGCAAGCATGGAAGCTGAGGCTGTTCGACTAGACGGCCGGCCGTGGCCATGACGCATACCCGCGTGGCGCGAGGACGTGTACGTAGGTACTGTAGTAATAGCCCTTGCATTCTCCAGGACATTTCGAAATCTGACTTTCCACTAACACGAGCGCTCCGTATCGAGTACATACAAACAAGAATAAGGTAGGTAGTAGAGCAGGACCGAGCTGAAAAAGACGACATGACACTGTATGTACAGTACTGCAGACGCGGATACTACTACTACTGCTGCTGCCAGATCCACCCACAAACGCTCATCATCGTCTTGGCTGCGTAACCAACAGACCGGCGTTTCTACAGGGCTTCCGCAAATAAGACCGCCTCTGGTATGGACTGGACGTCCACCTTGTGCCGACGCAACGACATATTAAGGTCATGGAATCTCCTCCTAAGCTTATTTTCAATACTCGCTGACGAAAAGGCTTAGCCCGCCGCCACTGACTGCATAGCGCCAGTTGTCGACATGGGCACTCCCTGCCAGTCTGTCCTCTCAAGACCAAGAGCCAACCTGCAAGTCCGGTGCTTGTTAAGTTGACTACTATCGTTCCTTTGCTGCACTCACGCCCCTCCCTTTTTTTTGCCTCTCTTTCTCTCTTTCTCCCCTCCTGCTCCTTTGGCCCTTCTGCTGTGTCGTTTTGCCCGCTGATCCGCGCGCCTTTCTGGCTTGCTCTCTGCTATCATAGCGGGGATTGGGGCATTTTTTGTTCTTACTACTAAAAAGTCCATTTGGCATTGCGAATCATTTCTTTCCCTCTCTGCGCTCTCTCCCCTTAGGATGAACATAACGAGATAGTAAAAGAATTAAGATACACACACACCCCCTAGGAAACGAATCGCCGAGACGAGTCCATCGTCTGGGTAAGTCGGCACGAGGGGGGGCCTTTAACGACCCACGGTTTTACGTGTTGGTTGAGGCTTTGACGGCATTGGCATCTGATGGATACGGAATCCTGTACGAGCGCCTACTATGGCGTTTCTTCACATGCATGCAGCGTCTGTTGTTGTTGTTGTTGTAGCGCTTGTACGAGTAGTATATCGGCGATATGCCCTGCCAAGCGAGAGTATAATAAGCTTCCGGCCAGGAGCAAATCGAATCGGGTCGCCAGAACGCATTGCGTGCTTGTTGTACTAGATAACAGAAGCTCGGAAGCGTAAAACTCGATGGCTGAATCCGGCCGCGCGTGCGACTGCTTGTGCCCTTGCAACTCGTCCCAACAAGCTTAGCAGATAGACTACTGTTCACAATATGGAGGAATCTATCGGCGCTCCTTCCGGCGGTTGTTAGTTACTATGCTCCAGGCTGGCTGCAGAGAATCCTGCGATTGGCAGGTAACTGGCGCGGATGAAGCGGCTATCTGGCCTCATTCTCTAGGCGCTAAAGAGAGAAAAAAAAGAGAGAGAGAGAGAGAGAGAGAAAAAGGCCGTCGCGTCTCCCAGCCGGGGCTTGGATGGAGGCTCGACTCCTCCAAGAGGTGCCGTGGCTGCCGATGAAGGTGGGGGGCGGTCTTTTGCGCAACGACTGTGATTTGCTCTGCTGTGGAATCTTGCCGTTCCCTTTGAGATTCCATCCGACAACCTTGATCCCAAGGTATAATATTTCTCACTCATTGCTATTGTGTTTTTATTTAAGATTTCCCCATCTATTTTGGGTTCCGTTGTATCATTCCCCCGCCGGTGAAATACTAGGTCCCGCTGACGCTGCCAGATGATTGCTTCCTTTCTTATTTTCTCTTCCTTCTAAGCCACTACATTCCAATCGCCGAGCAATGTCCTCCCGGTAGGTATGGGAAGAGAAGAAAAGAGAGAAAAGGAGTGGCGATCTATCTAGCATCCCGTTCAATTAACATCTTGATTACTGCTGCTGCTGCTGCTGCTGCTGCTGCTGCTGCTGCTGCTGCTGCTGTCAATACTGCTTGAGAGGTTCTGCTCTCTGCTACTATTTGCCATGTACATTCCTCTCATCTCAG